CTTAAAAAAATTTTTTTTTTTTTTTTTTTTTTTTTTTTTTTTTTTTTTTTTTTTTTTTTTTTTTAAAAAAAAAAAAAAAAAATGTAAAATTAAAAAAAAAAAAAAAAAAAAAAAAAAAATGAACTTACGAATGAGCGAATTAATAAATAGGGTGACAGAGAAAATTGACGGAGGGTAAAACAAAGTCTTGCATGAAATTGCCAATCGGTATGAAATGAAAAAAAAAACAATTTCTCACAGCAAAAAAATGTGTGCATAATATTTGCATACACCCAATTTAGTTCAATGAATTTCACACTTTTAATATTATTCCCCCAACCACACACCACTGACGAGTATTAAAATATTTACATCCCTGAGTGGCAAACTTGTCACGACCCCAACAAGAAATTCAAAAGTACAACTCCAACTGGCCTTCTCTCCTCTGTTCTACTGGGAAGGGGCGAAACACAGGAAAAGCAGGAAAAAAAGGGAAAAAAACGAAAAAAAAAAATACCAATCGAAAAAATGCTAGCCGAAAAGACCTCCAAACAATGATACAGCAGTTTGCCCCTAAATGAACAGAAATTAACAATTCTCATTCATGCAGTTCTGACCTATATCAAAATTTACAACTTGACCTATTTGTGATAACATACATTGAGAGCATGCACGGTAGCTTTTTTTTTTTTTTTTTTCTTCCAAAAAAAATGGAATATCGTAGTGCACAATATATATATATATATATATTTATGTGGCAAAAAGGGAAAAATAGCTAGAAAGGGTGAAGAAGGGAAATGAGGTCAATTAGTCTGATCTATACTAGAAAGAAAGGTTGATATTTTCACTTGGTAAGCAACAAGTTTTGATCATAGGGAAAAAATTGCATATATATATATATATATATATATATATATATATATATATATATATATATATATATATAATTTACATGTTCTCTCATCCCCATAGGTTGCAAAGGTACGAAATTTGATTGAAGTGTAACGGCCAAAGTAGAAAAAAAAAAAAAAAAAAAAGTGCTAAACTGCAAAGTGGGAGGGGATAAAGGATTTTCCTTTTATTGACAAAAAAAAGAAAAGTAGACAATTTAGTACACACTTTAGTACACACTTTAGTACACACTTTAGTACACACTTTGGCATACACTTTGGTACACAATTCAATAGACATCACAATCAATGGATGAGGCTGTGTAAAAACGAATCTTAACTTGCATGTTATGAAAGGCACGAGTAAAAATTACTTGCGTAACACTTGAACATGTATAAGGTGTGTACAGCGAGATTAATCAGGTTTCCAAAACTTAGTTCATTAGTCCCCCTACATCCGACGTTGATACAGTGTGCATAATTAGGACCTTACCACATTTTGCATCCTCTTTTTACCATGTTTTCTTCTTCTTTTTTTTTTTTTTTTTTTTTTCATTTTAAGAATCCTTATTAACACAACTTTTTCAACATTTGATCAAAAGGGGGGCTAACCCCGCACATAGAAACATACAACAATAGGGGGAGGGGGGGAGAGAGAAAAAGCGGCATTCGCAATAGGTATCATGAATTGGAAATAATATGCCTGACTTGTCAGGTAAAAAAGAAAAAAAAAAAAAAAATAAAAATAGGGAGAAAGGAAGTGGTCAGGTGAGCAGGAAGTAGATATCCCATTTGTATCAGACAAAACTCAAGTAACCCATAAATACAACTACTCAACATTTGCAAAAAAAAAAAAAAAAAAAAAAAAAAAAAAAAAGAGTACTTACAGTATTTTCAACTGAGGAGGAATAATTTTTCTTTAAGTATTGTTAATTTGCTTTTAAGTAATGTGGATCTTTGGGAAATTTTTTTTTTTTTTTTTTTTTTTTTTTCCCCCTCTCTTCCACACTTTCCCTATTCGTTGTAGTGTATATACACACATGTTGTCATGATCCTTTTCTGTGTGTTCTCTAAACTAGACATGTGTGAATAGATGAGTTTTTTTTTTTTTTTTTTTTTTTTTTCCCCTTCCCGGCTGCTTCCCTACTTCCCTGCTTCATTCCATTTCTTCCCATTTCTTCCGTTTTCTTTTTTTTCTTTTTTTTTTTTCTTTCTTTTCCTCCCCCTTTGATCATGCGGCTCTCTATAAAAGGGCGTTCTTCATTAGTAATAAATCCATGTATGGAAGAAAAAAAAAAAAAAAAGGAACTACCAATCGAGTGTGGAACACACAAAATAAGGATATTATAAGAAGTAGGAAAAAAAAAAAAAAAAAAAAAAAAAAAAAAGAGCACAGCAGAGCACAGCAGAGCACAGCAGAACAGTGGCATATAGAAAAAGCATATTCACACCTCGTTCGTTAGAAGCCCTTGTGTAAACACAAAATTACAGACGTAGAGAGTGATCATTAAAAAGGATAAATCAAAATGACACCAATTATGAAACTTGTGGGTTTCTTTCTATGGATGTCCATAACTTTAAAAAGGGTGAAGGGATTTTATTTCACTGTCCAAAATGAACTTATTTCCAAGAACACGAATATGAGAGTGTGTCATCTGGAACATTTTGTAAATTTTAAAAATGAAATTGTTCATGTGTGTCTAGACAAGGTAGAAACTACGTCAATGAAAAAGCACAACATTATAATCAGTTCCTATGGTGAAGATAAAAAATGGAAAGAAAGAAGTAAAGCTCTGACTAGTTATACCACCAAATTGTTAGCATATTTTTATACCTTTACAAATAACAATCAGTTGGTTGTTGTCTTCTGCTTTAACAAAACTTTCTCGAAATCTCCTTACGAATGTTTTAGAACTATTACAGATGATTTAAATACAGTTAAAACTGAAAAGATACAAATCGACTTACGCATGTTTGAACCTTCTTCCTTCAGTGATTATGCACTGAATTCATTCGACATCTTTGGCATTCCCCATCTCCTTATTTGTGGTGTCAACAACAAACGAAACTCTGGGAAAAATTTCGGTCTCTTCGTTATATGCCACGCAAGTCCGGATGGTGGCTTCTCCTGGGGGTAAGTCCCGACCCCCACACGCGGTTGAGCGACGGTGTGTGTGATTCCACTTTTGTCTACTCGCGTGTGATTCTATTTCTGTCTGCACGTGGTATTGCAGCCTTCCCTGTGCATCATCCCTCGACTAGCCAATTTTGTACCTGGACTAGCCAATTTTGTACCTCTACTAGCCAATTTTGTACCTCTACTAGCCAATTTTGTACCTCGCCCGATCCCGTTTCCACAGACGCAGACTCCACTTCTACCACCCGAACATGGAAAAGCACACGGTTTACGAAAAATTAGTCCCTAAAGTGAGTGGAAATGAAATAGGATTCCAATATCTGTCCCCCAAGATTTCTTTAACCAAGTACCTCAAGTGCACATACCGCAAGGATTACCAATTCGAATGCCACGATGTGAATTTAGTGAGAGAACAGAGCTACATGTGGGATATAGCCAAGGTGAAAGGTTATTATGTGGCTCCTCTGTCAGATGGGAAAAGTCCTCCTTGTACTTTGTATTACATGTACAATGATACTTATATGATCCCATTAGAAACACCAAGAAGCATTGGAAGTGAATATCATAGAGGGAAATTATTTCATCTAGATAGTGAGAGACTTATATACAATTATGAAAATGAGAAAGAGACATATACATACATATTACAACACAAAGGAACAGCAAAATTCTGCACATTAATGTATATAAAGAAAGATTATATGAATGCAGGGTTTGTAAAGAAAGGAAATAATTATTACTGTGATATTAAGTACGATGAATTGGTAGTTGATGGAGAAGATAGATATTTCACAGTTAGCATATACAATGGTGTAAGACAAGATATAAGAAAATGTTTCTATTTAAGGTATGATAAAATGTTAGAACCTGTAAATATTGTACACAAAATTGATAGCGTATATGAATATAGTAACTTTAAATTATATACACTCTATATTAAAAAAGATATTGAGAAATATTTTCTAAAAGATATGACTTTGGATTGTTATTTAGGAGAAGATTTCTATCTATCTTTACATATCAATTTTAAAAATAATTTCATCTTAGACAACACAGATGTGAATCAATCAGATGTTAATTTGTATCCAAATAATATTATATACTTTAAATTACCAGATGCACGATCTCAAACTTTGGTTGCAAAACTTCCTTTTCCTCAAAACACTAGATATATAAAAGTTGACGATTATTACTACATTTTTAAATTATCTTCATTTATACCTCAGCAAACAACAACAGAAATGTTATTTCTAAACAATAAGGGTTCACAGAAAACGCAAAATAAAAGTGTTACTTTTCATGCAGGAGGAGAACAAGAGACAATTTTGGGTGTCGACTTTTCTAGAAAAAATAAAATCTGTGCCTATGCTGGAAATGAACATAATTGTGATAAAATTCAAGTAAACGGAAACAAAATAAATGTCAAAGTTGATTTACTCAATACCCAACCATCGAAGGGAATCACTCTTGGAATTATCTGCCCTGTCAACAAGAAAAATAAAAACACATGCTTTAACGAAATATATGATAATAAAAAAAAGATTTTTATTCGAGATTATCTCAAAGACAGCAAAGGATTCCTTACCATATATCCAAAAACATATGTGCACACTCCATCTGATACCGATGAAATTTATGAAGAATCTATTCTTGTTTTGACTCCTCAGTTCATCGACATGTATAATGCAAACTGGGAAAACTACAAGAGCACCTTCAACTGCAAATGTTATTCAGACAATATGGTCTACGAGCTTACCTTTAACTTCACCCAAGGGTGAATACTAACCAGTACAAGCGAATACCAACCAATACTAACCAATACTAGCAGCAGGGTTCTACGTGGGGTAGTAAAGAAATATATACGAGATATATTTGCATCTCCTCACATTATATTACAAACTGCAGAATCATCTCATTTTTTTTTTTTTTTTTTTTTTTTCCCCACGAATTTCGTTTTAGTGCGTATTTTTTAATTTTTCACATTTTACATTATTACGTCGTTTTTTCCATCTCTCTCTTGTCCTTTTTCTCCGTCACTTTCTTGCCCTTTTTTTTCTCCGTCACTTTCTTGCCCTTTTTTTTCTCCGTCACTTTCTTGCCCTTTTTTTTCTCCGTCACTTTCTTGCCCTTTTTCTCCGTCACTTTCTTGTCCTTTTTCTCCGTCACTTTCTTGCTCTTTTTTTTCTCCATCTCTCTCGCGCACGCCCTTGCCTAATGCACCTTCACATACCACTTCCACAGGTTGCAAAAGTAGATGCACATTCACGTGCAGGCGCACTTTCTCGGCAGACTTAGAACTTTCTTCTATATAGAATATTTATCACTACCCACACCCCTAAATCCATCCACACGTCAAAAAGTTAATACTCCAAGTGCACTACTGTGAAAGCGTGGTATGGAACATTTCACAAAGGATTATAATAGAATTTAACCTAGGACAGTAAAAAAAAACTTCCACAAAATTTTTTTTTTTTTTTTTTTTTCTTCTCCCATTTTGTTTTACTCCTTTTTTTTCGCTTTTTATATGCAACCCGTAAAGGAATCCTACGATAGGGAAGCGATACACCACCTTTTGTGTCTTCTCAAAATTATTTCTCCATCATTGGCATAAGAAATTGCATGCAAGTAGTGTGTATATGTGTATATGGTATGTGTATACATGAATATACCCACCCACCCCACCACCACCACTATATCTCCATGTTCTGGTTTCGAATTATCAGTGAACAGAAGAATAGGATGTCCACATATGTCCACACTTCTAGAGGCGAATCTGCATGATATGAATATATTTCCACTCAAGGAAAGCTCTTATAGAGTTGCTGACTGTGCTGTCGTGTGCTTCATCAGTAGAACATATTGCAGATACGAGAAAGTTTTATATTCACAAATAAATTGAAAAATGGAGAAAAAATAAGAAAAAAATAGGTCTCTTCTGTTTCCGTTTTTAAAACAAAAAAAAGAAAAAGAAAAAGAAAGGAGCATGTATGGATAACATAGGCACAGGTATGTATATGTATATGTACACGCATAGGTATGTCGCGTTCATTTATTTATTTTTTTTTTTTTATGAGGATCATTTGGTCAGCTGATGGGTACATTTGCAAATGAGGTAGGCGCTCACAAAAAAGTGCATGCACAAATTATGATGGGGTTGGGGGATAAGCAAAACTGGAAAATAAAAAAAATAAAAAAAAAAAAAAACTAACATGGCCATTGTCATTACCACTATCACTATCACTGTCCTTACCACCACCACCACCCCCTATGGGTGTCAATAGTAGTCACAAGTAGTTCAACTCAGTCCACTCACAATCCACTGAGACCTCGGGAAGGAGCTGAATTTATTAGTTGATGCGAGGTTCACATATGAGATATCAAGGGCAAAATTGTAAAGAAAAAATAAAATGACAACAGCGTTTTAAATAAAATGCACGCACGAGAGAAAAATTTTCCAAGATGTTTTTTTTTTTTTTTTTTTTTTTCCTTCCTTCTCTCTCTCTCTCTCTCTCCTCTGTAACAAGTTCAGCAGGTTACCAATAATGTGTTTTTGCGTATGTTTATGCGTTTGTGTGTGTGTGTGTGTGTGTGTTTATCAGTTTTTCTCTTGCGTGTTAACAGGTGCAGGAGGCACCTGGTCCAAGGTCCTGTGGAGATAACTTTACCTTTGACTGTGAAGCCCCGAGAGACGAGACATTTTTTTTTTTTTTTTTTTTAATTAATTCTTCTGTTATCATAGTGAATGCCAATTCTACATTTGTAGCATCTTTTGCTGAAGTTTCAATAAAAGGAATATTTAATTCCTTTGCTTTATTTTCACCCTCGGTAGTTGTAATTTCCATCTCATCCTTACAATCAGCTTTATTTCCAACTAACAATTTACAAGTCTCTTCATTTGTATACTTATTAATTTCATTCATCCATTCTTTTATATGAAGAAAAGAATTCCTATCAGTTGTGTCATAAATAATTATTATACCATCTGCGCCTCGATAGTAAGCAGATGTTATTGTTCTGAATCTTTCTTGCCCTGCTGTATCCCATATTTGTAACTTAACAATTTTATCACCTATCTTTATTGTTCGAAATCTAAAATCAACTCCAATAGTCGTTATGTAACTTTCAGTAAAATGATCATCTGAAAATCTTAATAAAATACAAGATTTGCCCACTCCACTGTCACCTATCAGTATTATTTTGTATAAATAATCATAGTCCCTAGACTTGTGCTCGTTCATTTTGTTCCTCTCGACCTTGACCTTGACCTTGACCTTTCCCAGAAGGGTGCTACATAGAAAAAAAAAAAAAAAAAAGTATACATACATATATGTATATATATATGCACATATATATGTGCTTATACTCATCTTCACGCGCAGGAAGTTGCCATGCAGGGGTGGGGAAGGCAAAATATAGGAGGTTAAACGGGTGTCTGTACAAATGGGTAAAAAAAGCACGGGTGACGAATGAAAGCATACACACACATTCAAAAATAAACGATACAGATGGAGTAGCAATGATAGGAACCGAATTAAGACCATAATATGCACACTGTGTGTCCAGTTAACCTGGTTCCATTAATTTTATATGCCTCCTTAAGGCAGACATATTCACCCAGTATTGCTGTACACCCATTCACCCAGTATTGTTGTACACCCCAACATAGAGACGCAATTTCCAGCTGCACACTCCTTAATGTAATAACTCCGTATGAAAAACGTTTATGCTTACACGCTTGTAATTTCCTAACAGTAGCAGAAGGAGGAAATTCTTCTGGTAACCACACACAAAAAAAAAAAAAAAAAATGATCAAAAAAGGTGGTCAAAAAAAAAAAGGATGGAAAACGGGTAAAAAGACGATACATTCACTGTCTTATTACTTTTGTTCACAAATCATTTGGCATGTTCTATGTGTCAATACACAACTACTATCTCTTACACATCAAAAATGTTCACGCAATTCTTCCTATGTATACTTTTGCTCTTATCTCATTTTCATAAATGGAGACACATCCTACCCCATGTACTTTTTCAAATGAGGTTTTATATTAAGAAGAAATGAAGAGGGAGTAACCGTGTGGAGAGGAAAAAAAAAAAAAAAAAAAAAAAAAAAAAAACATGCATATATGTAAGCATAGGCATAGGTGTATACATAAAGTGGTTTGTGTTAGTATGCTTACATAAAGATCTGGAACAATTTTTTTTTTTTTTTTTTTTCCCCCACCCCTTCTCACGCGTAAGCAACAAAAATTATGTGTTAATTTTGAGATTTCGGTGATTTTACCGTGTTATTGTTTTTATTCTCGTTTGTTCTCCTTCTTCTGAATTTTCATTTTCATTTTTATTTTATTATTTTTTTTATTTTATTATTTTTTTTTTTTTTTTTTTTTTTTTTTTTTTTTTTTTTTTTTTTTTTTTTTTTTTTTTTTTTTTTTTTTTTTTTTTTACCTGTTTGTTCAGGCGAAAATGTGACACATTTAGGTCTTTTAAAAAAAACAGTGGAGGCACAAACAAGGTCCGAGAGAAGGGGATACAAACAAAGTGAACAAAAAAAAAAAAAAAAAAAAAAAATCACACGTAAGCGCACGTACTCATGAATGTATGTATATATATATATATATATGTATATATTATATGCATACAATGCATACATTTTTGTGCGTGTGTTCACATACTTGTATATATATTTGCACTGGGGCCCCCAAGTGACTCGGGCGAAAAACACTGTAACTGTATTAATACGCGTAACGGGTTATCAGTTTAACGTATTAACTGTTTGAGGGAAAAAAAAAAAAAAAAAAAAGGTTCATGGCTTTTTCTACCAGCCCCTAGTAACCCATAGCCGCTTATCATTTCTCCATAACAACACCAGAAGGCAGCTTTTTTCCTTTTGTCACCTTTACCTTTTTTGAATCAAATGGGAATTAAATTAAATGAAATGTCCAATTTTAACAAAAGGGTAAAATCGATTTAACTTCTTCCATCGAAACAGGTATAACCTACAGCTATGCAAAAACCCTATCTAGTATAAAGGGAAAAATGCAAAGTAGAAAATAATTATACCCCCTTTTTTTTTTTTTTTTTTTTTTTTTTTTTTTTTACAAAAAAATTTCCCTTTTTTTAGATTTTTTTTTTTTTTTTTTTTTTTTTTTTTTTTTTAAAAAAAAAATTTCACTTCATTATAGATATATTTTTTTTTTTTTTTTTTTTTTTTTTTTATCATTTAGGAGAGAATTCAATTTTGTGTATCATTTCAAAATATGGAGATGAAACACTACGAGACATATAACTTTCAGCAGGACACATTTTTCTACTAATTAATGTGATCTGACCTTCACATGAATTATTATATTCCAATGAATACCAAAGATAAACACATATTTGGGCAATTATATATAATCTCCAATTCGGATGAAAAGGCTGAAGAGAGGAGCTACACCCACACATTAGTTCATGGATAACTGTATTTGCTGTCCAGTCTCTATATATACAACACACAGACACGTAGGTAATACTCGAAGATGAAACAAAGGAAAAAAAAACAAAATGGAAGGAGAAAACTTTTTTTTAAAAGAAAAAATCCAGTATGACGAATTTAATAAGAATATACAAGAAGAGTACAAGAAGAGATTCGATGTGAATAACAAAATAGAAGAATATTTTGACGATGTGCCAGTTACAGCTCCAGTGAAAAGTTCTACATCTTTATATACGTCAACATCTGTTTCAGAAAAGGAGAAGAATAATAGAAACGAGAAAAAAACATTCCTTCACAATTTCATGTTCCCATTTATAGAATTGGGAAACAAATTTTATTCATCTGTCACTTTGATATATGAACCCAAATTATATCACCTCTCTATATTTATGACCATTCTATGGGCATATAAAAACATTAAGTGCATTAACAAATTGCTCATTCATAAATATAACGATATACATTATCAAATTACTCGACCAGATTCATTGAATAGCAGATATAAAGCATTTAAAGTTTTAGCTATTGGTGGTTCTGTCATCCCATGCTCCTTCATTGCATTTACCATTTACAATGCCTACAAGGGAAAAACAAATTCTCTGCATATGTCAAATTATCAAAAAATCATAACCGTTAGAGACACCACATCTTCCCTTATTCCATATACCTTGAGGAGAGACATATCGCGAAAGGTGAAGCACGTCCTCATGTCCCCGATAGACATACTTGCCATGTGCATACCCGATATGAATATACACCAAATATAAGAAACTCAATCGTTGATTGTACTTGGAAAAATTTTGGGGCAGAAAGGACAAATAAGAGAAGAGAGGGTCCTACACGTCCATGCATTTTTAAAAAAAAAAAAAAAAGTGCTCATATATTTTTGCACTGTTTCTCATTATTTCTTGTGTTTTACATCTTTGACATTTTTCTCCTTCCATAAGGCGTCTCTGCATGAGCATCACCAGCACAATCTTTACACATATCAAATCATGCGCATATATGTTTACATTTTCATGCATTGCATATCTTCACAACATACACATATATATATATATATATATATATATATATATATATATATATATATATATATACACACACACACACACACCCTTTCCTCAGTTGCAACTACTAAAGGAGAAAACCCTCTTCTTTGGAAAAGACTTGGCTGAAAATAATAACTTCAAGAAATTGTCTAAGGAATATCACAGAAATGTTGACAAACGGTTGCAACGACATTTTTTAAAGAAGGGCGACCCCTTGGGATAGAGATGTGTCCAATCCAGGAGGTGGATCCCTGTAGTGTAACCCACATCAACCCGTTTGCTACTGCCACTACAACAGCATCTGCTACTTCCCCAAGTAGATGCGAGAGGAATAGTTTATTTACTGACCTCACTTCCCGTTGTGCTTAGCTCGCGCTTAATGTATTTTGCCATTTGTTTTAAATTCTCAGTTCCGGATAAATGGGCCCCTAAGAAAAAAAAAAAAAAGGAGAGGTACAAGTAGAAGTAGTAGTAGTATTAGTAGTAGTATTAGTAGCAGTATTAGTAGTAGCAGTATTAGTAGCAGTATTAGTAGTAGCAGTATTAGTAGTAGCAGTATTAGTAGCAGTATTAGTAGCAGTATTAGTAGTAGCAGTAGCAGTAGTAGAAAAAGTAGTCGAAGCAGTGTGAGAAGTGGTGGATGGAGGAGAAAACCGAGCAACATGGCACGGGCGTAGATTTTGGAAAGGAATGCTATACCCAGATGAGAAGTAAAGTTATATGGATTGGGTGTGGTGATTCGTTTTCCATTTCTGTATATGCAATCGAAATCACCAACTCTATCTGTATGTGGAATGTTGTATTTCTCTATATTTATTAAGCTCATGAGTTGGTCAAGCATATTAAACTTCAATGTGTAATCCTCGTCAGTATTAGCAGAAAGAGAAGGTGAAGAGTTCACTTCAATTAACCATGGCTTTAAATTAGAATCAATGAGAATGTCAAAACCGTATAACTCAAAACAGTGCTTATCATTTATTATTATTTTATGAACAGCTAAAAAAGATTGAATGATACAATTTTCAATATTTTGAATTAAAGTCATTATATTTTTATATCCATAACGACTAATCATGTATAAAAATAGTTCACGAACAAACCATTTCCCACCAACATTATCATCATACCCTTCTGCATTCTTTTGTATAGAGACATTTGTTAAATGCATAGTGATGTCATTCATCTTGTCTTTCTCATTTTTAAAATACGTGTGTGAAAACCTTGCGAAACCACTCCTGTATAGATATATTGTCAAAGGATAGTATGACATAATTAAGACATACAATCGAATGTCGAACTTTTTCCCTCCGATCAGCAGAGGGTTCTGGATATACTCCTGCACGATGTACTGTTCAGGACGATCGCGTTCTTTATCTGGATGAACGCCCCTCTCCAGATTGACACTCCTCTCTGACTTGCGGCTTTTCTCCAAGTCTCTATCATTTCCCTTATATTTTTCTCCATCCCTTTCCTTGTCTCGCTCATTGATATGTCTGCTACGTCCAACACTCCACTCTCTTATCTGAGATATCTTATCGAAAAGAAAAATTCCCTTTCCTTGTGATCTACCAATTGGTTTCATAATCCACACACGATTGCTCCTTTTCTTGTATTCCTCTAAGAATATTTTGTATTCCAGTGGCAAAACAAATGTGACAGGTGTTATGTCTATTATTTTTAGTTCCTCCTCGCTTTTTATTTTTTCATTTTGTTTTTTCAGCCTTTTTATATTTTTCGCTAGTAGGTCTTTTCGTGTGAGCTTCAGGTGGTACGTAGAAGGGGTCGTTGTGTGTGTTAAGAGATGGTGTGTGTGTGTTAAGAGATGATTGTGTGTGTTAAGAGATGATTGTGTGTGTTAAGAGATGGTTGTGTGTGTTAAGAGATGATTGTGTGTGTTAAGAGATGGTTGTGTGTGTTAAGAGATGGTTGTGTGTTATGGGTGGAGTTCCATGTTGCATGGTTTCCAGAAGTGGTATCAGCAAAGAAAAAAAGGGGAGTGACAAAAACATTTTTACCTCATAATAGTTCCTAAAGTGATTGACATATTGATTATTTCTCAAAGACAGGGTGTCGTAAACTTCGTTTATCCAATCTTTTTCTGACCAGCACATGTTCCAATCTGTTTCGCTACAGGACCAATGCAAGAGGGGGAGAAATGGGTCAAGCAAAATGGGTCAAGCAAAATGGGTCAAGCAAAATGGGGTCGGAAAACCGAGTTCCCAGAATTGACTCTAGAGTGTGTTCCCTGGCAAAACAACACGATTCATATGCATCTGCATTACTGATTTGTGAGTTCCCATTTCCTATGCAAAAACAGATCATAGATTGTGTTGCGAAAGTCGGTTCGAAATTTAATAACCCTGCAAGTGGAGGTCGTCAAAAAAAAAAAGAGAAAATCCAATTTACAATTTGTTATATGAGAACGAGGCGTAAACTGGACTAAACATTCTGCATGTATGAAGGAGGAAGAGGAGATATGGGTGGAGGGGGAGAAGCTCCATCTGTGCACGTGCATACGGTACATAAGGATATACAAAGATGTGAAAACATATATATATATATATATATATATATATATATATATATATATATGTGTGAACGTCTGCTAGCGTTTCGGCCGCTCTTCCCTCCAAGCAGCAGTACTTGTTCGATGGAAACAACTCGCGAAAGTACAGTGACATTTTTTCATTTATTAGCAGCGCTTGTTCAGACAAAGAGACGTAAAAATTACAAAATAAAAAATAGTTTAAGAGATAAATAATAAAGCAGTTTTAAATGGTGTCAAGTGACAGTTAAGCTACACGCTAGGGTGAGAAGAAGAAAAAAAAAAGAAAAAAAAAAAAAAAAAGACGTGTTTTTCATTTTATAAAGCACGAATTAGACACATATGTTAGAGGATAGAGGAATCGTTGATAACGAATCAAGTGATTCCACAAAATGTTACACAAAAAAAAAAAAAAATAAATAAATAAAACAATGACTTACACAAGGATTTTTCCCTTTTAAGAATCATCTAGCCCATTTTGTCTGTTTCCAGGAAAAATAAAAAAAAAAAAAAAAAAAAAGCAAGCGGGACGTCATGTGGGAACTCATAAATGAAGCGAAAATTTCGCCTGTGTGCACTCTCGTGTCACGTGAAAAGATGGAAAAAAAAAAAAAAAAAAAACTGAATTGCACACATGCAAGGCAACTTTCAGATGAGCCGATCAACCATTTTAATTCACTTGACTACACCAGATTGCTGTGACCAGTTGAACATTATTTATTTATTTATTTTTTTTTTTTTTTTTTTTTCTCTTACTTCTTCTTCTTCTTCTTCTTCTTCTCCTCCTCATAAAAAAAAAAAAAAAAGGTAGAGTACATACATATAGAACGAAAGCATAAGTATCATCCCATCGGTACATGTTAATTTATAATTATAGCCCCTCCCAAAGAAGTGAAATCCATTATCACTTCACGCCCATTTTTAAATACCCATCTGATTAACAAACCTAGACACAATGTTCTTCTCAGCAGTGTTACTATTCTGTAAAAAACATAGCAAGTATAACAAGAATTTTGCACGAGTAATACCAACGTAAAAAATTTTCCTTTCTTCAATTATCTCATTAACATTTTCTGAAACTTGTGGTATTTCTCCCTCTATTACATTTAGAATGAAAACCACCTTCCATTCCAATCCCTTTGATTTATGTATAGTTGTTAAGGTTACTTTTTCTATTAACATTTTTTCATGAACATTATTTTTAAAATCATTTAAAAAGGACACTAAGCAATCGCAACATTTCTGATTTATTTCATTCGGCACATATTCCATAGTCATTTCTAAAAGTATAAATATGTTTTGTATTTCATGTTGATTTAAATCATCTTCACTTATCCCGAATTGTGTAATAAGATCTTTCTTAATTTTTAGTTCATTTATTAAATTCTCGTTCTTCTCATCTGTAGACAAATTATTTTTTTCTTCCTCTACTTTCATTGTTCTTCCATTTTCAGAATTTTGTGACACGTCCATTCCAAAGTTGCACTCATCAAACGGACGCTTCTTTCCATTCATCGACATGTTTTGATTTAACAATATCTTGTTCTTTTCTCCATCTTCTAGTTTTTCCCTCCAATTAGCAACATTTGGTGGAATTCTTGAATCGGTATTGAACCTCTTATTAGAAGACGTATGGTCACTGTGTGTGCAGTTGCGAGGAATATCTAGGGTTCCCTTCTCAGCTGCATGTGAGGGGTCACTCTGAAGGGAATTCGAAGTGGTGACAGAAGTGGTGATCGGAGTGGTGACAGAAGTGGTGATCGGAGTGGTGACAGAAGTGGTGATCGGAGTGGTGACAGAAGTGGTGATCGGAGTGGTGATCGAAGTGGTGATCGGAGTGGTGACCGAAGTGGTTGTCGAATCCTTGTCGGCACTGAGCTGCTTCCGTTGGATTCTTCCTAAAATTTTTTTTATGGAACCCGTTTTTGCCAGTATATCCATAACTAAGTTATAGACCGAGTTAATTTGAGAAACGAACTTTAAAAAATAATTGATACAGAAAAAGAAATCCAGTATTTGTTTTAATTCACCTTGCGTGAAGACATTCAAGATCTGTGCCTTCTCTTCATCCAATTGGTTCCTCCTCCAAAGTACATACAAACGAGTAATCTCCTCGACTTGGCTAAAAAGTGATGAAATATTTTTTTTTCTTATTCCCATTTCTTGTCTTGTTGATGATATTCCTTCTTTTCTACATACGTCGTCGACAAAACTATTATTTGTCAATTTGTCCAATATTCCCTTGACCCTTTTGTCATTTTTTACAATTTTAAAAGTTTTTTTAAATATTATATCATCATCTACATTGAGTAGAAACCTCAGAATTGTTATCAATTCTACTATTTCTTTCGACCCAAAGAAAGACTTTTTTTTATTTAATTCTTTTATTGGTATTTTGAAAGATTCTACATTTATGTCATTCCAGTGATGGTTATAGTGGTGATGGTCACCGTCCTTCTTACCACTTTCATTATCACGAATGTTACCCCTTGCTTGGTTATTTTCCAAACAACCATGATGACATGTCTCTGCTCCGGGAGTTATGTTCTTATCCATTTTACACATTTCATGAAAAAATTTCAAGGCAATCCTTCTAATCTCATAACTGTTCATAGATTTGAGAGTCTCTTTTAACGTTTTATTCGTCCGGCATAAAATTACAAAATCGCTAAACTTGTAATTATACTTTTTTTTTAAAAAAATTATTTGAGACAAAATATATGATATCTGATCACTATACGTTTTGAAAACATGAAAATTGACTTTCTGACCCTGTATATTATTTGTGTGAAGATCCTTTTCTATTCTGCAATTCCGATTGTGTAAAATTAAATTCCTAGAAGTTCTAACAATTTCTTTTGTGCTTCTAAAATTTGTACCTAGCTTGAACAACAACCAATCTTCTTCATTTATTATTTTGTTAAATACATTAATATGAGCTCCTCTGAATGAATATATGGACTGATCATCATCTCCTATCACTGTTAAGCTCCTTTCTGTTTCTCGTTTCTGGTTCTTCTTCCTTAGAATCATATCTCCTCTTTCAAAGCTTGAATCATCTCTATCTGAACCACACCCCCATGCGGATCTCTCCTTCTGCATATTCTCGATGACTTCCATCGCTACATGTCTTACCTCTTCACGTGAAGCTCTCAAGTCCCAACTGCCATGCAAACTGGACGCACTTGCACTTCTAATCTCATTTGCGCTTCTAATCTCATTTGCGCTTCTAATCTCATTTGCGCTTCTAATCTCATTTGCGCTTCTAATCTCATTTGCGCTTCTAATCTCATTTGCACTTCTAATCTCATTTGCGCTTCTAATCTCATTTGCGCTTCTAATCTCATTTGCGCTTCTAATCTCATTTGCGCTTCTAATCTCATTTGCACTTCTAATCTCATTTGCACTTCTAATCTCATTTCCACGTCTGACCCCATTCCCACTTCCCATCCCATTCCCACTTCCCATCCCATTCCCACTTCCCATCCCATTCCCACTTCCCATCCCATTCCCACTTCCCATCCCATTCCCACTTCCCATCCCATTCCCACTTCCCATCCCATTCCCACTTCTCATCCCATTCCCACTTCCCATCCCATTAACAAATGCATCTCTGCCCCGCGCCACACCGGTACTATTAGCAAAAAACTGCAAAATATTAAATTGTGTCGTGTTGATATCCTGGAACTCGTCGCAAAACATGTAGTTCCACTCATCCAAAATTTTGTTCCTTACATGCACATCATCCTTCATGAGTCTATAAGTTTCAATGAGCAAGTCATCAAAATCATAGTAAATATACTTTGCCTTGTTTAAAATTTTTTTATATTCTGCATAAAAATCTGATTCAACTTGATTTATTTCGATCTTCATATTGTATAACTCGACATATTTGATAAGTTTTATTTTTTTTTTTAAAAATAAAATATGTTTTCTCTTCAAAATGCTTGTAACATTTGCATATTCGAAATAGTCTTTATTTACATTAGACTGTTTGAAATTGTATAGATAGTTGTAAAAATATTCATCATCTTCTAACCCTACCTCATCGTTATCGTCTAAGCCTTCTTCACCATCTTCTGCACCATCCCCTTCTTCTTCTTCTGCCTCATCTTCTATTTCCTTTTCGTCCTTCTTGGTTAAGTTTCTTTTTAAAGAATTGAAAAAACTTGTAAGATCGAATGAACCATTTGCATTATCAACCATGTCCCTACTTGAACCAACATAAGTTCCACTATTTCCTTGTGTAGTTTTTTTTTTGGAATGAGATGCATAAAAATTATTGAAAGCTAACTTAATAATATTACTATTTATAAAATCTGTTAATATTTTAAAAGGCCCTTTATACTTAAATAATAAGTATCTGCAAAAGGAATGTATAGTTCCTATAAACATTACTGTTTGAAGCACTTTTAGTTTGCTTTTATTATGAATGTTGCTACTGGTGTCACATTTTTTCTTCACACTTTTATCACTAAAGAGTTTGCATCTTATATCACTATCTAGATATAAGTCTATCAGACAGTTTATTTTTTTGCTTATTTTATCTTTCAAATCATTCGCTGCATAATTTGTAAATGTTATGCACACAACTGATTTCTTTTTTTCAATTATACTTCTAATGATTCGTGATGTTAAGGTCGAAGTTTTTCCAGATCCAGGACATGCTATGATGCATAAATTCATATTAAGGGGTACCTGCACAATTCTTATTTGTTCATTTGATAAATTCCTGAATAGGATGCTATTAAACAGTATTTCACGTTTCACAGATTCGTCACTTTTCACAGATTTGTCACGTTTCACAGATATGTCACTGTTCACAGTTGCCACCGGAACCTCATTTTGTTCTTCATTTATTTCTCCCTTTTCATGCTGGCTTAGCATGCCATATTTTTTGCTTCTCTTGCTTTGTCTATCATTTGGATGTTCCTCCTTCCTCGCCATTTTTTTTTTTTTTTTTTTTTTTTTTTTTCTCTCAAACTATCATTCGAGTTTTCTAATATTTATGTTGTGTCTAATTGGCTTTTCAACCACCGCTCTATTATACCAACTGGTTATCCCTTTTCTACTCAGAGAAAACAACAAAATGTTTGGAAGATCCCTGCACTGATGAAATTTCTGTATTCCACCTTCATAGTGTAATATACTCAATCGGTTTCTCAGAATGGAAGACCTTTTCAAAAAAAAAAATCTCATATAATGAAAGTATCACTTTGTTGTTTTTTTTTTTTTTTTTTTTTTTTTTACACCATTCCCTTTACGCGATTTTTGCATTTATTATCTCTAATTTAGAAATGAGTATATTAAAGAAAGAAAAAAAAATATATTCTAGAGTGACAAATGAGTGCATAATTTGATTTAAAAAAAAAAAAAAAAAAGAAGCTCGTAGGGACTTAATCCCATTTGGGGAAAAGAAATATGCACCTTCCACATAAGGCGAAATCTTATTTGCATTTTATTTTTTTTTTTTTTTTCTCTTTCCTATCCTTTGCTCTTTTCCCTTATTTAAAAACTGAAATGTTAGTAAGTGTTACTTACACCAAGTGTGATGGAAGGAGATGTTATTTTTACTCGCGAACTATGTTCATGTGTCCATTGGATAACCACTTGACAAGGCCAAGGAAGTGAGAAATAGGAAGAAATATATGTACAACAGTAACAAAAAAGAAAAAAAAAAAAAGTGAACAAATTGGTTATATCTGTTCATTACATCGATTTCATTGGTTCTATTCGAGATGTACCAATTTGTTACACTCACTTTTGTCCAGCGAGTTAATGCGAACATTTAGGAGATAGCTAACTAAAAAGTGCGTATTTTTTTTTTTTTTTTTTTTTTTTCCCCCCCTTGTGTTCATGTAAAATTTGAAAAAGTTCCATAAATTAGAAAAAATTACCTTGCCTGCAAGCAAAATTTAAGGCTCTTTTTTTTTTCATGCTCCTACCCACGATGCGAAAGAATAGAAAAAATGTTTCCTACATTTTCCAAATGTTCGTCTAAACTGTACAAACGCAAAACTTCCTTTTCCAGAAAAAATGAAAAATAAAATGTTTACGTAAAAAGAGGTATATATATAATCCTTTGCAAATAATGTGAGAACAATTACCAAAGGTCCAATTTTTTATGCCATTTCGTCTGTTGTTTCTTAACAAGTGCGTGTTGTGCGCATAAATGAAATGATAAAACGTGTAAGGAATATTTTATTCTGTTTTATTTATTTATTTATTTATTTTTTTTTTTCTTTATTTCATTTTGCATACACATGGAGAGGAGATTTGACACTACATGTTTTGTATGAAAAAAATTCTATAACGAAATTAAAGGTAGAACCATTCAGCGTTTAAATGAAAGTTACGAGATTTACTGCGCTACTGAAAGTATGTCCACATAATATATTTTCCCAACCTCTTATAAAAATGAAAAAATATTTACATATTTCATGCAAAAATACTTGCGATACGAAATGAGACATACATACGTTATTTGTTTATTTGATTTTATGACGCATTTTAAACATAGAAGTTGCATATGACGTAACTTTTTTTTTTTTTTTTCTGGTTTTATAGCGTCCTTTCGTTTCTTTACATAGTTTTTTTTTTTTTTTTTACTCAAAATGTATGCATTTGCTCAGCCTTAATTTAGCTTGTTAAAATCTGTGAGCAGAGGACAATACATCCACAGTGTACTGCTCCAACATTTTACTCACGTTTGTAATGGCAAAATTTGTTCCTTGGGAAGTGCAATACGGAAGGGTTCATACTTCCGGCAAAGCTGCATCGCACATACATATATATATATATATGCGAATAAAGAAAAGGAATGCCTTAGAATGTTCATGTGCAGAAGCAGTGGGCATACTCTAAAAGACATGTGCGTGTAATTGTGCACTTCGAATTCGTCATGTAAAGAGGTGAAGCGTTTCTCAGCCCATTCAAACCCCTCTTCATTAAATGTAATCTTCACGAAGGTGCAAAAAAAAAAATTATGTATATTTTTTTAGCAAAAAGGAACAATTTCAAACTAGCTTATTTTACATCATTTTAAGCTTGCGTGAGAGTCCATGTGGGTATAATGTGTACGATAACGTTATACGCAAGGTGGTAAGATGGCAATATGTGGGTAATATAAAAAATCAGTATTCTTTAAGAGATATACATAAATGCATATATTTATATATATAAAGGTACCAATATAAAGTGGGATTTAATTTTTCCTTTCTCATTTCTGTCTCCTTTTTTGATATATAAAAGCACTGATTGTGTAAGCTTACATTTTCCTCAATAATACAAAATGGAACAAAAAAAAAAAAAAATACATATTTTCATTTTGTGCACGATAAGCATTTCTCCACTTCGAATACCCATCATATTTTCCCATATTTTGTGCGTAATAATTGATATATCGGAAAAAACATCTCACAAACCCGTGCAGGTAATTTGGGGAAATAAGGAAAAGTTAAACCCGTGATCATTTTAGCTTATTATATATTTCAATTAAAAAAAAAAAAAAAAAAAAAAAAATGCCTGAACGATTAGGTTATTTTTTTGCCAAAATTGCAATAACAGTATATATACATATAATAAGATTTTTTTTTCTTTTTTTTTCTCGCACATGTATTTTATGTATACAATTTATTGGTATAAGAAAATAATACCTTTTGTTCTAATTGTGTTGGGAAATAATGGTTTCTTTTTTAAGATTTTTTTTTTTTTTAACGCCTTTTTTTTAATAGCAATTTTTTTTACAAAATTACCGGGTTACATATATAATACTCGTAAGAACATTGTTTGCGTGCACAAAGTCCAGAAAATATAAATTGTGCGACTGTAAAACTTATGCAACAAGTAGTTTTTACAAATACAGCAAATAATTCTTACATATGCAACAAGTAGTTTTCACATATGCAACAAGTAGTTTTCACATATGCAACAAGTAGTTTTCACATATGCAACAAGTAGTTTTCACATATGCAACCATGGTATTTTTTTTTTTTATATGACTGTTCAGGTGAGCTTACATAATTCTAAGCTGCAACCCCGTTTTCATAAAACCAATTTGAAAAGTAAAACAACATTAGAAAAATTTTGAGATAATGATATTACTGAAGTGTAGTAGTTTTAAACATCCTCTAAAAATAAGGGGGGAAAAAAAAAACTCAGCATAGGCGTGATGATTTTCTGTATTTTTTTTTTTTTTTTTTTTTTTACTATTTCCTTATTTTAATTTATTTTATTATTTCCTTATTTTATTTTGTTTTATTTTTTTAATTTTTCCGTTAAAAGCTGGGTTTTTTTCTCGAGGGAAATGTACATATTACCGCCTTGCAGCGTTAGTAGTTGACAAAATGTATAGAAATACATACCTATATGTAAATGCTCTATTTTGTATATAAAATATGCTTGAAATTGTGATCCTCAACAATTCTTCCACTTTTCAAAATTGTATGAAGAAAACTGTTCTGTGGAAGGGACACAAGTCCACATATTCTTTTTATTTTACCTGAATGTATGGTTTCTATTAAAAACCCATTATATATGTACATGTACATGTATATGCATATGCTTATGCTTCTCCCTTTTTTTGTTTCCTTAATTAAATGACACTTCGTTATTCATCCATTCATGTACTTAATTTATGTAAACGTAAAAAGTAGATCAACCAAATTGTGATGCCAATTCTATCCAATATGACCAAAGGAGAGCAGTTAACTTTGTGCATTCAGGTAGTGGAGTAACATTAAACTTGCAGTGATACACAGCTTTTAGGATTTTTGATTATGGCATACTGGGACTGTTTCTTGCAAAAGATGTCCGCGTCCTAGTATGTGTTCATAAATGTGTTCCCATAAATACATGCACATGTTCAGGCAAAAATATATTAACACAATACCATCCTTATAACAAGATATATCCCCCTCACGTAGACACAGTAGTGTGTTGACGGAACGGTTCTAAAAATAAAAAAAAAAAAAAAAAAACACTAATGTATAACAATAGCAATAATTTAATTCCTGGGACTCCGCCTCTGTGCAGCTTGAACGGCGTTCGAAATGTTCCAATCTGCATGAAGGGCATAAAAATTAGGAACATATCCCCCGTGTGCAATATTAATTACAAAAAAATGAACTCGAAAAAAATGCGAGAACATGCCAACGGGTATATAAATTCAATTAGCTCCTTTTGGAGTAGAAATAAATTTCAAAATGGAAGTAAAATAATTAACAAGAAAGAATATGTCAGGAATAATATGGGTCATCCCAAAAGGATTAAGTCTTTAAAACAGTATAGATGCATACCGAGGAATTTTGGTACAATAGGTACTGCTGTTCCCTGCTCCTATAAATCTGATAGACCCCGTCACGGATGCAAAATGAAATCAACAGAGAAAATTTTCTCATTAAAAGTGAGTAATCACACGGAGGGACAAAGGAAATGTGATGGTAAAGACCACTGTGTTAGCAGCTTTGCTCAAGAGCGAGACTTGGATGGCCCCTCAAGTGGAGGTCATAGTGGAGGTCATAGTGCATGTCATAGTGCAAGTCATAGTGCATGTCATAGTGCAGGTCATAGTGCAGGTCATAGTGCATGTCATAGTGCAAGTCATAGTGCATGTCATAGTGCAAGTCATAGTGCAGGTCATAGTGCAGGTCATAGTGCATGTCATAGTGCAAGTCATAGTGCATGTCATAGTGCAGGTCATAGTGCATGTCATAGTGCAGGTCATAGTGCATGTCATAGTGCAGGTCATAGTGCAGGTCATAGTGCAGGTCATAGTGCAGGTCATAGTGCAGGTCATAGTGGCCGTCATAAGTGCCCTCAGAATGGTGGCTCGACGCGTGCCCCGACTAACCAACAGAGGTGCTTCGAAAAAGAAGGGCCTGCGAAGAAAAATTCCCAAGAGGAGAGTTCATCAATAAGCTTGAAGATGTTTGATAAGACAAAGGAGAATTATAAAGCGGCAGGATATTTAATTATCAAGACAGATGTAGAAGAGAATCCAGAAAATAATGTTAACAAGAGAACAAATAAAAATAACATCAATGTGAAAATATTGTTGGGATATGACCCTTTGAAAAAACAAGGAAAAGAACCAATTATGAAACCTGATGGAGGATTAGAGAGAAAAGGAGAATTAAATATCCCTGGTGGAAAGAAGAATAAAGAAGATTATTGTGATCCACTTGTTACTGCTTATAGAGAGTTTAGTGAAGAAAATTTATATATTTACAATATGTTTTTATCATATTTTAGTTATTTACACTACATCATGAAAGGTATTACATATGAGAATGAAGCTGAAGAAGAAACCAAAGCAATGACTCTTCCTTTATCAGAAATGTATGAACATTTTCTACGAATAAATTTTCTGCATGATATATCCAAAAAGAGTATAGGAGAAAAAAAGAAAATTATAAATTTACATATAAACAATTTTATGTTGTACTTTAAAGAAAATTGCTTAAATATCAAAGAGAATCATGAGGTTATATATAAGTGTTCATATCCCCCATCATATCATGAAAAATGGAATCCAACACTTGAGAATATACACAAAGAAATAAGCATGTACACGAAAGTAAAAAATGACGAGATTAACAATTTTAAACTTTATTATTCTCAAGGGAAATATAGTTTGTTTTTTTTTAATGTTATTCAATATGATTGTAAAAATATGTTACATTATTTAAATAACTATTTCTGGCATAATTACACAACTTTCTTTTATATCTTATTAAATGAAAATATGAATTATTTGGTCAAGTGCAGAGAAAATAGTAGAACCCAGTATGCACCATATTTATTTGATGTCAATGAAATAAAAAAAAAAATAAATTCAGATTTTTATCACAATTTAATGCATGTTGAAAATTTCAGTGAATCCAAATATGGAAAAAACAAAAACGATACAATTTACACGCATGCGAATACGCAACATTTGGAAAGTACCCAATTAGACACTGGTTACTTGAATGATGTTATATGGTTTGAGTTTTCGGATTTGCTTCTCTACTTCATCAAGAATTGCAACACTGTTGCAATTGTGCATTATTTATGGCAAATCTTTGATGAGATCCTAAGTAAGCAGTACTCTGACCAGGTGGGGGATCCTCAGCATTACATTGATACTATTCAAAACAAACATGAAGCTGATCAAGAAGATGAGAGAAGACAACCTCAGTTTGTTTTTGTCAACCATGGTACTCTAAAATTGACCAGAAGTATCATCTCCAACATATGTCATCTGTATGGAGATATTTATAAGAAATTGAAGAAATTAATACAACAAAACAAATATGACATTTTTCTCATTCTTTTCTTTTCTCCCTTTAACACTAAATTGAGTGTGCACAATATGAAAACCAAGCACCCCAGTTGTCATGCACCCTTTAGGAAGTTCTTCCTCTGCCTCGTGAATAATCGAGACTTTTGGCTTTTCCTTTTTTTGAACTTTATGGGAAATATTCCCGTTGTATAGAAGGAAGGGTAGGTGTGGGGTATGGTAACACTTGCATGTCATTTCAACCATACACAGATTTGTTGACATTCACCACTTCAGTTAGTACTAATTCGAATGAACTTGAATGATGTTTTTTTCGAAAAAGTATGCATGTATTTGTGCCTCTGCAAAGGCGGGTAGAGATATGTTTTTTTTCCTCTACTCCAGGTTTAAGGCACTTGAACGCATCCATGCTTCTTGCCCGACCCCTGGTGCCTGGGTCCAAGCAGGTTTACCTTGTGTTTTTTACTTTTACGTTATTTGTTATTCGTCTGATTATTTATGTGTGTATGCATGCGTGTATGCGTGTATATATGTGTGAGTTTTTTTTTTTTTTTTTTTTTTTTTTTTTTTTTTTTTTTTTTTCCTGAACCGTGCTATTTGGCCTCGTCCATGTCAACGGTAAACAACAGATGATGATTCCCTCTCTCCCTCTTTTATGTAACCTTTTGAGTACACACAGAAAAATGTAATTTTTTTTTTTTCTTTTTTGGAAAATGGGAGCCACATATACATTATATGTCTTCACACATAGCCAGACGTGTATGTATATATGGACTCTGTGCGTGCATAGGTGGTGTATGTGCATACTGTAATAACAGCCCCTTTTTGATGCAGAAACGATCTCATGTGTATATGGCACACGACGAAAAGAGCTTGAAAAAATACGTTGCAAAATGATCTACAAGATATGTACATATATGTATGTATATATATATATATATATATATGCCCTTTTTTGCGCTGAAAAAATTGATCTCTGCAGACGTTCATTTTGATCCATACAGCAGTCTCTCCTCACGTGGGGAAGGAAAAAAAATGTAAAAACTGTACAACTTTTTCTTTTATCTTTGCGGGCCAGAGAAGTGTTGTGTTAAAAGGATGGATTTTCCTAGGACTCTGTGGTTAGCAACTAAGTTCACTTTTCCAAATTGCAAATAAAAAAATTCACACGTCTGACCCGTTTCTAACTGCACTTTTTTCGGCTCTTTTTTTCTGAATTTTTCTTGCCTCTCTTTTTCTGCAATTTTTCTTGCCTCTCTTTTTCTGCAATTTTTCTTGCCCCTTTTTTTCTGAATTTTTCTCGCCTCTTTTTAATGAAAATATAGAGTGGTTTCCATTTTTGATATTTTCCCGATACCACCGATACAAATGTAATCTCTACAAGTGCTTCCTCTCCGAAACTGAGGTGTTCAAAAAAAACTGCTGTTATGTTGTAACACAGTGAATAGAAGAGGGTAAATATATCAAAATGGTGAAGTAAAAGATATGGAAAAAAAAAAATAAAATAAAATAAAAAAGAGCCATGTGCTAAAATGAGATTTGCGAAAGGAATACTTTTCTCATGGCACATATTCATAGTAGTACCGTACTTCCAGATAATCATCCATGGTCACATTTACAAACAAAAGGGGAATTTAACATTAAGTGAAGATGACATAAAAAGAAAAACTCGAACGCATGTCAGCAAACCAGCAAAAATTTTCTCAAGAAAGTATTTTAACAATAATCTTCCTTCTCTAAGGATATGCAAAAAAAGGACAAGTCAGTTCAGTGGTCTCATAGGGAATAATGTTTCGCCCCGTTTGACTAGTTTACCATTCATTAGATCGTGCCATAGGAGCAAAGCCTCTAGGTACAGCATAAGAGGGAAAAAAATAAACAAATTTGTTTTCAGCATTTCCAAACGTGTTGTAGACCCCTGCAGAGAAAGCAGTAACCATTTTATTCTTTTCTCAAATCTAAACAAAGATAATGAAGAAACGAAATTCAATAGTGATAGTACTAAGCTAGACTATAGCAATGGGTACTGCACCACTCCAAGTTACGACAACAATGAGGATAAGCATTTGGAAGATCACGTGAGGGAACCATATTTAGTGCACCTTGCCAAAAATGGAGATTTGTCATTTTTCTATGGAACAGCAACTCGATCAATGAATTATTCAACATATGAAGATATTGTGAGGAATATAGAAACACAAAAAGACAAGTTTTACACATATGAAAGTGACAAGATAAGAGAAAACCAAAAGAAGAAAACTGTTATCGATAAAAAGTACACTCTCATTAGAGGAAGAGTAGAACAAAGAGTGAAGGAATCGAAGAGAATTTTTCTTAAAATAAGACAAAACAGAGGAGTATACATTACCTGTGTGTATGAAAAGAAAAAAAATAATACAAGGGAGGGTGATCATATATACAAGTATATAAAAAATTTAAGGAACGAAAGCATTGTCGATATTGTTGGTCATGTAAAAGTACATGGAAATTTGACCAAATGCACTTTACCCTTTTTAGAAAGTATTTACAATGAAAAATGTATAGAAATACTTGTAACCAGTGTGTCTTGTCTTTCTGAATCTTTTGATTCTGTGCCTTTGATGGTGAATGATAGCAGGCCTTGTTGGATGACCCACCGAACGGGAACAGGTAGTGCCGCCAGTATGGGTAGTGTCGCCAGTATGGGTAGCGATGACAGAACTCCGAATAGATGTGGGGTGGGTCCGAGCGGAAGACAGAACCCCTCAAAAGTTAACACAAACAAAGTAATCCTCAAGTTGCAGAACCCGAGTCTGCACAACAGAAATGCTATTAACCACTTAATATTCGAAGTGAAAAGCAAAATTTCGCACAAATTGAAGGACATGCTGCAGCGTGATCGGTACACGGAAGTATTTACATCGAAGTTTGTTGAACTTGGTAAAGTAAAGACTTCTATTAATTCCTTGAACGGGGCAAAAAATTTCGACGCAGCAAAAGATTTCGACACAGCAAAAAATTTCGACACAGCAAAAAATTTCGACGTGGTGAATGAGCACGCAGGCGAACTGAACAGCCAGCTGAATGGGTCCGAAGGAGGATCCAGTTGTTACAAAATCGAAGGAGAAAATTTGATATTGGCACAGAGCCCTCAATTCTACAAACAGATGCTAATAAATTCTGATTTTGAACGTATCTACGAGATGAACTATTCATATAGGAATGAGAAATTCCATACGTCGAGGCATCTAAATGAGTTTGTTTCATTGGATATAGAACAAGTTATATATGATAATTACTATGAAATAATTATGTATATGTATAATATCTTGCATCGATTAAATGATTATATAAATGAGGTCTTTTCAGCGGAACTAAATCTGATAAGTTCACTACAACATGGTAGAGGAAACCATTTTGAACCAAGCAAATTTCCCGACATTCCATTTGTTCTTTCCTTCTGTGATGCTAGAGACATACTCAATAAGTATTACCAGCACTCTGAAAATGAAATTACTGATCCTTGTGTCTCTGACGTACATCTTGAGAATGTGGATCAAACATGGAAGATGAAGAAAAAGCAAAGTCAGTTGAATTCCATACACAATGACAACCCAGAGAAATATGTAAAACTTCTTACCAATGAAGAAAAAGATCAATTAAAAAAAAAAATAACATTTGAAGTAGTCCCGAGTGAAAAACCACACAATGTGTATTTTTATAAAAAAATAGAGAGTATGTATAAAGTTCACCACTCCCAGGGAAAAATGTGTGGCAATATAAGGGGAAGCATCCACAATAAAAGAAATGACCAATTTACAGATGAAACAGGAGAGACGCTAACAAAAATGGATCGGGGAAAAGGCCCCTTCGATGTCTACTCTTTCTTAAACACCTTTAACCGAGATGAATTTTACAAAAAGTTACTATTATTCTTCAATCGCTTGTATGATGAGGATACCAGAGTAGAGACTCCCTCCCAGCGTTTACATGAAACGGTACATAATCAACTGAACAAAGTGAACACATTTTGTAATGTGCAAGAGAACGGATGGAAGAGCGAAGAATGTTGTAAGGGAGAACAAAACAAAGAATATGTCACATCAAATGAAAGAGGTCAGTGGGATAAAGAAATCTTAGGAGAAGGCGAAGGAGGAGAGATTAGAAATGAGCGTGTGCAATGCAAGAATTCTCTTTTGAACGTACTTAACGAGAATGTAGAAAGAAAAGATAAAATATACCTAAGCGAAAGTTCAGAAAATAAAAAGATAAAGGAAAAGTACCTTCATTATGCCGACTTTACAAATGAAGAATTAAATTTTTTATATAAATTTTTAAAGAAAAATTTTGACATTGATATTTTCATAATAGATCAATATCCATGGCATCTCAGACCATACTACACAGCACATAATATGTATGACCTTCGATTTACAAATAGTTTTGATTTTATTTACAAAGGAATAGAAATTATTTCAGGAAGCCAGCGAATTAATAACTTACCTCTCCTTTTATTCAAAGTTTTAAAAACATGTGGCTCACCTCAACATCATGATTCAAAACACCATAATTCAAACTGGAATTCCTTCTTCTCATCGTATGTGAAAATGAACAATAAAAATTTCACAATTTCGAATTATATAAAGGATTTTCAAAAATTTATAAACCACGATTCAACTTTGTACCAATACTTCAATTCTTTTCGCTTTTCTTCAAATCCTCATGGTGGGTTGGCTCTTGGCTTTGAACGTTACCTCATGGCTACTCTAAACTTGGGCAATATAAAGAGCACAGTTTTTTACGTTTGAGATCAGCACACATTGGGTTATCCCATCCAGGTGTAGACAAAATTTCATATTCAGTTTTACGTGTAAAAAGTGGGGAAGATCAATTACGCATATTTATGAACATGTCTATTTTATTTTTCCTTTTTTTTTTTTTTTTTTCTTTTTTTTTTTTTAGTTCCTTCTGTCCATATTTTCCACACCCCTTTGCTCATTCAGGCAAATCGAAATATTGTATGCCTTGGACAGTGTGCGAATGATAAAGTGGAAAATATGGAAAATATTTTCCGCTGGCGTGAATATACATATCTAACCAAGTCTATTGTTAAGAGAAAAGTGTAAAAAACAAAAAAAAAAAAAAAAAAAATTTTTACAACAATGGGGTGTGGGGTATATCTTTAACTTCACGAAGAATTCTTTCTTCGTCTCTTTAACATAGTTTCATTTAATTTACCTGACGTAAAAACATAGCCAACATATTTTTATTAAAAAATTAGCATTTTTTTTTTTTTTAGTACCCACATGGGGTGTGTGTGTGTGTTTGTCCTTTCTTCTTAGGTGTTCTCTGATATGGGTGGAGTCGTGGTAAAAATGAGTAGTGTAGAGTGAGAGTTGAAAAAAATAAAATAATTGCCATGTGCCAATATCCAAAAAAAAAAAAAAAAAATCCAAAACAGGGAATATGCAAATAAACCATTACCAAAGTTTTGTTAGCTCATCCGTTTATAGCCAAGCAGATGAGTTCATAAAAAAAAAAAAAAAAAAATTAATTAGTCGCAAATGGGGCTCTGAGGGAAATTACGCGCGTAACTGTGTGTGCATCCCTCTCTCTCTCTCTATATATATATATATATATTCACTTGTGTGCATATGGTATCGCCAAACTGTCGAAAGGGCGTCTGCATTATCACCCCTGTTCGCATGCGCATAGGGCTCCTTTTTGTTGAGCTTCTTAAAATATAGCTTCTCCTTAAACTGCAAAATGGTATTTCCATTTACTATTTGTTATAAAATTAAATTATGTATTTATATGCAGTACGTGTTTTATTTGAAATGATATATGTATACATACATATACATATATATATATATATATATATATACATATATATGTATATACTTTTCATGTTCATAATTTAAATTGTCATTATAATTGCAAAAAATAACTACGTAATAATAATGTATACTTATTTTCTGCACAAAATTTTGCACTAAAAAAAAATATGATAAAAATATAAAAAAGGAAAAGCTTGCCGTGACCAGGGATCGAACCAGGGACCTTCAGATCTTCAGTCTGACGCTCTCCCAACTGAGCTATCACGGCTTCTAAAATTTTTTCTTATTATCAATACCCATAAAAAATAATATATATATATATATATATAAATTAAATTTTTTTTTCCTTTTTATGAGAAATTTAAAATAAATGAGCATTAAAATAATGATAATGTATACGTGAAAATAGGACTTATACATGTTCCTTTATTTGTAATTTAAGCAAAATAAATGAACCTTTCTTTTAATCATTCAAAAAAAAAAAAAAAAAAATTTCAAATTAGGAAAAAAAGCTCCCCTCTACCCCTTTCAATAACTTCTTATTTTTTGCGAGTTTGATGTGGAATTTAATTCGAATCCATTTGGGATAGGTTTGGTGTCTCTTCAAATTTTATTTAGAATTGATGTGAAAATAAGTAGAATTATATTTCTAGTCAATTTGAAACTCATTTAAAATAGATTCAATCAATTTGTTCCTTTTTGCACATTGCACCATGCGCTAAATTTTTGAGAACTCCCGAACTAAATTTTGTTTACTCCTGGGATGGTATTTCAACCGGCGAACGGGCAGTAGGAACAAGGTTAAAGATCTGCGAAATGCTTTTAGATATTTAAAAAAAAATAAAATCAAAAAGAACTACATAACAGTGGAGTAACCTAACAGTGGAGTAACCTAACAATGGAGTAACCTAACAATGGGCAACATAACAATGCAACCGTCTAATGATGTACGAAACAAAACTGCACAAGCGCAGTTTTCCCCACTTAGAAGATTAAGCAACGCTCCTGTTCTCATAGGTTGTGGAGAAAATGCAACACTCTCACACCATGTGGAACTTTCATAATGTTGTATTTTCACTATTTTCCTAATATATTCCTCCCCATTCAGTGGAACTGACCAATTATTTTTTAAGTGTTTACATCTTTTTCATGTAACGCTCTTTTTTAAAAGGTTATTAAGACAAAACAATAAGAAGAAAATAAGAGAAATGAAAAGAAAATGAGAGAAAAAGAAAGAAAAAAAAAAAAAAAAAAAAAAAAATCTGAACATGCTCAGGCAAAAATATTCACACACAAGTTTATCCTTTTTTTATGACCTCCTTTTTTTTTGTTTTCTCATAAAAGTAATTCTATTTTCTCTGAAAACCGTGTCATGTATATGTAAACACATGTACACATGTCAAAACTTTGAACCATTCTTCTGTAGTTATTCATCAGTAACTAAACATTTTCATAATCTTAACTTTGTTGACATAACTTTTTAAAAAAAAATTGTAACTTTTCATTTGTGCGTGGATACAAAAGAAAGAAAAAAAAAAAAAAAAAAAAAAGGTGGGAATTTTTTTTTTTTTTTTCTTTTTATGCACTTGTTGTTAACATGCCGAAAATTCATCCATAAAACAATTAATCTCTAAAATAGTTACAACAACAATATTCAGAAAGGGGAACAGAACCAAATAGGATAAAAACAAAAAAATAACCTAGAGTAGACAGTTACCTATGATTGTTCACACTAGTATATAAAATTACAAGCCTTTTTAATGACACAAAATATGTCCTCGATTATGTTTTTCATTATATATCCCCTGAGATATTTATGGAGTGAGAAGAGGTTGTGCATGTAAATATGCATGCATGTATGTTTGCTTATGCGTTTATGTATTTACTTATGTGTGCAATGCACCTCATATAAACTTTTGCACCTCCACGACAACTCCCGGGTGAGTATGCCTCTCCGATATGCTTACAAATATTCCATCGGGTGATATGGTATAGATTTAAATGCACAGAACTGAGATGTCACGTAAAGGCCGATATATGAAACGGATGTAAATTGTATGCCTGAACAAAGTGGGAAATTAAAAAAAAGCCAAAAATAAGCAAAAGTAAAATAAGCAAAAGTAAAATATGCAAAAGTAAAATATGCAAAAGTAAATTATGCAAAAATAAAATAGGATACAAACCGCGTTAGATAAAAACGGAGCAAGATAAAGACAAAACATATGAACTTTTCCTGCTTCAGATGCACATTCACAAGTGTGAATTATCATCAAAATTGTTCTTGGTTGCATAGGTAGTATACGATAGTGTAATGTTCATTTGTAAATTCCTTACTGAACAGGTTAAGAGTCTCGTTGTCATTCATGTAAGAACCTTCTAGGCTCTCATAAAGTAAAAAGAGCGCTTTAGAGTATGTGTTGACAGAAAGAAAGAAGCATAGGTAAAAAGTGTGTTCATGTTGGAATAAGGATGCCAATGTGTTTGTGTGTATTTATTATTAAAACCGAAATATATATGTCATAAAAAGAGAAAAAAAAAAAAAAAAAAAAAATGAAACATTCGAATATTACCTGTTAAAAAGGTAAGGAATGTCACAATTAGATACAGGTAACACTGGCCAGGAGAGGAATGTTGATTTATGTTTGGGTTGTGTTTGGTTTGGTTTGAAATTGTTTTCAAAGCAGGACAAATGTGGCACGAAAATTTCCCCCCAAGTATACACACTGTACATGCATACACATACAAACGCACGTGAATATGGAAATACCATAAAGATGTCAAGAACCGATATCGTGACAGTGCCCGCTGTCAATGATACGTCAATCAAATCCTTGAAGGAGAAAGGGTACATCTGTACTTTGGCAAATATATAAGTTCCATTTTTTCTTCTAAGAATAGTTAAAGATAACATGGAGAGTAGTAACGATGTCGCTGCAAGTATCTGTACCATATCTGCATAATGGAAAAGGTGTGATTAAACAAAAGGTGAGTATCATCGAGAGGTATCAGTATTGTAGTAAAAAAAATACTTATATCTGTAGAAATGGATTCTGTCACATACAAGTAGGATATATATATATATATATATATATATATATATATATATAAACGCATATGAGTTGGTGGTAACATCACAACATTGCAAAGAGATCATTTTTTTTTTTTTTTTTTTTTTTTTTTTGCGCTCACTTTTGTTGATTAAATTCTGATCGAGATACATTGTTGACATTGTTAATGCGGATAATCCCAAGGAGACAATAAATGTGGCCCGAAGGATTCCCTTGCAAACATAATTTAACTTCATAAGTGGTGATGTCTTGTCATACTGCAAAGAGTTGACAATCGAGTCTTTGGCTTTTTTAAACAAGTACATCCTTGTCAACAAATTTTTTAGGGAAGAGGTTGAATCTATGCACAATTTAGGGCAAAATTCTAGGCAAAATTCGAGGCAAAATTCGAGACACAATTTAGGGCAAAATTCGGAGCAAAATTCGAGACACAATTTGGGGGAAAATTCGAGGAACAATTCGGATTTCTGTTTCTTACACAATTGCAAGAACGACCGAATGTGGCATAAGGGGTAACACAGGTCAATTCTTGTGTGAATTAACTGCACTGAAAATAGGGAAGTAATCAATTTGTTAAAAAGTTGTTAAGACATGGGATACATTTAATTTAAAATAAAAAGGTGTTATTTTTGAGACGTTTATAAAAAACAAGTGGTGAACTGAAAAATTTATAAATAAAAAGGGGTGAACTGAGAAATTTATAAATAAAAAGGGGTGAAATGAGACCTTTAAAAATAAACAGAAATGCATCGTGAACAACTGTGTGTTAATAAATAGTTCATAGGAGAATAATAATTAGCACCTCTTGGGGTGATGATGCCCACATGGGCTTCAAATGTGTGTTCTTCATGCATACATGTATATACACATTTTCAAAAAGGGACACGGTGTAGCAGCGTATAGGGCCTTAACAGGCTTCAAAAAAAAAAAAAAAAAAAAAAAAAAAACATACTCAATGCGTAAACATGTATATATAAACATGTATATGTAAACATGTATATGTAAACATGTATATAACGAAAAACTAAAAAATATGCCCACGTTTTTAGGTTCTCTTTAATTTTTAATAAAAAAAAAAAAAAAAAAATGGAGCTCACCAAATATTTTAATTCGGATTGCTGCCATTGCTACATTTTTTTTATATGAACGTTCAGGTAATTTTTCTACGATGGGATTAAAAAAAAAAAAAAAAAAAAAAAAAAAACTAGGGTGTGTATGTGTGTGTGTGTGTGTGGGGAAAGATAGCGAAACATGTGTTGGATCTCAATTTGCTTCATTTTTATTCAACTTTAAGACTGTTCCATCGTGTTTACTTATCAATGCCACGTTCGTCATGTCAAGAAAAATTCCGTGATCTACAACACCTGTAGTCTAAAATGGTAGAGAAAAATATATGAATGTGAATTGTATTAAATGTGTGAATATGGATATCAAAAAGGTATTTCCACCTCCAATTACCACTACGACCTCATACTTCTTGGTACAGTTACAGAGTTTGCGGAAAAAGTACATGTACACTTATAAGGGGAAGGAATGGGATAACTGTGAAAAAAGCTTGCTCGACATGCTAAATTAGACATGTTTTCAAAGGACGTGCAAATAACTTACCATCTTTATATTCCTGCACGTTTCCAACAAATTCTCTATAGGATTCGAAAAATAAAAATCTACAATGTAATTTTTATTATCAGTTATGAACACTTCCCCATTTTTTTCCCTTAATTTATATCTGCATTTTTCAAGGGCAGAAATTTTTAGCAAATTCTGGATAATTTTCTCATGTCCAAAGGAGAGTATTTCAATTGGCACAGCTCCAGTTGTGCCCAACCCATTCGCACACAGTTTGGATTCGTCAACTATCTGAACAATGGAAAACAGGGAAGGATGCATATCAACGGGTGGAGAAATCAACCAGCGGATGTATTAGCAAAAAAGATACACACATAAGGGCTGCAGAAAATGCACCTCCCCCTCGCAGAGGGAATAATCACACTATACAGTACTAAAAATATATACAATCTAAAAATAAGCATTTTTTTTCGTTTTATTTTCTCCTTTTTGTTGTTTCCATCTGCATACACATATGTGTACCTATATATATTGTGTGCGTTTATTTGTTTTCATGTTTATATTAACATCTCTCCTCAATTGTCTACTTACAATTATGAACACGGATGCACTAGCGGCAACCAACTTTTCACGAACTAAGGCCCCACCTCGTCCCTTGACTAAATTTAAATTCAGGTCAATTTCATCCGCCCCATCGATGGCTATATCGATATGGGAATTCTTTTTCAGAGTCGTTAATGGAATGCCTAAATTTCTCGCCTATGATGGGTACATATAAATATATATACATATATATATATGTGCATGTGCATGTGCATCTCTGTGTGTGTGCTTGCTTGCGTTTGTGTGGATGGAACGGGTGTGTGGGATGTCCGCACGCACGTCAGCTAAATTAGGTAATCAACTTGACGGTCGACTCGTTAGATGATATACAAAATGTACATCTGGGATAGATATCTAGAAATTTAGAAGCGGATTCAGTTGCTGTTCCAATATGTATACATACACGTCTTCGCGTGATCTCGTATTCCATTAAGACTTAACCTTTATCTCCGTGTCGATGCTCGTGGGAATACATACCACGTCCTTTATCTTTCCATTTCTCATTAATTTTTCGATTCTCTCGAGAACATAGAAAACGGTAGAACCCGTTCCAAGTCCTATGGTCATGTTAGACTGGACGTAGTCATCAACTGCTTTGTAAGCCTGATTGCGAAGAAGAAGAAGAAGAAGAAGATGAAGTATAATTAATTATTTCATCTATTTAAAAGAGGAGAACATGTGGGAGGGGTGTTAAGCAAATGCTATTAGGAAGTTCTATTCAATCGGTATACATAAATGGGTGCACGTATATAGGTATGCACGTGCGTACATCTGCATACGTATGTATACTCCACTTTGTTTTTCTCATGGTACACGGTTGAGAGAGGCCAAAGACAATGCAATACTTGTATGGCACATCAATGTTACATTTTTTTATTTTTTATTTTTTTTTGCCTCTCGTACTTCTGATAATTTTCATCCGTCTCAATGCTGACGAACCACCCACTGTTGATACCTTAAAAACTTACCACTCTTTTTTTCAGGTCGTCCATTGTTTCTTACACAGGGATTATGAGTGGGAAAAGTGGGGGAAAAAAAAAAAAAAAAAAAAAATCAAAGCAATGCAAAACAAACAGTGGAACAGACAAACCAATGAATGAAGAGCAAAACAGACAAACCAATGAATGAAGAGCAAAACAGACAAAACAATGAATGAAGAGCAAAACAGACAAACCAATGAATGAAGAGCAAAACAGACAAAACAATGAATGAAGAGCAAAACAGACAAACCAATGAATGAAGTGCAAAACAGACAATCCAACGAACAGACAAATCTCTTGATAAATTAGAATGGTAGTTTTACCTTATCCTACCCATCCCACATCTAACTAGATATTTGAGAAAATGTGCATTTATATATACTATAAGATGAAACATAAAAAAAAAAAATGTAGAAACAAGATGGGTGAATAAAAAAAAAAATAAACCACCACGTGAATACTACCCCTGTGCGTGATGTGACACTAAAACTGCAAAGTTGGAACTATGTATTTATGTTTCAGATTCTCCATGTTGATTTACAAAAAAAGGGAATTCTGCAACACAGAAGAATTATGAGAAGCAAAAAAAAAAAAAAAAATAAATAAATAAATAAATAAACAAATAAATAAAAAACAAAAATAACACTTAGTAGTGCAAAAATATTCAACACATGCTGTGTAACATCATAGATATCCCCTTTCTTATCCTCAGTGGTGGTTAGTGAAAATGATAAGCAAAATACAAGCAAACAAGAATTCTGATACATGTATATGTATACATTTATACATATAGCCAAGCTGATATATAAATAACTGGGTTTAGAACATTTTCAAAAATAAAGTTGCATATCATGCAGCTTAGAAGAGGAACATTATAAACATGTTTGATGTAACCTTCAAATGGTGCAAACACGTTTGTGAAAAAGGGGAAGAAAATAAAAATGATAAGAAAAAAAAGCCGAAAAATAGTGGGAAACCAAAAAAAAAAAAAAAAAAAAAAAAAAATAAACACTAACAAGTCAAAAGAGAAGAAAATTAGTGAGGGAAAGGGAAAAGAAAAAAAAAAAAAAAAATCATAAAGTAACAACACAAATATGGATAACCCATTTGTGTTAAAGAGAAGAAAAGAATGTATTAAAATACGACATCTCTATCTCGTATGAAGAGAAAGTCATATTTTTCTTCCTTTTATGCCGATTGGAAAATTTAGGATTTTCTGAACTTGTCAATCTCATTCCAAACGTTAAATAATTGCATGACATAAACTATAGCAGAATGAGTGAACATAATATAAATATATCGCAACACGTGGGAGGCAAAAAAAAGAGAAAAAAAAAAAATAAAAAAGATACTTTAACAACGGAAGAAGAAACATAATAAAACATCCACAAATTAGGAGAATTCTATACAACAAAAGTACAAGTGAGGGAGAAAAAAAAGAAAAATGTAACGTTCGCCTGAGTTTGTAAATTCGTTAATTTGTGAACTAGCTAATTTGCAAACTCGTGAATGGACAATTATTATGCTACTGCTAAGCGGAAGGGGTGGAAAAAAAAAAAAAAAAAATAGGGGCTCCAATCAGATAAGACACCTTTTTTTATTGCATCACAATGGAATACAATAAGATCCAAACAGGAAATAAGTTCTGTTACAGTGTTTTAATAATTTACGTAATTCTATATGGTTCTACATAAGGGGTGAAAAATGGATACGCTACAAACTCATATACAGTTAACTAAAAAAAAAAAAAAAAAAAAAAAAAAAAAAAAGGGAGAGTAACATGGAAACATGAACTCTTTTATTTCTTTTTTGTGTTCCCGTGTCATCCCAAAAGAACAATTTCGCACATATGGATAAAAACATTTCTTCCATGCCCTTCCCTATCTTAACTATATGTTAGTTCAGAAATGGAATTTTCAATTTTTCTCATACAAATATGTTTTCCCTACACACACACACACGCAATGCACATGTTTAATTAAAGCCAAATGATGAACCCATACCTGTGCTATATGTAAATGTGCATTTTTGGCCTTGAAAAAAAAAAAAAAAAAAAAAAAAAAAACGCGACTTGAAGGTATGCATATCCATGAATGGAATTACAACTTCTCATCTTTTAAATGTCTCTCTTTTTCTGCCCAGCTTCCACTCCACCATATCATCACTTATCGGTGTATTATTTCACAAGATGGAGAGGACGTCACTCAGAGGAAAATTTTTCGTGTACGTTGGACAGAAGGCGCACATAAGTTCAGGTGTTTATATCTCTTCTCGTGCTTGCATCTGTTTGAATGCTTTTTGCGTGTTTTTTTTTTTTTTTTTTAGTAGAGAACCCGCCCCCCTAGGGGTCGAAGTGGACAAATAATTTTGTGCACTAAACGTGTTTTTGACAATTTTGACATTTTTTAACATTTTTGACAATTTTGACATTTTTGACGATTTTGACATTTTTTAACATTTTTGACAATTTTGACATTTTTTAACATTTTTGGCATTTCCCTGTGCATGCAAATAATCGCAATTAATTGGAAAAAGTGCATCACAATGAATCCGCTTGACAACCCTTCTTTTCTCATCACGGAGCGAGTTCACAAACGGAAAAGGAAGCAGAAGAAGCAGGAGAGACAATCGAATGAGTCAAATGAGCACCTGTGGGAGGAGTCTACATATTGGCTAAAAATTTTTCAGAAAAATGGAGAACGTGAAAAAGAACAGTGCATGGGCAATTCCTCTGTAGAAATAAAACACCCAGACATACTTCAGTTTAAAAACATCCGAATGAATAGCTACATAATCAATGGAACTATGAAATTAGACAAGTACAAATGCCCAGAACTCACGAAAAATACGTGTATAATTAAAGCAAATGAAACATATATAGGAAATTTTAAAGGCAGAAAAATAGATGGCTATGGAAAAATAATTTCAGACAAATTTTTATATCAAGGGCATATAAAAAATTGGGAAAGAAACGGAAAGGGGAGTAGCACTTTCTTTTTCACCAAATGTTCACATTATGATGATGATTATATTGACCAGGTCAGAGAAATCAGATACAATGGCATGTGGGTAAGGAACAAGCGTAATGGATATGGAGTTTTGTCAATAAGATTCAATTCACAAAGGTGTCATTTACCAACATATGAAGGATGGTGGGTACAAGACAAAAGACATTTCTATGGGGTTCAATATTATACAAATTCTGCTTACTATGGATTCTGGGAAAAGAACAAAAAATGTGGATTCGGAAAAATGTTCTGGTTCAGAAAAGACACGAATGAGATGAGAAAGATAAGACGGATTATAACTCATGTTGCAGGAGGAAAAAGGATATGCAGTGAAAATAGAGATTCCAGAAATTACATTTTGGTTGATAAGAAAATTCTGAATGAATACATTGGAGAGTGGAAAAACGATGAGATGCATGGATATGGAACATATATCTGGTTTTCCACTGAAGAGAGAAAAAGGAAAACGATTCATGAAAATGAAGATTGCGATAAATATTCCGGATATTGGGAAAGGGGAGAAAAAAACGGGTTCGGTGTTTTCTATTTTAGATGTGGTGATAAATATGTGGGAACATGGAAAAATGATAAAAAACATGGGTTACTATACAGAATAAAATCAAATGGTATAATTTTAAAATGTATGTATCAGAATGATGAAGTTATATCAGAGCAAGAACTTAACAAGACGTTCAAAATTAATCACATGTACACGAATTCTTTGTGTAATGTTATTAACCTGGGGATTCTAAAAACTTCCTATAGCCTTACAAATAAGGAGATTGAACATTTTTACAAAATTGTGTATGACCATTTTAAATTTCTTGTAAACATTTATGACCTCTACAGACGAAAAGGGAGGAAAAAAAGGTATATCCATGTGGGAAGTACAAGTAGAAAAAAAAAAATCCATGATGGTGTTGAGGATAACAACACAAATGTAGATAGCTTCAAATTGAAAAATCTCTGGAATATGTTTTACGATGCGAATATTATAAATAACAACTTTACTTTGAGTTCTCTGAATAAGCTTGTAAGTGATGATACATCTATTTTTCAGGAAAATGTCTTTTCTAATTTGTTTTTCCAGAATTATATCTGTGTAGATAATTTCACCCTAAGTGAAAAAGAAATGGTAAAAACTTTTTTCAAATCAAGTAATTTTTTAAATGAACATTTTTTTTTTAAATTATCACCTGATGTGAAAGAAAGCAAATGGAGCAGAATGTACAATATCATTCATTATATATCCGAAGGTAGTCATAACAAAAATATAAAAAAAAACGATGAAACGGAACATGTTAAATTATTTCATACTAGACATAATATCAGTGGAAATGTAGATGAAAAAAATTATGCACATGATCAGAAGGTTTGTACTTTTGATGAAGTAGCTACTTCTACGTGTTCTTTATCTAAAGATACACATAATCTCATGATGCATATAATTTTCAACAAAAGTTTAGTACTACTAAATAATTTTGCGAAATTTTACAAATACTACTGGATGAAACAATCATGTTGCCATATGAAGGACATAAAATTTATTTTAAAAAAAATTCTTCTTTTTCTGTCTAGAAATAAAGAAAAAAAAGGTAATAGTTATCTTTACTATGTCTTGTTTAGTCTCTTCCTTTCTTCCATCCCGATGTTATATGTTTTCTATCGTATGAACAAGATGTGGGGAGTTCCACATCGTACACCTTCCACAAAGGGTAAGGAGAATCTCAGTAGTGCAGATGTTGATGCAAAGCTGATGAATCCAGATTCGGAAAATGAGTTGAATGCTCTCAAGGAAGAGAAATTATTTAGCCCAGAAGAGGAGGAAACCACCTGTGGCACCACCCCAAGTAATTGTTGTAGTAGGACCCAGTTGAATAAACTCATCACACTATTAACCTTAAACAGATATAACATACACGATGAGAAACGAAAAATTCCTTTTAACTGTTTTGTACGTACACTAGTCAGTGTATCATTACATATGCATAGTTCTGGAAGCAAAGGTCAAACATTAGTTATCTTATTCAAAAAGTTAAAAAGATATTTATGGGATGAGGACGAGGAGAAACCCGGGCTACGCACGCATAATATCAAAAATGCTCCAAATAAAAGTAAAATAAAAAATAAATGGTTTTATAACAGAGAAATGGTGAAACACTCTTCTCAAAATTGTGATAAAAACAGAGAGGACAATAAAAATACAACAAATGAGAAGAACGTCAGTAAGACTAGTGAAATGCATCATCACCATCACTTTATAATCCCATCTGTGGTTGACAAAAGAGAAATGAGAAAAAATCGCCAAGAAGAAAAGAATTTCAATAAAAAGAAAAAAAAAAACATAGCGGAGAATAATTACCCCAACTGTGCCATATGCTTCTACGATTATGTCACATCAAACAGATTGAATAAAAAAAATAAAATAAAGTGCCATTCTACTGTCAAAGAGAAAAGCAGAAACAGTGGGAGAAGCAAATTTACAAGCGTGGAACAAGGCTACAAGGAACTAACAAACATACTAAAGAACTATGTCTACTACTTCATTTTTTACTTTTTAGTGTTTAAATCAAGGGGAAAAAAGTTTTCACTCTTCAGCACAAAATTAAATATGTCCATACAGTTAAGGGATGTGCTAAAATTTCTTTTTAAGTTGAGGTTGACGAAAAGGGATAAAACAATGAGGACGAAGTTAACGAGTATCAATTTGGCTTCGTACCATTGCAATCACTACTACGACTATAAATACCACTACGACTATCACTACCACGACAATCAGTGCAACTATAAAGCCCGCAGGAGATGGTGGAAAATGAAGTCGGAAAAGTGGAAATACATAAACATCCTGACTTGTGCAGGTAAAAATAAAGAAAGCGTTTCGGATAATGTCAGCACATGCATGGAAAACTCACTTAGGGAAACAACCCAAAAAAAGGAAGAAAAAACAAAAGGAGAAACGGTGGAAAGTAATAATAACTCTTCAAATGAGGTATACATAAAATCTAAACTCGAAAACAAAAATGCTGAAGGGAAAAAAAATTACATAAACAATGATAATCATATTGCACACACAGCTAGCCATTTTATGCGCACATACAAAAAAAAAAAAAAAAAAAAAAAAAAAATTAATCGTATGAACAGATCAGGCAAAAAAGATAATAAAAAGAAAAAGGTTTTAAAAAAATTCTCACAAATGTTCTGTTTACCATTCTTTGAAGTTTTATCGATCTTTTCCAAAACGCTGAACACTCTAAATCTGCATTTAATAAATGAGCCCCCTTCTACTCAACCGTGTCTAGTCCAACAAAAGAAAAGAAAAAAAATTGACAAATGTCGCTTAAAAAATCATAGGATACGGTATATAATGATATTAAAAAGGGGGAAAAAAAGTTTTCTGGTAAACTTTTTCAAATGCACGAAACGGAAAGCTTGCAATCACCAACGTTTAGTTAAAAGGAAAAAAAAGGGAGAAAGAAAATACCCCTTACCTGTTCATACAAATGAGAACGAGAACGAGAACGAGAAGAACAAGAAGAAGAACAAAATATTACAAGAACTTAATGAAAAACTGAAACAACTGGAACTAGAAAATTCTGAACAAGTCAGAACAAATTCTTCCACTTCCACTTGTGTGCAATTTGAAAAAAAAAAAAAAAAAAACACTAATGAGGATGGAAAAAATGGAAACTGCATAAAGCAAATCCTTTCGGACGTAGAGGAACACAACGAATTAGTGCAACAGAAAAGGGGAGATTCTCACATATACATAAAACGAAGGAGTGAAATTAAAATTGCATTATCTCGACTGAGAAGAAAATATGTTCATGCCCGGAAGAATTACATGAGTTTTCTCGATTATTACAACATTTACATTACCCCCTATGAACTTGTTTTGTTTTTTTTAAAATTTGTTTACGTGACAAAATGGAAAAGGGGAATCACAAGTTCGTACAATGACATGTTATTTTTTTTTATCTTTCATGTTTTGATTCACAGGACGTTCAGGCTGGCACTGCGAACGTCTTCTCATGGGGGGAATTCCATTCGGAAAAAAACAAAAGTGATGAAAGGGACTGAAAAGGACTAAAAAAAACTGAAAAGAATTAAAAAAACTGAAAAGAATTAAAAAAACTGAAAAGAATTAAAAAAACTGAAAAGAATTAAAAAAACTGAAAAGAATTAAAAAAACTGAAAAGAATTAAAAAAACTGAAAAGAATTAAAAAAACTGAAAAGAATTAAAAAAACTGAAAAGAATTAAAAAAACTGAAAAGAATTAAAAAAACTGATAAATCTTGTTCATGTTCAAAACCTGAATCCAGCAAAGTTAACGAATTGATATGTTAAATGGGCAAAACAACTGAAACCAGTTCGCAATTTTTTTTTTAATGTTCTTATGTGCATATATATATGAATGAGTAAACAAGTTAATCTACAGGAATGATAACTCAAATAGAGAATAACTGCACAATCAAAATAAAAAAAAAAAAAAAAAAAAAAAAAACCTGTATTATGGTGTCTCACATACAAATTTGATATTTGTCGTTCTCCACAGGAAGAGACCACCTCTTCTCACTGCTCAAGGGGAACGAAACAGAAGGAGGTATTTCAGTGCCAACAAAAACAGTTCTGAATAAATTAATTAAATTATTTATACCAAAAATTATGTCTAAATTTGGTTTTTTATTTTTCATTTGTTCGTAATTATTAGGGGACATCGAATTTGGAAAGGAGTAAGTAAAATCAATCCACTTTATGTCACATGTGCAAGGATTTTTTTTGTCATAAATAATTAATAAAGAAGTTGAACAAAAGGAATATATGCGTTGTTCTTGTAGCCATATTTTTAAATTGATCAATTTCGGCAAAACAATTGAAACAATATGTTTAAAAAAAATTGTCAACAAGTATAACACATGTTCTTCACTTAAATGTAACCCAATATCTCTACTAATTTGCAATTTTTTATGAACATGGTCATAACAATTTTCTATTCCGATTTTTTCCTTTGGAAAATATTTTTTCACATGGTTTTGATCATTCATTTTTTTTTTATTATCTTCAGTTAATTCATTCTTTGCTACATAATTAGCATAAATGTTCTTAATATCTTCATCTTTTAACACATTCGGATAATGTATGTGGTACAATAATGCACATATTCGAAATCCTAACGTTTTCTGTGTAGTCTTGCGTGCAGTAATTTCTTGTTTCCACGATTTCAACAAGGAATAAATTTCATTATTATCATATTTGTAAAAAGCGGGAGGCAATTTTATATCACGAGCTGATATATCAATTATGTGTTCATCACTTGTGTTTATATATTCATTTCTTATATCCTTTTTCATTCTAGACCATCTTTTTACATACTTTTCTTTTTCACACCATTCAATAGAGTTGCTTTCTTTTATTAGTTCCGGATTAAATAGTAAGTCATTATCTTTCAGTGTGTTATATCCTAATTTTAAATCTAGAATATTTTGATTTTCAACCGCTATCGAATTGCACATTTTTTCCAGTTTCAGTGCCAAGTGCAATCCTTTACATTTGTCTTGTTTTTTAACCCTTTTTCCTAATCTATCCACTTCTAACTCTTTCATGAAATCGTTCATTTTCCCGATTTTCCATATTTCAACTCCTTTCGTTTGTGTATGTGTACCTTTTCTTACAACATTCTTTCCACATTTTTCACTTCGATTTGTTTCATCCTCTTGTTGAGTCTTTCGATTCACCTCTGCTGTTTGGTTTAAAATAGAGCCTGAACTCTGGGTTCCCATTATTTTCTTTACGCCCCTTAGTTCCCTTTTTTCGCCATATTTTTCCTCTCCTGGGTTAATGAATTCTGCCTTTGTTCCTTCACCAACTGCAATGTCAGAAGTTGCTTCATCCTCTTGGTTTTCTCCTTCCTTAACACATGGGTAAACAGGAACAATACTGTAACACTTTGGAATCAGCTTTTTATGAACAAGAAAGGATAAGACCTGTTGTTGTTCATATAATGCATCAGTATGCCTGTATCCTGTTCGTTCTTCATTTCTCAAAGTAAAAGTTGTGTTTGTTTCACTTAGATTTTTCTGAATCCTCGAGTTGATGCCATCACTGATTTTCTCCTTTGCATATCTGTTCCTCTCAGTATCACTGTTTTTCTCTTTTGCGTATCCATCATCCCTCTCGGTGAGTGTTTTGCTGATGTCCCACTGTTGTGCACATGCATCTGACACTGTAAATTTGGTATTTCCATTAGAATTTGCCATAAAAATTGAACCTGAATTTGGGGTTGTATCTTCGTTTTCAACTTGTTGGGTGAAGCATAACTTTTCATAACTGTCTGCATAAAAAAATGAATCCTCCTCTCTAGTGAATATATTCGTTTGTGAATCCATCAATAAATCCTTATTGTCATCCAGCTTTTGTTCCTTTTTTTCCTCCGAGTTGTGGACACTACTATGATGAAAGGTCCTTCTTCCATTCAAATTTTCTTCCAACAAATATTCTCCTAATGTTGACGATTCCAGTGCTCCATTTCGTTTGTTTAATTCGACTTGCTCAAAAATGAGACAATCTGTTTCATGGTTTCTTTTTTCACGTACACATGTGTTTACTTCTGGATTTTCTTCTATAACATTTCCCCTAATATGCTCACCATTTATATCTGTACCTGTACTTGTATATGCATTTTTTCTTGTATTCAGATGTGCGGGTGAAATGTTAGGTATGCTTGTAATAGCCACTGTGTCATTAAAACATGGTTCTTGAACATGATCAATTTGGCTATTTTTACCTTTAAACTGATTTGAGCTGCATCTAAAAAAATTTCTAACATTTCCATTTATCTCCTTTTTATTCAACTCATCCTTATACACCAACTCGTTCTGGATATTGCTGTACTCTCCTGAAGGGGTGTCTTCTTCCACGTAATCATTAAGACGGATGTTATAATTATGTTTATTACTACATAACATATTACCCGTTTGTCCCTGTCGTAAGGATCTTCTCAAGCTCTTTTTGTGCAAGAGGTCATATGACATAAACGTGTTAATGTAAAATTTGGCTTCTCCATTTTTAAAAAAGGGAATTAATTTATAAATATACTTAGATTTTTCTCTTGTCAACATGATAGATGTACCTGTCAATTTTTGATTCTCCATGTTGTATAGAACTTCATCCGTTTCTTGGTTATCGCTGATTTTTTTTTTTTTTTTTTTTTTTTTTTTTTTTTCTATAATTTATTAAACTTGTCCAAAAGGAATCTACACTTTTGTTATCACTCTGTAAGATGTTTTTCTCCATTAAATTAATAAAATTAAATCTTTCAAAAATGTCATTTTCATCAACATTAGAATCATCATCTGAATATTCGAAAATTGTATAATCTGTGCTATTCCAGCAGGTGCTATTATCTCCCTCCTCTTTATTCTTGGATATGTCTTCTCCTGTTACCTTGCAATTGGCATCTTTAAAATTTTCACAATTAAACGAGCCATCACGTGCCTGAATTATATGATCAAAATTATGATATGTCTCGTTTTTCCAATTCTCATCATTAGACTTTAGTTGGTATCTTACCATATTACCATTCCTATCATTACTAGTAGTTTTTTCATCCTTAAGGTTCATGTTAGCACGATTCCTCCCTTTAACAACACTGTCTCGAATAAGTTCTTCAGTTCTATTATCTAGAATAAGAATATTTTTATTATTCTTTTCCTTCTCTTGCATTTTTTCTATATATTGTGTTAGTAATTTTCCTCGATAGGTATTTTCCCCATTAGACATAATTTCACTTTTACTTGTTTTAAAATTGTCATATGATTTTTTTTTGTTTCCTTGCCAAGTTGCATTCTCGTTCATGTGATTGGTATACTTTACATTTGTAACGATATTTCTGATTTTCTCTCTTGCCATTTGACAGTCTCTTTCACGTGAGGGGTGATCTGTATTTATATTTTCCTGAACGGAATTGAAATATGTTATTGTGTCTGTTTCCTTTTCTTCATTTATATCGCAAATGCCCTTTCTTATAATACATATTTTTCTCATGTCATTTTTTTTTCCCTTCTTTTTGCAGCTACTCAGAGGGGTGTCCAACAAATGATCGTCTTCATAAGACATTTCCCGAGTTCCTTTTTTTTCCATTTTTTTAAATGTAATTATGTTTACACTCATCAATTAGTATATGTTTGTATACATGTACACAACACATTGAAAATTTCGGTGATAATTAACTTACGCTTCTCTGAGACGGTTAAAATTAAGCACTTTATATTACAACAAATGGGGAAAAAAAAAAAAAAAAAAAAAAAAAAAATTAACTTTTTTTTCTGAACAGTCAGGTGAAATATAAACGCAAACAAAAAAATAAATAGTTTTTCTTCTCTCCCACCATAACTTCTTTTTCATCTCCAATTGGGTAACAAATGGGAAAAAAAAAGAAAAAGCAATAAAACATTGATACTTTTTTGAGAATAATACAAATGAAAAGAAAATCAAGCCTTACCAAGGTGAATTAGAAAAGTGAATAAAGCAAAGTAATGGAAAACTCAACATGAAGTGGAAAACGGAAAAAAAAAAAAAAAGTTCATTCTACATATTTGCCAACGTGGAGGGGTGGGGGTTAATCTATATATGTATATATATATATATATATACGCATATGTATTCATATAATAACCTACATATATGCAATACTCATTTATCGTGTTCGGTTAAGAGCAATTAAGTGAAATCCATATTGGGGAAAGGTATTAAATTTTTTTACTTTTTTTCTCCTTTTTTGTAAGTATAAAAAGATATACATAAAAATAACAATACACTTCTTATTAAAGTTATAGGAGAACGAGTGCGTGCGAATGGTACCAGAAAAGTAACATCGAGAAAAAGAAAAGAAATAAAGCAATATTATGTATATGTATATATATATATAGGGGTAAAACCCTACTAGCATCATATATATAACTTAATAAAAATTTTAGCCCCCAATTGTTTATTTCTTCCCCACTTTTAAGTGCATTCAATTGATCCCAAATAAAAAAACTTGTATTTATTTTAGGAACGTATGAAATAACACTAACGTTTTTTTTAAGTGTTACTAAAAACGTACGTTTTTACTGGAAAAGGGTAATATGCATTTCTTTTGGAGAGGAATGTAAAAATTTTTCATACAATATTCTAGCAGAAATGGAAGGAAGGGGGGAAAAAGAAGAAGAAAAAAAAAAAAAAAAGTCTTTCGAAATTGGAAAAAATTAAATGAAATAGTATAAGGGAAAAAATTAACACTATATGTATATATATATATATATATATGTATATGCATATTTATGACTAAACAACTTACAACCTGGAGTAATTGTACAAAAATACACCTTTTAATGAACTAAACTCACAGTTCGTTTATTCCCATCCGTTTTATGGTTGCTCACCCGTTTTTTATGAACGTGTTCATACTTTTATAACATAAAGATATGCGCATACATGTGTAATATAAAGATAGTAACACACACATACCCATGCCGAGTGAGAAGTGAAGTGTTATACCCTGATTCCATAAAATTAGAATTTGAAGGAGGGAAAAAATTTCAGTCAAGGGTACACCTATTTTGATACAAGAAAATTTTCTCTAAAAGCATAATATTCCATAAAAGTGAATGTCGTCTTCTCACGTGAGCCACAAGAATGGAAAGAGGGGGGGAGGGAGGAATGTAATGTTATATTCACAAAAAAAAAAAAAAAATTAACAATATATCTCGATCGTCATTTAATAGAGAGAAGAAGGGTATATGTTTGTTTGCATGCATATATGTATCTGTGTTTGTGTACTTGCTTTGATGTAACGAAAAATAGAGTTAATTCACATTTGATTTAACGTGGAATTTTCTTGGGACCTTATTTCCCCCTTTTTTTACCGGGTTGATATGAAACCTTTAGGAAGATCTTCCCCTGAACCATGCTGAGATTTCGAATATTTCAGAGTCAAGAACACAAAAAATGGAAAAAGACAACAGTGGTTGTAAAGCAAAGGGAGATATGAATGAGGGTAGCATAGAAAAGTATCATGGAAACCCGTTCACTAATTTGAAAGAAGATTATTACAATGAAAAGATCCAAAGGATAATTTGTGCCATATTAGTTCGTAAGAACATAAAAAAAGTAAATGTTGAAGTTTTCGATTTACTGTTTAATTTTTTTATGAAAATAATTAAAACCATCGGAATGAATTGTCGAAAATTTTCCTCTCTTCGAGGGAGTGTCGTTGTTAATTATATAGATATAAAATATTGCATAAAGGTTGTCTTAAACAATGTGTACAATGATATATATATTACGAATAATTTTCAGTACCTTTTTGATAATTGTATATATGATATTGAAGAACATGATGAAAACATAAAAATAAAAAACCATAATTACATTAACGTGTTACAGAATTCATATTTGTATTATAAGCAATTATGTATGAAACAAAAAGAAAAGTATGAAACTATGGACAACTTGGACTATGTTGACAGCCCTTTGGATAACATAAACCGCATCGATAGCCTGCAGAATCTAAGCTGCTTAAATAACCTAGTGTTTGGAAATTCTACTTCAAATGAAAATGTAAATGTTCTATTTTTGAATGAAAATATCGATATTGAAAAATACAAAGAAATTATGAAATTAAAAAAAAAATATGTACATGATCATATGCCTATTATACCTCTTACCCTAAATCGAAAAGAAAAAAAAACAGGGTATTATAACGACAAGATGGAATATTACGAAGAGTTGTCCTCTTCTTCTAGTTCTTCAGTCAAATCATCATCGTCATCTTCATCCAATTTGTCTGACCCATCCAGTGATTATTCGGAATTTTTTAACCAAGTAGACCAAAATGTAAGTGAAAAAGACATGTACAACACTCATACAAAAGATGATATTGGCCAGGAAAAAATGCAAGTACTAAACCTCTTGCCAAAGTTGAAGGATATTTACACGCAAAACGGAAAACGTGCTCAGCAGAATAACGACACACAGGATCCCAATGAATTCTTGTTCAACTCGCTGAACATTTTTGAGACCAAGGAGAAGGATGACTCTTAAAGTTTGGCACCTACCATGGTCGATGGTGCATAGCACTCCACACGTTTCGACACATTCATTGTGTGTAAACCTATATATACATGTGCATATACATATACATTTACATGTATATATACCTATTTTTTTTTTTTATTTTATTTTATTTTTTTAATGTGGCAAAAAAATCTACCTGACTCGTGTTCACCCTGATTTGTAATTGATATCCGTGTACAGTTTTGTGTGAGCTGTCCAAACGTACAAACACAAGAGTCTTTTTTTTTCTTTTTTTTTTTTTTTTTTGCATATAAACGTATTTCCCCATTCCTAGGCACAATTACATATGTACCAACAGGCACATAAATATATACATATATATATGCCTGTGCTATAGATCTGTGTTTGTCATAATTTATGCCCTATTCCCATGAACATGCCCCATTTTATTCTGTGTGACCAAAGAACAAAACCGCTGAACGCTGAAAAGTGTATGAACACGTACAGGTAATTTCTGAACAAAAAAAAAAAAAAAATAAAATAAAATATTCACCTTCTCAGATATATTTAAAAAAAAGCATAAGGAATAATAGCACATAATTATAATTATGTTAATCAATCCTTGAAAAAAAAAATGTACATTGATTTTTTGGTAAAAAGCAATAAGTTTTTTTTTTTTTTTTTTTTTTTTTTTTTTTTTTTCTCATTTTATTTATTTTGAAATGCGAAGAATGGTTACGATAAAAGTTTATCTCCATATGCATATGCATACAAGTATTCACAATATGAACAATTTCACATAAGCACATTTTGTACGTATGGAAAAAAACGGGAAAATACATTCTTATTCTTGTGCGCATATAATTTTATGAATACGCAAATACTCAGGGCAAAAATCAGCACAAGAATGAACACAAGAATGAACACAAGAATGAACACAAAAATCAAAGCAAAAATTCATCATGTTTTTTTTTTTTTTTTTCTTTTTTCTTAACCATTAAGAGTTAGATAATGAGGGGCGCTGCACGTTGTGGAAAAACGTAGAGATATTTTTCCGGTTAATTTTTTTTTCTTTTTTGAAATGTTCTCTTCAAGCGAAAATATATAAAACATGTGCGATGGGTGGATGTCATAAAAATATATGCAACTTGAGAGTAAAAAAAAAAAAAAAAAAAAAATTAAATTAAATAGAGCAAAATTAAATAGAGAAAAATTAAATAAAGCAAAATTAAATAAAGCAAAATTAAATAAAGCAAAATTAAATAGAGCAAAATTAAATGAAGCAAAATTAAATAAAGCAAAATTAAATAAAGCAAAATTAAATTAAAACTAACATGGACAACGCAACAAGGTAAAAAAAAATTAATAAGTGCACGTAAATCCAAATGGATACACGAATAACTACACAAATACCTTACGCCTGTGCCTCTAGCAGGCATTATTTTTTTTTGCTTTTTCCTAACTGGCCAAGTGCCCTGCCTCCGCACTCTCCCAACCTACGAGGCACCACGCGATGTGCCTCTCTACTCCCATACAGAAACACACACATACAACATATATATTATATGTATATATGCACACACACTTGTCTGTAGCGGGAAAAGGATGTAAAATTCTCGATTAAAACACTAATTATTGAATGTCAAACATGTGACTAATTTGGTTCTGTACCCTATATTCAAATGTTTTCACCTGTCCTCGATTTTTTGTTGTAAACTAAAAGGGCAGGGTTTTTTCTCAATTACCAAATGTTATATCCACGTAATTCTGGACCAACGAACCGGGTACTCCATACTAATGGGGTGAACCAAACGGGTGGCATAAACCAAAATGGTTCTTCTGCTGATGCTGCTGGTGCTGTAGTTGCTGCTGGTGCAGTTGCTGGTGCTGTAGTTGCTGGTGCAGTTGCTGCTGCTGCTGCTGCTGCTGCTGCTGAGTGACGTATTCCTGCCAGGTTGAGGAGACTAAGGGGCTCTGGTTATAAACGTATGGGTTTGTATAATACTGAAAGGAATGGTGGGGAGTGCTCCTGAGTTCAAATGCCCATTTAATAGTTAGTGCAGTGGAGTGATTTTCTATGGGCTGATCGGCCATGGCCACTTTTGCAAATTCAGCATTTACTCTGTTTGTATACTGAACAAATGCTATATTTTTATAAGGTATAAATCTGACATAGTCAATATTTCCAAAGTTACTGAATTCATCATATAAAATTTTTTCAATTAAAGGAACTTCATTAAAATTGTCTATGTGAAGACTCCCGATAAAGAGGGTTCTGCAATCACTATTGAAATTCCCAACACCTGTCATATCTTCCTTAAAGGTACTAAATTTTTCTCGTCCAAATATATCAACAGTAGTTTCAAACTGAATTTCATCATTTTCATTTGGAATCCGATGTCTATATAGACAATTATGACCATATGCACAACAACCTCGTGCAAAATATATGCAAAAAAATTGCTTACTCGTCAGATTCTTATCTGCTTTTGTGTATCCAGAATCTCTTGAAGGTTTACATTTATACTTTGCAACAAATCGCTGGGTACCGCTTGGACAACCACTACTACTAATGGTACTATTGCTCGGACCCTTGAAACTTTTATCATATTTATCTATCACATACTTTCCAAACCAAATGTTATACTGATCACTCCCTTCTGTGTATTCTACCTTGTTCAACTCTTCTTGTGTAACCTGTAATTTTGCTGGGCGCTTTAAAATCTCTTTTACTTTATCACTTTTTTTCATCAATTCGATGCTTTTGTTAAGTATAGAACAGTACCCATATGCTTTCATCATATCTTCTTCCATCCCTATGTTATAATCATCGTACATGCTGTAGTAGTAATAATAGTTGTTATTATAATTTGTGTTACTCAAGTTTGTCGTGTTCCCAAGGTTTATCATTCCCCCAACAGATGAAACGTTTCCACTGTCTGCAATCCCAGTAGACATAGGAGAACTCCCCCTCACCCCACTGGAGTAACCATAATTGTACATGTCGTAATAACTATTCATATGTACTCCATTTGGGAGGTATACATTCGAAGCATTATTCATTCCATTCGTTAAGAATCTCTCACCATTTACACTGTTGTACGGAATTTGTACATTACTTTTATTTTGCATATTTTCTTTACTCTCTATCTGACCCTCCTTCACATCACCCTGTTGTTCCTTATATTGACGATGGCTACTATTTCCATCAGTACTTGCACTTACATTCATAGTAACATTATTATTAATCAAGTTTGCACATGTATTAACCTCTTGCTTTGCATTATTGTCCCCATTTTTATGCACATTTTGAACTTTTCCCTTGGATGGTTGTTTATTTAAGTTATTCGCTAACACGTTGCTACTGATATTGGTAGATCCTCTTCCTCCCCCTCCTACTTCTACTGAGTTGTCCTTCGTGTCACTCTCATTTATATTTGATAATTCTGGTTCCAACTTCTCCATTTCTTGTATGTTTCTTTTCTGGGGAACCATTTTTGATATTTCTATAGCTTCACCCAATTCGAGTTTATCTTTTTTATTTTTCTTCATTATTTCAATATTCGACAACTTGGGCATTTCATTCAATGTCTCCTTTTCAGCCATATCACTTTGAATCGTTCCTTCAGGTTTATTTTCTTGATCATTTTTATTACTTCCTTCAGCATCATAATTTGCATTTTCTCCTTCTATTCTCCTTAAGTAATCCTTATCTGTTTCTTTTCCTTGTACATGGGCGCTAGGTTGCTCCTCATTATTTGAGATCTCTTCAGATGAACCTTTTCCCTTATCGTCAACAACAGCACCTCTACCATCAGTTCCATACTTCCAACCATTTTTATTCTCATCATTCGGGACATTATTTAACTGATTTGTGCATGACTCATTGGTACCTTTGTTCTTACAATTCCATAGATGTGTATCTGATTTTCCTTTCCTTTGGATAATTCCATCTTTCGATTTATTCTCATCCATATTTCCAACATTTATATGGTTTTCAGTTGCCTCTACACACCCCTTACCACTTCCTACATCTGAGGTTTGGTTTGAAGTGTCCCTCGATTCATCCACGTCTATCTGTCTCGATGCCGTTTCGGCTGCTCCAGCTGTTTCGGCTGTTTCGGTTGCTTCATCTGCTACAACTGCTTCATTTGCTACAACTGCTTCATCTGCTTCACCTGCTTCACCTGCTTCACCTGCTTCAGCGGAATGTTGCTCTGCCCTCAGTCCCTCTTCTCCCCCTCGTCCAGTATTATCCTTTTTAATTTTTTTATTTTCAGCATTTTCTCCAAAATGAAGTATATTGAAAAACCGCTTTGAGCTCATCTTCAGCTAATTCGTGTGGAGTGAGGATATAATACATACATTGGGTTACTGACAAATGGACTTGATGATACGTGTGCATAGGGAAAAAACTTACATGTGAAAAAAGATGAACGATAAACCACTGGGGGGTGAGAATCGAAATTAATAATTGACTAAAAAAAAATGTCTAAGCGTTGCTTAAACGATGCACAATCTTTACCTAATAATTCCTTATAATGACATTTTAATCATTTTTTTTTTTTTTTTTTTTTTTTTTTTTCATACATTTTTTTCTAGCTATATGCCAGAGTGAAACATGTGCATCAATTTTAAGATATGGACGAAAGGGGTGGTGGTGGTGTTTATATCTCCTTTGGCTTTGTTAGTATGCCTATACACCCCACTCCCTACAATTCTTTAGAAATTCATGAAAAGGTACTCTCCCTCCACCTACTACATGTGTATATCACTAACACTACGTAGAAAGCTGTGTGGAATATATATATATATATTTTTTTTTTTTTTTTTTTTTTTTTTTTTTTTCCTTCAATACAAAAAATTGCTCAAAATTGTGGAAGTTGGATACGTCAGAAGGAGAAGAAATGTGACTTCTGTTGAGAATAATTTTTGCTGACGTATGGAAATGAAGAATTTAAAGTTTTATTTATTTATTTGTTTTATCGTTTTATTATTTTGTCATACTGCCATTTTATCGTCTAGTTATTTTATTATTTTACCATTTTGCCATTTTACCATTTTGCCATTTTATCATTTTACCATTTTACCATTTTACCATTTTACCATTTTACCATTTTACCATTTTGCCATTTTACCATTTTGCCATTTTACCATTTTGCCATTTTACCATTTTGCCATTTTACCATTTTATCTTTAATTTTTTTTTTTTTTTGCAAAACTTCTTAAAGCGCCGGGAAAAAAAAAAAAAAAAAAAAAAAAAAAAATATGACTGTGCATATGAATTTGTACATATATGCATGGCGTGTACATGTTTTTACGCATATTTATATTTACATTCATGAATATGTGCATTTCCGTATGAACACATGCAATATATAATATATACCATAATTAGCGGTAAAATGTGTAGTGCTGGATATTTTCGCCTTTCTCTCTTTAGTTGTTCTGTATGGAAAGGAAGAATTACGTTAAATGGTATTGCTTAACATTTCCAGAAAGTTTTTTTCTTTATCTTATTTATATATTTTACAAATAAATCGTTAGGGAATGTTTTTTTTTTTTTTTTTTTTTTTTTGATGGGACTCTTGCCCCTTGTTTGGTGAAGAGCTAGTTCGTATGTATGAATTAAAAAAAAAAAGAAAAGAAATCATTAAAAAGGCTATATAAAACTGGTTTTATGTCACAAAAATGATAAAAATGGTAATATATCATAGAAAGTCGTGAGAAAAATATGCACGTATGCAAGAAAAATGGAGGAAACTAAAATTGGCATATGTATGAATTTATTCATGGTTCCCGTTAGGTGACTACTTCGTCTGTTCCCTAGCATCGGATAGCGGGAGGCCTTTATATAAAATATATGTACGCACGAACATGCCACCATCGTGAGAATATATATATATATATATATATATATATATATATATATATATGTATATGTATGCATATATATGAACGCACGCTTATATCTCGCCATATATGTATACCTATATACTTCGATACACTTGCAAGGGCGAAGCAAGGGTCCCTTAATATGCATAAGCTCCAGTGGGTAATAATACGTGGAAGAAAAAAGAAATAGTTGTCTTCTCCTCCCCTCTCGTTCTATGTCACAATACGTCGGTTGACATAGAAATAATAGTAGAGGATTCCTAGGAGCATACCAGTTAGGTGTGCTACATGACCTGCCCAAAAAGGAGTGAAAAGGGATTTGAAGGGTGAGAAAAAAAAAAAAAAAAAAAAAAAAAAAAAGTGCATACATAAGCACATAAATACACATACGCACATACACACACATAAGCACATCATTTGGAGAGTACTATAAGTACAATTTGGGGAATAATCTTAACATGCTCAAATATATGTAAAAAATATATATAAGCTAGATTTTCACGTGAACAAGTTATGGTATCGCACAGTTTCGATAGACACTGACAGGTTTTTGTATCCACAAAATGAACAGTTCACACATTAACTCATAGGAAGGAGCTTTTGCAAATTCATTGAAAACTCGGGAATTGAACCTGTGTTATCCTGCTTGTTCATTAGAACACAATACATTTCGTTTATGAAATATAGTGACGTGAACATAGCCTGCGATGCATGAGAGGGGGAGGACGGGGTAGAAGAATGAGCCATGATATATATGCGTGTAAAACAGGAAAGAGTATTTCAAAAAAGAAAATAAATAATAAAATAAAAAAAAAAAATAAAGAAGTAAATAAATAAGTTGAATATACAAAATTAGTTGAACAAATAAACAAGCTAATTAGATAAAACATGCTACATAAAAGAACGGTACGCAGCCGTAGGTTGTCTAAACGCACCAGGGGAAGGGGGAAAACACCGTAGAAGTATATGCTACTGTTCGGATGCATAAATGTGTATGTTGTAAGAATGGAGCTTATACTACCACTAGCACCCAACACATAAATGTTATTGTACGGACTAATAGAAGATGTGTTATTCTTATGGGAACATATTTGAATATAGGATGATATGATCCCACTAATTATATACGTTAAAAAAAAATTCTTTGAATTTAAAATAATTTCTAAAGATCTTCCTATGTAATATAATGATATGGTATTTAATAGAAGTGATTGAATAGAATTGTGACTTATTAAATTTGTTACAAGGGTGTATAACTTCCTTTCCTTTAAATGTTGTGATCCACAACAGAAATGGGAATACATGAATTCCTGAGTTAAGAAATTTTTATTCCTTGAAAAAAACGAATTAGAAGTGGGATAGTAGAAAAATCCTTTGGGCATTCCAATGTTGTCATATACATATGTAGGCTTTGCATTTATCCACAGAAGGTAAACCAAAACGTGTAATGTCATTAAAGTGTATGTAACAGGTGCTTTATAGTAATGGTATTTAATTAGGCTTTTATAATATGATATGTTTGTGTGTTTACAATGGGATAACATCATACCTCTTAAATAAGCTTTTCCCCTCACGGAAAAATTGTGCATTAGGAATCTGTACTTTTCTGTATCTCGTAATATATTTTTTACTAACGATAGATTTGTTATATTTGTTAGATTTGAAAAAAATGAAAATTTATTCCTTAATTTGGATTTTTTACGTTTCCATATGTATAACTGATCTTGGTATTTCATTTTTAAATCTCCACACATTTTACATAGTTCTTTATACGTGTTGTTCATTGTGTTCTCGAATTTTTTCTCTCCATTACTAATATTTTGCATGGTTATTTTATTCAATTTTGAGAACGGATTTCTCAGTGACTTATTTCGTAAGCTAGCTAAAAGAGACTCTATCTTTTTGCTTTTTTTCTTTTCCATATTTACTTGTTTTTCTGAATATCTCGAAAAATTCCGTCCACCGTAGTTACAGCTAGCCAACTGTCTTCCTGCATTTCTCATTTTCCCGCAAATGTTCTCATATCAAATGGGTGATACACAAGGGAGGGGAAGGTATATGGACATATGTGAATGTTTATGTTCTACATCTGGGTTGGGGTGAATAGCATATATTGTGACACATCTGTACATGTGAATCCCAAGGCCCCGTTGTAAAAAGGAGCAGAAATTTGTACATGTAAAAAAGGAGCAGAAATTTGTAGAGGTAAAAAAGGAGCAGAAATTTGTAGAGGTAAAAAAGGAGCAGAAATTTGTAGAGGTAAAAAAGCTGGAAAACGTAAATAGGGGCAAAATAATTCTCTCGATCATTCCACTTTTGGTTAATAAACTGAGCAGTTGTATATTTCTATATGCACTTACACATGTATGCCTTTTTTTTTTTTTTTTTTTTTTTTTTTTTTCTGATTCCTCCCTTCAGTTATCAGTTATCACAAAAAGTGAATGACAAATGTTTTTCTCCATTTGCTTTGTTTTCTCAAATCAGTTTGTTAGTTTGTCTATTCCTCGATGCTGAACGGTTCAGAAGAAAAATGGTGTTTGTATTATCATTTCCTGCGTGTACAAGTCCTTGTGAAGTTCATAACTTTTCCTCTTATAGTGCACAATCAGGTAAGATATACATATGTCGCTAGTATGGCATATATATATATATATATATATATACGATATAAATTGTATTCTTATGACATATACAATTCCTTATCTAACATTTGTGTATGCATATTGGGGCATTAGTTTTTTTCCCTTCAATTCGATTAAATCAGGTCCTTTTTTCTTCCCCCTCCCCTCTTCGGGCTCCTTTTTGGTCTGCTTACTGCTCTATGTTATTGCTATTTTCTTACACTTTTTTTTTTTTTTTTTTTTTTTTTTTTTTTTCTTTCTCTTCCTCTATCTCTATCTCTCTCTATCTGTTTTTCCAAGCCAACTGTTTGCTAAACGTTCATTTTTCTTTTAATTTTTTTTTTTTTTTTTTTTTTTTTTTTTTGTTTTCTCACCTTGTGATTTCACCAAGTGGGAGTTCATTTTTCTCCTTAACATTTCATGCATTGGTTTGTTTAGTTCGGTAGGTTGTTATTTTATTTTGCCTTAATTTGTTTCATTTTTCCCTAATTTGTTTCATTTTTCCCTAATTTGTTTCATTTTTCCCTAATTTGCTTCGTTTTGCCCTAATTTGTTCTATTTTATTTTTCTCTTTTTTTATCGCTCGGCATACGTCACTCATCTCAGTTTTTTCCCCAAAGTTGTTCCCAATTTTTTTTTTTTTTTTTTTTTTTTTTAAGCCTCACGTTGGTTTCCCACATCCGCGCACATTTTCTTTTAAGATGTTTAAGAAAGAGTTCCTAAATTTTAGAGCACCTTTTTGCAATTTCTTCTTGTCATGTTAGATGCATGTTGTAAAACACATGCTTCTGAAGCACTGGTGGATTTTTCTTTAAAATGTTTGTTATACTTAGGGACTAACAAAAGGAAGAACTACTTCTCCCGTGTGGTGATTCTCCCGTGTGGTGATTCTCCCGAGTGGTGATTCTCCCGTGTGGTGATTCTCCCGAGTGGTGATTCTCCCGAGTGGTGATTCTCCCGAGTGGTGATTCTCCCGAGTGGCATTTCACTGCCGCTACCCTGAGTAGCATAAAATTCGCTGCGTGAGGAAAGGTAAAGGATGGTTTTGATGAGAACCCTTTTGAACGACCCCGAATATGTTAGCAAGGAGAGAATCGAAAAGGAAACACTTTTTTGTCATAATATAAAAACCGTGGACGAAAAATATATAACGTGTGAAATAAACAAGAAGAAAAAACAATGGACTGATAGGAAGTTACAGAAAGAATTTTCACTTCAAAACCATGATCTTGTGTGTTTGAACAAGTATCGTTATCACCCACTTAAGGATGTCTGTCAAGGAGCTTTTTCCTTTTTGCAGGATGGAGAAAGTTACTATACCTCCAGTTATAAGTTGTAAGTGTGGACTCATCCATGTGCTTATCTCAACGAGTACGTACCCGTGCAAGTGCGTATGCATGTTCATTTGTGTATTTCTCCACACATGCCTGTACCTGGTCTATGCACACATTTCTACTTCTCCACACATGCATGTATGTCGTCTCTACACACATTTCTACTTCTCCACACATGCATGTATGTCGTCTCTACACACATTTCTACTTCTCCACACACACATACTTGTGCCCCCTCCCCTCTGCAGACAGAACCGAGACTATGGCTTAATTTTTCGAAACCTATGTACATCCCCATCCATTCAAATTTCCTTCTGTGGAATTATGATAACTATAATCGCAGCTCTAGTTGATTTGAAGAACAGAAGATAGTGTGAACCCAAACCAAATGGACTATCAGAAAATCCAAAGAATATTTCGTGTCTATTTCTAAGACTCTACATTCAGGTGTGCATATAGATATGCTTATCGGAAGGATCCTCTTGTGCGCTTACAAGAACTGGGTCGAAAAAAAAAAAAAATACTGTACGAGAAGATCGAAAATATGGAAATGGTATAGATATAATAGCGTGTTTTAACCACCATTTGTCGTATCCTCTGTGTGTGAGAAAAAAACGAAAGAAGTTAGCAACTAAGGACCGAGACTACTTCTCAGGAAGGAAGAATTCACTTCAAGTACCCTCGAATGGATGTATCTTTTTGTCACTCATTCTTTTGCTCCTTCTACTCTCTATCAGTATATCCTCCCCATAGTGCAATAACACATTCTTTTTATTTTATATTCTTGGGGGCAGAGTGGAGGGAAGAGAAAAAAAAAATTTCCTTCTGCCCCGTTGCTCATTCATTTTTGTCATATATATCCAATTGATTTTTTTTTTTTTTTTTTTTTTTTTTTTTACCCTAAACTTTAACCTTTTACAACTCTAACTATAATTTAAATTCATCAAGTTTAGGCTAATGTGTAAGTAATGGCAAGCTTACAATGTAAACAATGAGAACATGTCAAAAATGCATACTTCTTTATATATATATATACACCTCTGTACATTTGTGCTAAAAAGTGGAGAGTAAAAAAAAAAAAAAAAAAAAAAATATATGTAATCTCTCCTATTTTGCCATCTCTCACTGTCAAATGATAGTAAGAGCCATTTGGTGATGATATTCCGCCATTTTTTTTTTTTTTTTTTTTTTTTTTGTTTCTCCATTTTTACTCTCCTTTGAAGGGTTAATGAAAGAATAAGATTTGCACAAATGAATCTAGCACTAGAAAGGAGAGTTAAAAAAAACGCGATTAACCACTGAGTACAATAAAGTTTGATTTCAAAAATGTTTACTACAATAAGATTGATTACCACAAAATTTGAGTTGACGTAAATTCACATCATCGAAATTGGCATGGCAGAAAGTACACGAAAAGAGGAAAACAAAATGAGACGAGAAATGTGATGATCCAACTATACTGTCACCACAATTTCATAAAATGAAAAATTTCTCTCCCTTCAGGGATTGGGAAATTCAAAAGTGAAAGGGAAAAAAAAGTGAAGAATAGAACAAAAGCAAAAAAAAAAAAAAAAAAAAAAAAAAAAAAAAAAAAAAAAAAAAAAAAAACACACACGAATTAAAGGAAAATCCGTATCATTTATCCCACCCCTGAGAGTCGCAGCTAAAGTTTGTGATTGTTATGTGGGAATAAGAGTGCAAGTAGGGAGAGATAGAGATAGAGAGAGAGAGAGAAAAACCCGAGGGAATCTGAAATTCACGAAGGGAGAACAAGTAAGAATATTCATAGGGGGAAAAAAAAAATTCTGAACTCCTCATCAGCACAAACATGAAGAAGAAGAAGAAGGGTAAAAGTATGAACATTGCAAACATAAAGGAAGTTAATCATTATTTGATCACTAATCTAAATCTTATTACAATTTTTCAAGATGAACTTACAAGCCAAGCTCATGTGAGGAGACGACACAATCATAAAATAGACCTTGTCATTCCCAGTAATAGCACAATTCCCTCCCAAGAAGGTGAAAAAAATATATTGTTGTGGAAACTTAAAAATTTGAAAAAATTTAAATATCTACAAAGGAAGAGGCAAAGGAGGAAAAATCTCAATTTTTCAAGACACAGTATGAACAGAAGCCATGCAAAAAATGAAAACATAAAAAGAAGAATTTCATCAACCCAGACGAATGTAATTCCTCCAAATGCACAAAGGAGGAATGATTTTGAGGCTACTTGTTATCTTCTCATCGACAAAGAATTCTTCGGGCCTCCCGTTACTGTAACCTGTCACAATGCTGGAAGCAGTGTAAGAAAGAGCACTAAGAATTCGTGTGTTCAAAAGGAGGAGAAGCATTTTCAGAACAGCCCCTTGAAACGTACACATGCAAAGGGAGAATGGAAAACTGGCAAGGACATTGCAAACGGTACAAGTGACAGAATCGGTAGAATCAGCAGAATCGGTAGAAGCATCAGAGACGGTGGAAACACATTGAACTCTGATGGTTGCACTCAGAGGGGAAGAAACGAAAAAATTGAGAAGGGACAACGCAAGCAAATTTGCAAAAAAGAATCAAGGGGCGATAGAACAAGTGGAAGGAGAAGACGACACACTGGTGAACATTCCCAAGATGACCACACTGGTGGAGACGATTCTCAGCACGACATGTGGCAAGATAACGTAATCGAAAGGATGCTAACAGGAAAAAGGGCGATGGCCATAAGAAAGAATCTATACATAATAAACAGAAGAGTGGTGTATCCTATAAAGTATTGCCAGTTAAGTCCAAAGAGTTATTTATTTTTTTTTATTAATCATAAGAAGATTCGACATTTGTGCTTTTACACTTACTGCAGTTTACTTACACCTGATGGTGTTCTGAAGCAAGGACTTCAAATAAAAAAATTGTATCATCTTGGAAGTAAAAAAAAAAAAAAAATAATAAAAAAAATTATTACTAATGCATTGGGGAAGAAAATTCATTATGTTGATGATAGTGTTCCAAAAAGGGACATTCACGAGGAGGTAATAATCTCTTTTTTGTTAAAAAATTGCATTTATAGAGATTTGTTGTGGTTATATCTTCCCTCCACAATGTGCAAAGTTGGCATGAAAAGAAATATCAAAATAAAACACAAAAATGGAAAAGCAACATGCTGCAAGGGTGATAAAATCAAACCTCCCATCAAACAGAATGTCAACACAGATTCGAATAGAAGAAGAATTATTCTTACTTCCAATCTGTTACTATCAAAGGGAGATGATAATAATACTAGTGACAGAAAAGAATACGATAATGATTATGATTATGAAAAAAATACAAGTGCACATCCTTCGGAACAACTTACTATCACCAAGCAGTGCAATATAAATGAAAAAAAAAATAACCCTAATGCCTCTGAAGGTATGTGTAAAGCTGATACTGTAACCAGTTGGGATAATTTTCTCTTAAATAGAACACTGTTGAGGGATGAAAATTATGAAAACACATTTTTTCTTAAATCGAGAGAGAATAACCAACCCTTAAGTCATAGCAACCAAGTTAAATTCTACAAAATGATGACACAATGCAAACGTGTAGGAAATTATATTCGTTCGATAAGTGACATGTATTCAGGAAGTGTTAATCATTCGAAAAGTTTTATCCTTTCGAAAAAGTGCACACATTGGAAGGACACAAATGGGTTAACTGACAAATCAGAAGTAGAACTCACAGAGAGGGATTACCCTTATGAGATTACAAAAAAAGAAAATACAAAACTGAATGAGATTCCTGATGGGATAGGAGGAACTTCCTTCCGGAAGAGAGGAAATAATTTCAGCGAGTATTGTGTGGTTAACCAAATGGGCAAGATGCCAAAAAGGGGAATAGCGAAGGAGAAAAAAATTCTGATGGCCAAACTTCAGAAATTCGAAAAGGAACTATTTTTTGTAAACAGAGAGTCGCGACATGGAACCAAACGATGGAAGGCATATTGTGAAGAGGAATTTCCCAAGAAAAATCAAGTTTTGCCAATTGTGAGACGGATAACAGATATTTACAGTAAATGGAAAATAAAAGAAGAGAAAAAAATTGCCGGATTTCTGATTTTTCATCTCCTTTTTTTTAACAAAAAGTATATTTATTATAATGACAAAAGAGAAGAATCTTCATCTTCTTTATTTAAAAATAGAGTAGTATCTAGTGAAGAAAGGCTGGAGAATGAAGTATTCCCTACGAGCTATAACTTTGATCACTCGGGAGATTACCACAATTGGTTTTTTAACTCTTTCGATTATGTTGGCCATGTTGATTTGCCAAGTGGGGGTGACACCGATTCGTTTGTTCAGGCATTTTTGAAAAAAATTGGCAAAACGGATGGAAAACAAAACGTGGAAGAATGTTTGGACGAACCCGAAGGAGAGACATCTCAAGCAAAGGTAGTGCCTCGCGTTATGGATAACGGTGCCCATTTGAAAAAAAGGAACGGTGAGGAAGCAAGGGCAGTAATGAATGAATCTCAGTGCATAACCAAAGTGTGCGGAAAAAAACCTGAACAAATGGTGTTCCAGAACTTGAAAGATAAAATACTAAGAAAAGAAAAACAGATAAATGATATTTTTGAACACATGAGCAGACATGCTATCAGAATAAGCAAGAATATAAAATTATCAAACATAAGTAGATATGATGATTATCCTTTCGATTTCTCATATAATGAGAAGGTGGACTCGTCAAATACCAATTCAGTGCCAACAATAGAAGAAATAAAAATGATTAATACAATATTGAACACAAGATTGACAAAATTAAATGAAGAGGAAAAAAAATGTCTTTGGAAGTTTCGCTTTCAATTAGTTAATAGAGAAGAAGCATTAGGAAAATTTTTGAAAAGTGTTAACTGGGATAATGAAATAGAAAAAGAAGAGGCAACTTATTTATTATATAAGTGGTCAAAACCAAGTTTGGAAAATTGTCTTGAGTTGTTAAACATGAATTTACATCATCGAGAAATTAAAAAATATATTATTAATATAATTAATGAAACCAAAAAAGATCAGATAAAATTATACCTCTTCCAACTAGTACAATGTTTGCGAACTTTTAATTATGAACAAATTGATCATTTGTTTATGAACACGTTAATAAATAAATGTGTCGTGTCTAAGAAATTGTCAATTTATTTGCACTGGTTTCTTTTAAGTGAAACAAAAGATAAAGCAAAAGGAAATTTGTACATTCATATCCACAAATTATTCATCAACAAATTAATGACGTCCAATTTAAAAAAAAATAAAAAAATTCTAGATATTCTCAAAAACCAAAACCGATTTAGAAATCAATTGTTATATCTCACCAAAATTTCGAAAAGGAAATCAGATCGTATACAAAACAAAACAAAGAAATTAAGACAATTCTTATTCTATTATAGACAAAATTATGGATGCATAGTTATTAAAGAGTTTATAAAAAATAACATTTTTCTTACAGATAATGATATTTATGATTTTGTCTCCTTGTCCATTGCGAGGAGTAGCCCGAAGGCACCCGATGGGGGACAAGAAGGCAACTCCATCATAACAGATAAGCAGAATGACGAGGTGAGTGATAACAGAACTGATAAGACAACCGATAAGAGAACTGATAAGAGAACTGATAAGAGAACCGATAGGAAAACCGATAAGGAAACTGATAAGTCTAGAAATAGATCTAACGAAGAATCGAAGGATGAAGTACAAAGTCTGTGTGACACGAGAAATTCCATTTACTATCTAAACAGAGAACTGGCCATCGTTTTCAATCCAGAGGAAGATCTGTACTGCTTCCAGTACGACCCGAGCGTACATACATATTCACAGAACCTGAGTTCCAATATGAGCAATGACTCTAGCAAAACTATAACGTACATTGATGATTCGAAGGGATCTAAAATTGAAAGAAATAGAGACATTTCTTTTTTTTCCAATTTGTTGCAGTTTAATGAAAACTTTGATTTTTTTCTTAGCACGGCGTACAGCGATGAGGATAATAACATCGACATTTTGGATGATTCCATAAGTATTGTTAGGGAACAGAAAATAAAAAAAATTCATACACCGTTAATTTTGCCCATTGACCCAGATATAGAATTTTTAAGTTTTTTACCTGAACAGTCATACGTTTTACGTTCTTCCTTATATCCAATTGTTATAGCTTGTTTAGTCAGAAAAAAAATAAAACTTGCACATGAAAATTTTCACAATTTGATAATTAATAAACAAAAATATTTAAAGAAAAACATAAAAAAAAAAAAAAACTATTCTGTATATCATTCGTTTAACTCAAAATTTATTAAAGCTTTGTACACCTCCTTTGATTACGCAAGTGATTTTGAATATCATTACAAAAATGTAAAATTCCATGGAAACAATATCTTTTACAAATCTAGAAAGATAGAAAAGGTAGGGATATCAAATAGCGGGGCACCCCGTCCCAGTAACGGAGCGCCCACAGGCGAGATAAAGGAAGAAAAGGGAGAAACAAAAGGAGAAGCAAAAGGAGAAGCAAAAGGAGAAGCAAAAGGAGAGGCAAAAGGAGAAGCAAAAGGAGAAACAAAAGGAGAAGCAAAAGGAGAAGCAAAAGGAGAAGCAAAAGGAGAAGCAAAAGTAGAAGCAAAAGGAGAAGAAAAAGGAAAAAAATATATATATGACCAACGAGGGCCGACATATAACAATGTTTCGAAAGGATGGTCATCAGGAAATTTTTTAACTTCATCTTCTCAAAAAGGGGTTACAAGTGAAGAAGCAGAGGGAATGATGAGAGTTATGAATATTGCTGAAGGAATTGGCTCGAAAGAAGTTCGACAGAGTGGGTGTGGTCAGAGGGAGACGAAAAAGGAGTGGCCAAAGATGAGGAAGCCGAATGAGAAGAATGATTCAGAAGAACGATTCCTCGATAGGGAACATCCAAGTAGGGAAGAAGGAAATAGAATCGTGATAGAAAAGGGAGGAGGCATAGTAATACAACATGAAAGGAAAAGTAAGAAAGAAAAGCATAAAAAATGCATAAAAAGATATAACGAAATATATGAACTGTCCATAAAAAAGTATATTTACAAAGCAGGGGATGATCTGAGACAAGATCATTTGGTCATACAAATAATATACATTATAGATAATATATGGAAACGGTATGGACTGAACTTAAAATTAACTCTTTACAAAGTTTTATCTCTGTCAACAGATGATGGATTTATTGAGTTTGTTGATAATGCTGAATCTATTTCATCTATTAAGAAAAATTATAAAGGAGAAATTAGACAATATTTTATTGAAAACAGTACCGATCCGAATTCACCTCTAGGTTTTGATCCAAACATTTTAGAAAATTTTATTTCAAGTTGTGCAGGATATAGTGTTATAACATATTTGCTAGGTATAGGAGATAGACATTTAGACAACCTTATGGTCTCACCAGATGGATGTTTTTTTCACATCGATTTTGGATACATATTTGGAGAAGATCCTAAGCCTTTTTCTCCTCCCATGAAATTATGTAAAGAAATGATTGAAGCCATGGGAGGGGCCCATAGTATCGGTTATGAAAAATTTTTAAAAAAGTGTTGTTTAGCATATAAATACTTACGATATCATTCCAAGTTAATCATTAGCTTACTTGATTCCATGTGTGAATCAGGACTTAAGGATATGAAAATGAGCCCCCAGTTGTGTGTACAGAAAGTTCAGGAAAAGTTCAAACTGGACTTAAATGACGAGGCAGCCGAGATTTATTTTTTAGGTGTTATTAATGCATCTGTCAAAACGCTTTTCCCTGTTGTGGTGGACAAGCTTCACGAGTGGGCTGTCAACTGGAAGTGATGAATAATATGTATGACTCGATAGTGAAACAAAGTTGTGTAGTTACACTTTTATGTAGTTATGTTTCTACTAACGCTTTTACTTCGTGGACAGAGTTCGAAGTAAATTCTCACACATTTTTCTTACATTTTAATATTCTCTCAATTTTTGCGTAAAATATAGATCAGAGTTCAGTTTTTTTCTCAAAGTACAGATCGTTTGTTACAATCACGTGTTTATACTTTGAATCAGGAACACTTTTTGTGTCCGAAGTATTCAGCATACCCTTTTTTTTTTTTTTTTTTTTTTTTTTTGTTATTTATGCGGTTTCTACCATACGAGAACTTGCGTTAAGAAACATTTCTCCACATGGCTGCTTCCCCCCCCTGAGTGGAAACACAATCATTATGTACATATTTAAAAAAGGAAGAAGAAAAAAAAAAAAATATATATAATACTTTGTATACCTCTTTTAACCATTAGTTGCATGGTTAATTCTGGCATATTTTTGTAATACCATCTTATGTGCATTTGCATGATACATTTTTTTTTTTTTTTTACATACACATTAAGTAGTAGTGATGGTTGTCTGATTGAGAGCAATAACACAACATGTATAAGTCTGGCATAGAAGAATATATGTATATATATATATATATATATATATATATATATATATATATATATATATATACAAGCACATGCTTACCCACCACACACAAATTTATAAACCTTCTTTCCATTGTCACAACAAGGGTGTAGAAATTTAACTCGAAGAAGTAAAAGATGTAACTAAATCCGAACACAAATTAATAATTGTGATGGCACCGGGGAGTGTGCAACTGTTTCAAAATTTTGTATATTTTTTTGTGTTACTGTTCTGAACAGAAAAAAAAAAAAAAAATGTGCAGGTAAATAAAACTGTGCAGGTAAATAAAACTGTGCAGGTAAATAAAACTGTGCAGGTAAATAAAACTGTGCAGGTAAATAAAACTGTGCAGGTAAATAAAACTGTGCAGGTAAATAAAACTCAACAGGTAAATAAAACTCAACAGGTAAATAAAACTGTACAGGCAAAAACACACACTTTGAGAACTTTTTACTTTTAAAAATATTTTACCTGAACTGTGCATAGTTATGCACATATATTTATTAAAAAGAAATTTACTTTCCCTATCTGCCTTAACACATTCATGTCTACATTTAACATTTTTTGAAAGCACAAATTTGTATGTTGTACCATTGAAGGAGTATTTTTTTTTTTTTTTTTTTTTTTTTTTTTTTTTTTTTTTGCACTCATTTATATACTGTAAAAAAGGAAAAATAAACAATAAAATGGAAAAAATGATCAGACAAAAAAAAAAAAAAAAAAAAAAAAACTTCAAAGGAAGATCATGGAAAAGGGCATTGCAATACTCACTTGACGTGCCATGTGGACATTCCATTTCTCTTTACCAAAAAGGGGATAATAAAATTGTAATTCTAAATTTGTCATTCTAAGTTTGTTATTCTAAGTTTGTCACTCTAAATTTGTCACTCTAAATAGGCACACACATGTTTCAATTTTATTCAACGCTGACATAAAACGAAATATCAGAAATGTAAATTCTACGTAAAAAAATGTCATAAAAGAAAAAAACACTACTTAGCATGTAGAAGTACTCTTATTTATTGTTCATGATTAATCATTTAAAATTCCACTGGCTAGTGTGTTGTCCCGAATGTATAGACGTGCGATTAAAGCAAAAGTTATTTATTTTTAATTCTTAAGCGTAAAAAAAGACGCAACTTTTGAGTATAGGACGAGCATAGTAGGAACCAGGTAGGGATGAAGCAGGGACGAAGCAGGGATGAAGCAGGGATGAAGCAGGAACAAATTTTAAAGCGCACTCTTGTTTCAAATTGTTTTGCACATTTTATGCTACCTTCCTCCGTGTCAATCTTCCCTTTTTCGTACACGTGAATGAACTGTAAAGAAAACAATTTTCTTTTTCTTGTAATTGCATGCTGTGCAATATCACTTCAACAATGTTCCATCTGCGAATATCCATTTGCGAACACCAATTTGCGAACACCAATATGTGAACACCCATTTGTGAACACCAATTTGTGAACACCAATATTTGAACTCCCATTTGTTCATGTTTTTATTTCTTCTCCTCACTATTGTTATATATTTTTGCAAGGCCACAATTTTTAACGTTGAAACCAAATTCAACTACCTGTTTTCAAAAAAAAAAAGAAAAAAGAAACTTAATGATTTCTATTTTGCTACCTGTTTGTGGAATTTTCTCTCTCTAAGTTGATAAAGACAGAAACATTTAATAATTCTGATTGGTTATAACTACCTCTTAGTTTACTCTGAAAGGAGTTACAGAACAATTTTACAAAAAAATAAAAGGCAAGAGAAACTTTGCTAGAAGGATATATTCATACTTAACCTGTCTATACACAAAATGAATTCTCTAAAGTAATAAGCATAAGAACGTAGATAAAAATGCTCCGATAACCATAATTGTAGTGTATACCTGAACATAATATTTAAACAATGTGATACTCCCTGCACTCACCCATACCCATTCACACTACTTCAATTTTTTTTTTTTTTTTCTTTTTTACCTCCCTGTTCCTTATATTTAACAAGGAAAAAGAAGCAAGATATCATCTGGGGAAAAAAATGGAGGAACGTAAGACCACAAAAAAAATAAATAATTTATGTATATAAAACTTTTTAATTGCGAGACGATTTTTTCTTATGAGCTCGACATAATACATTCCATTGTGTACGTTCCCTATTTGCTCACGCTGTTGAATTTGTCCTTGTGTGAAAAGTGAAAATGCAAAGAGGTAGATTCATAGAAGTTTATCCAATTTGAAATTTACATACGATGCATATTTTTCGATATTTTGTAGCTTATACAGCAAAAGGCAATAAAGGAAGAAATGAACAAACAATTGAAGGCATCTCTAGAAAAGCAGTAAAAAAGAAAAAGAAATAATCCCTTTTGGAACAACTATAAAGGGGAGAAGGAAAAAAAAAAAAAAAAAAATCATGTACAGTGCTATTTTTTTCTCTTTTTTTAAACTGTTTCATTCCATCTATTCACATCCAATTTTTTTATAACCATTTGATGAAATGAAGAAAGCAAGAGGAAGAAGAGAAGGAGTGCACGTTTAAGCCACAGACATTATGGAACCAGAGCTTCAAAAAAACAGTTTCTTTCGTCGATGAATTTTTCGTTAAATTGAAGCCCTACATAGAGCAACAGCAAGGTGAGTCTGCAAGCACAACACATTCATGAAGAAATACATATTTCCAAGCAATTCTGAGGGGTTCTACACATTTATACACACTTCTACAAATTTATACACACCTTTACACATTTATGCACACTTTTACACATTTATACAAACTTCTAAACATTTATACACACTTCTAAACATTTATACACACTTCTACAAATTTATGCACACTTCTACAAATTTATGCACACTTCTACAAATTTATGCACACTTCTACAAATTTATGCACATTTTTATGTATCCCTAAATGCACACTTTCTCCCCACAGCCTACTTAAACCACCTTAAGGAACTTGAACGCGATGATGAAGTTTTTGCTCAAAAAATTAAGGTAAAAAAAAAAAAAAAAAAAAAAATTGCACCTGAACAGTGCAGGGGATTTTCTCCAAAAAGTGCATCAACAAGCGAATGTTTCCACGTGGGTGTATTCATACGTGCAGATACGTACAAGTGAATGTGTACATGCATATGGTTATTTTGCTTTGTATTACTTTTTTGCAGTGCTTAGCATTATTTGATTGTTACATATATTTTCCTTTTATTTTTGCCCAATTATCACCACCCTTCATACAGGAAGAACTCAGAACAATGCTGTCCAAAGCAGTAGACAAAGACACAATGGAAAGCATCATTGAAGGATACAAAGGGGTCAGAACTAGAGGAATGAATAAAGTGAAAAGAGAAAAATTAGATATTCTTTCCAAAATGATAAAACTGGAAAGAGAGTATAACTGTTTTATGGCTAGAGAAAATGTAGATAAAAAGGATTTAGAAGAATGTGGATTTGACTGTGATTTGGCAGCAAAGTTAAGAAATGATATTTTGAAAAATTCGTTATGTCCAAATTCGTTAAGAGATTTTGCAAAAATCAGACTAGAAATAAATCAAGTATTAGAAGAGGAATTAAAAAAAAGAGAAAATGAAAAGCATGCACTCATTCATATGCATAAAGAGAGCAATCAGAAAATCTTACTACAACATAATCAAGATGATTTCACTAATCGATATGATTCCTTTGTTAGTACTTCAAAAAAAGGTGCTCAGGAAAAAAGTACCTCCTACACAAATGAGAGAAAAATAGTGCATGTAAAGGATGAAAATGTTTACACAGGGAAAACATACATCTTATGCAACGAAGATAATGGTGCATCTACGAGAAACAGATCAATGGAATCCAAGAAATTCAATAGAGGATACAATATAAACACCATGGAACACGTGTCTAATCAATCAGATGAGAACCATACCCAAGAGTGTAAAATTGAAGAAACAGACCTTTTTCAAAAAGGTAGTAAAGTAAGCATGGTGCATCATAACAGAAATGTAACGAACGATTTTCCTCCCATTCATTCTGTGAACAGACAAATGGATGTTCTCAACAGGAGTGCCATTCAAGAAGAAGGAACCAAGTTGGAGCATAAATTGATAATAGACAGGAATATCAATCATGCCCACAACACCCCTGACATAGATATACAGAAAAATAATTACAGAAATGTTTACCTCAATAGTAATTATATGGAAGTCTTAAAAAATGAAGATGCGCACAAATATGTCTGTTCACTGCAAAAAGATTTGAATTCCGTCAATGTGATAATTATGAATAACAATAGAAATAAAAATTCTATCAATACTGTTCCTATGAGGAAACATAATAGCGAAAGTGTAACTGATTCGTGTATTAAAAACGGTGCATCATACTATGGGGAACAAGACGTACTGCATATGACTGAAAAAAATATGAACAGTTCAGGTAATTTTAGCCAAATATGGCAAAAAAAAAAAAAAAAAAGCTTGATGAATGCAAGCTTTTACTAACCCCTTTGGTGAGTCCATATTGCGGTACGTGGGCCAACAGAGGAGAATAGTCCAAATGTGAATCAAAAGGGGATGAATACCCTTTCCCAATATTCCTAAAACTGTAGCACATTAAAATAAAACATTTTCTTCCTTACAGGAATGAAGAAAAATGGATATTCCAGTGAGGATTACAAACAAAAGGGCTATTATTTTGAAGAAAAAAGTATAGAAAGAAAAGGTACTAGATATATCGATAAAAATACATACAACATAAGGAATGGTAATAATTTTTACGATTTTGATTTAAAAAAAAATAAAAAGGAGAAAGTTGCGTATGAAATTAATCCATTTTACACAAACAACATGACCACAGATGCAAGGAAAAATATCATTTCTATTGAAAATGGAAATAGAGCTTTACTCAACAGTGCTCTTCACCCCAAGGACAATTGTGGACATCCAAATATCCCATCAAATGACAACAAGCCTTTGTTTAGCAAAATAATGGCCAAGTTTTCCATTTCTTAGAGCTGGCCCTACAAGTTATGCAGCGCTGTTGCACCCGATCTTCTCTTCCCACCTTGCCACGCAAGAACAGACAAAAAAAAAAATAACTGTACAAACGAATAGACATACCTGATAGTTCCACATGGGGAAATGGAACTTCTATAGCATTGTCAAGGTGATATCTTTATTTTTCAAAGTACTTTTCCCAATTTTAGAACCATCAATCAGTTGAGTCCTATGTGTGTGTAGAAGCGATTATGCCTTTTTATTTTTGCACTTTTGTTGAATTTGTTTTTTTGCGCTTCTGTTGAATTTGTTTTTTTGCGCTTCTGTTGAATTTGTTTTTTTGCGCTTCTGTTGAATTTGTTTTTTTGCGCTTCTGTTGAATTTGTTTTTTTTCGCTTCTGTTGAATTTGCTTTGTTGTGTCTCGTTTTTTATTCTTTTTTGTCTATTATCCCATTTCCCATGCCCACCTTTGCAAACACATTTGAGTCCCCTTAATTTTTGTGTACCTTTTTTTTTCCGTTACATTTAATTATATGAACAAAAATATGAAATGTGTGGAAACGTAAGAAAAGTATGAAGCATAGGGAAAAGAAATTAAAAGATAACGTGTTTTAGGATGGTTTTATGTGTCCCCATGATGCTTAACACTTGCAATGTGAAAAATGGGTGGCGCAAGTTTTCCATGCAATTCACATTTCATTTCGAGCTACTCTGACACTTCTGACAGTTTTGTGAATTATGACACACACAAAGGACAGGAGAAACAGGAGAAAATGTGAAAAGGTAGAAGGGGAATTAAACCCACCCCATCCCACCCCCCTTTTCTACTTCACAATAATCACACTGACATGGAGGGGTGAAAATTATACAAATGATGAGAAGTAAGAGGTGCTGAGAAAAAAAAAAAAAAAAAAAATTTATTGTTGTCTCATTTAGTCTTAAAACTCTCCTAAGAGAGAACTTTTCTCCTCCCTATTTGGCTCTTCAAACCATATGGGATAATCCAGAATGTTAAAATTGTTGACTTGAAAAATTTTCTTCTTCTTAATCATTTGCAGGAGGGGAACATTTATGTACGCAATGTAAACATAACATATGAAAAGAATAAAAAACAAATGGTATGGATTCGTTTCAAGATTTACATTCTTCTTTTTAAAAAAATTTTCTTTTATGGAAAAGATGCTACTTCCTACATGCACAAAGCATATGAACACTAGGTCAATGCCGAAATACTTACAAAAAAAAATTATGTAAACATTGAACATCTTTGCACTCTTAGAACTCTGGCTAAATTGCAGTTGGATATTCTTGGACTTCTTTGTGCATTCGGTCGCTAACTCATAGGTGTTCGACTGAGAAGGGGGAGAAGTGGGAGAAGCGAGTGCATGCGTGGAGAAAAGTATATATATCTGCACATGTACATGCACATACGCATACACATGCACGTATATACACGTTATAGAAATTGGGATATAGCAAAAATGAATCTAACTAGAATCTCCCGAATGCCAGTGGGCACGGGCGCACGTTGGTGGGTTGTGGGGAAGCAGAATCGACATATAAGCACCGAAATGAGGGGAATGACAAATATGTTCAGAAATTGCCTGACCAAATATAAGGACACGCGATTTGGGAGACGGAAGACAATTTCGAAATACAAAAAAAAAAATTCATTCAAAGCTGTTAAAAGCATCTTGAAAATTAAGGGATACTTTCCTAATTTTTCTACCGTTTCTTTAATTCCACGTAACCAGAAAAAGTTAAAATTAATATAAAATAAAATCAAAAGTGTAATAATTCTAGACATTTCTGTGAAAAAAAGATCCAGATATGTTATGTCTATGGATCTGTATACATAATATAACAAAAATAAAAATAACCACCTCATGTCAAATATTCTAATTCTAGGTTTCAAAAAATAAATGTCATCAAATGAAAGAAATAAAATTTCTATTCTTTTAGATGCTGCTAATAACATAAATGTTAAAAATATCAATGATATATTTATACCTAAGAAGTAAGAAATCTTGTTATAGCAATTATTACCCACTGTCATTAAGATATAAAATACATTTCTTTTCATTAACTTCCTTAAGTATGCATAACTCTTTTCTATATTCTTTATATGATTTCCAATTATATTTGCAAATGTCACGAATATGAGCATGTCCATTAGGAAGCACGACAGGGCGATGAGGTATGTCGATGAGATCACGTTTATCCCGAGCCTGTTGTGGTGGTTCAAAAGGTTTGACAAGTTGCGAAGTTTATGAAGTTTATGAAGTTTACGAAGTTTACGAAGTTTACGAAGTTTGAACAGATGGAGGCGTGTGAAGGGGCCTCATTTGGGGGTCACCACGAGTCTTACCTAAGTCCCTTAGATGTGTAAAAGTACATTCCAGAATGGAGACACATGCTGATTGTGCAGTGCATCATACATGCAATCCAAACCTCGTGATTAAGGAGGATACTCTTGATCTTGCTCCAATTGAAATCGATAAGCAGAAATTCGATGAGAGTGAAATTACGCATGGTAATTATGAATGTGGAAAAGATTAATATCAGTATAAAAATTAATATTTTCAGGATTTTGTGGGACACTTTGCATTTCGAAAAGGAATTGTACACCATCAGGAGAAGGAAGGAAAGTAGGATCGTCGTCGGTGCAAATTTTTCACTCTTCGGTTCGGCATACTTGCTGAGGAGCGTGTCGTAGATCTTGGTGCCCTGTAAATATTGTGGCGGGGTTCGAAGTGGGTTCAAAGCGGGTTCAAAGCGGGTTCAAAGCGGGTTCAAAGCGGGGTCGAAGTGGGTTCAAAGCGGGTTCAAAGCGGGTTCAAAGCGGGTTCAAAGCGGGGTCGAAGTGGGTTCAAAGCGGGTTCAAAGCGGGTTCGAAGCGGGTTCGAAGCGGGTTCAAAGCGGGTTCGAAGCGGGTTCTAGTTTGACGCAGGCTCAGTTGTTTATGAGCACGTTCAACTCTGTGCTGAACTCTCACTAGGTCAGCGATGCACACATTTTGTCTTCTCAAACTTTGAAAGTTTTCTCCTCGGGGAACTTACCAGTTTGATTCGATTCACCTCGCAGACTCCTGTGTTTTCATTGTAGTAGCAGATGTTCCTGGCAAAGTCACAAATGTTTCTACTGCCGTTAAAAGTGGAACATATTTTGGTGTCGATGTTTCGGTACACCCAAGGGTTGTTAGAAGTGAGGTAATAAGAGAAATATATGACCTGTAAGCATATAATATCAATGCAATTAATAATCGAGAGGATGTAAGAAATGATTAGAATGATACTGATGGGAAGATTATAATAATCAAAAGAAACAAGGAAAGATATACAACCGTCTAAAACAAAACGACCACAATTAATCTCTTGTAATATAAAAGGAACACATAAAAATAAGTAAGTAAAAAATAGAGGGAAAATAATGGCAATTGTTCTATATTGAAGAAATAAATATAATGAACATGTCAGAGTAGATAAAGAGTAAGCAACACAGTTAATAACGAAAGTATTAACATCAATATTGTGAAATTCGTTTAATTTTTTATATATCCATGGCAACATATATAAATTACAATGCTTTAAATATTCCATATTTTCAAATACACTAGCCATTAGTATTATATCATCATAAGATACACCAATGGAAACAAGATAATAAAAAAAATTTTCACAGTTTTTTTCATTCACACTATTATTCTGTGTTGTCTTCATATTTTTACACTTATTAAAATATACAGAATAATCACATAAGGTTTTTAAATTTGTGTAACCTTGATATCTTATTTGATAATTTTTTAGCATTTTTAACAATTTCAGTCTCTGTTTTTCTTTTGCATCTTTTGTATCTATACATTTATGACATTTGTTTAATTTTAATTTATATCTCTCTTTTTTATTTTGCTTTTTCATTTGAACTAGTTCAGAATTTTCATATGCTTTTAAAAATAATGAATATCTAATCTTTTTCTTATCATTAATATTTTCCTTTATGCAACTTATTACATTTTCATATGTGCTTTTCGAAGATTTTATTATCTTACTTTTTTCCCCGTCTTTTCCTTCTGGCAACTCTGTTTTGTGTACATATCGGTATAGTGACTCACCCCTCAGCATATTTTCCTCTCGCATTTCCATTTGAAGTAAATCATTACCACGTTCGTAAAAAGACATTATAGAAAAAGGGTCTATCACGTCACATGAGCCTTGGATGTGTCAAAAAAATTCCCTCTTTTTTTTTTTTTTTTTTTTTTTGGCACTCACTCCTAGGGATGTACGGACTCAAGGCACTTTTCCAAAATAATGAAATCTCAAAAACGTTGTAAAAATTGGGACATGGAAAAATTTAAGTAGAAACAAAGTGTGCATATCCCTTGTCTAAATAAATCACCCAAGTTCATAAATCTAAGTAAAAATATTTTTTATTATTATTATTATTGTTTGTTGGGAAATCAATTTAGGGGGGAGGTGCGAAATGTCAGGACAAAGTGATGGACGCACAAATGTGGGGAGAAATTTTTGGTCAGCTTGTTTGGAGGCTGGCTTGTTTGGCTCTGGATGAGTCTCCCCAAATCATATTGCGTCTCGGGGGTAGAGTAAATTGTGAGGCATGAAAAGTATATATGTTTTTTAGACTAAGTAGTGAAAACTTACATAGCGCTAAAGAATGTCCATATATGTTTACATCCATACATAAATAATCTACAGTCCCCTTTAAATAGTTTCACTTATGAATGATAATGGGTAAAACGTTATTTTCATGGAAAAGAAAAATCAAAAAATAAGTAAACCATAACTACATTGAAGAGTGTCCAATATAACCCCGTCGATTCTCGTTACCCTTTTTTTTTTTTTTTTTTTTTTTTTTTTTTAGCACACCATGTTCGTTCCTCACTCGTTGCTCATTTGTTACATTTTTTTTTCGTAAAAGTGAGAGTAGATGTTAAATATACCACAGCTCAATTCAGTTCGATTCAATCCAATCAGTTATGTATACACATAGAGGTATGAAAATGAAAGGGGTGGGGGGTGGTGGAGAGGGACACAACATATTCATAGTTCAAAAGGAGGTGAGAATGGAATTATGAAGCTTACTTACATATGTGTGCACATAATAGAGTACAAAAAGACAAGAAGAAAGAGTGACGGGGATATTTACCAATCTATGCAGTAAAAAAAACATACAAATATGATGAAAAACACATATATGAACACATACACGGTAAAATGTTTATTGCAAATATGTCCGCTGTTATTTTTATAGAACTAAAAAGGAGGAAAAAAAAAAAAAAATATACAAAGTTAAACTTTTGCTTATTTTTCGCATTTTCTCATTTTTTTTTTTTTTTTTTTTTTTTTTTTTTTTTTTTGCGCTGTTTTAACTTTTTTTTTTTTTTTTTTTTTTTTTTTCCCATTTCATAGACACAATAGCAGGTTTCTCCTAAAAATTACAGCATCCATATTTTTCACATTTTTGCTATAACAATTTTTCGAAATGAAATAAACTAGAAGAAGTTTTCTAATTGGATAATGTTCCTTGTAAAGTATACACTTGTTAATGTGATTATCACTTTGTACATATTTTAGGGGGTCCCCATTTTGGTGACATGGTCGTCCGGTCCACGTCGTTGTACCGGTCGGGAGGGCACAGAGGGACCATTGCAAGGGTGTATGTCCATGTGGGGGGTATTTTCATGTTCGTAAATTTTCCCATGTGTGTATTTTCATGTTGGTGAAATTTCCCATATGTACATGTCCCTGTGGGTGTGTATTTTCATGTTGGTGAAATTTCCCATATGTACATGTCCATGTGGGTGTGTATTTTCATGTTGGTGAAATTTCCCATATGTACATGTCCATGTGGGTGTGTATTTTCATGTTGGTGAAATTTCCCATATGTACATGTCCATGTGGGTGTGTATTTTCATGTTGGTGAAATTTCCCATATGTACATGTCCCTGTGGGTGTGTATTTTCATGTTGGTGAAATTTCCCATATGTACATGTCCCTGTGGGTGTGTATTTTCATGTGCCCACACGCGCTGCACATAATGACGTATCTTAGGCTGAGGAAGATATCGCAACAGCATAAACTTGCTCTCTCCATTAAGCTAATTTATTCAATCCCCGATAAATGTGAAAAAAAAAAAAAAAAGGCAACAAAATTGGAAGAAAAAAAATAACCATTACATGGAACATTTCTTAAACCAGAATGTAATATAAGAATAATGACACAAAATTACACGTTGTACATATAATTATAGCTAACTGTTACGACAAAGCTTATTAATTTAAAAAAATAGGTAAAATCGTATGTCTGTTCATAATTTTTTTTTTTTTTTTTTTTTTTTTTATTGCAAATATGCACACATTTTCTCGTTCAAAAAGTGGAACTTTTACAGTTCTGTAATATAAGTCTACACATAAAACTGAGTTTATTTCCAAGATTCTCAGACTTGCCTGAGTATATGGAAAAATGAAAAAGCATACTTTTATATTCATTTGAGTATTGGTTATACTCTTATGAGTACTGCTCATATTCGTGTGAGCATTGGTTATGCTCTTATGAGTGCTGTTCATATTTTTATGAATACTCGCATATATCTGATCATATTTATATATGCAACGTATCCCCCCCAATTAAACTATGTCGACGTGAGCAAAGCAAAATGAATATTCCCATTTTTAGAATAAATGTCTAAGATTACAATTATTAATATTACTTACGATGCTATGTCACCATCTACATTTAACTTTTTCACTTTATAATTCCTTAACACTTCGATGTGTTAATTAATTTATTTTTTTTTATTTTTTCCCTGACTTCTCACCTGACTCTTTTTTCTTTTTTTTTTTTTTTTTTTCTTTCAAAATATAGATCAAGTTACACAAAACATAGCTGGTCTTTTTTTTTTTTTTTTTTTTTTTTTTTGGCTCAGTTTGGAGTGTAACTAACACATGTACGTATACCTAAATCAGTGGACAAGTCATGAAAAATAAATTAAAAAATAAATTATAAAATAAACCAGTAAAGGAAATCCTCAAACGAGGAGCTTAAATGTTTAAACGAAACATACAAAATGAGCTCGTAAATGAGCTCATAAATGAAATCTTAAGTGAAACTCTTAAGCCAAATTCTTAGGCGAAAACTCAAAATAGTCTAAAATCCCAAGAAGGTACCTAATTAAGTATATTTTTTTTTTGTAACACATTTTACCAACTTCTAAATAAATCTTAACGCTTTATTTGCACACAAAAGTAGAAATAAATAACATGCATATAACGACAATCCAGACGTTCTGTGCACGTGTACCATTATGAAGGTACCTCCGTTTGTGTATCCATGCACCAACCGTCCCATCTCTACCCCACCGTGCTAGGGGAAATTGAATAAATACATATGTACAATAACAAATTCCCTTTTCACATTTTGCATGCGGTCAGGTCGATGAAGCGAAAAATGTATCCAACATGCTAAGGAAAAAAAAAAAAAAAAAAAAAAAGAAATATGTTAGAACTTTCATATTTATAGCTACTTAAACTTGAAATATATTACACCTTTGATTCTACAACTGACATTTTGTAAAAGAGACAAAAGGGGAAAAAAAAAAAAAAAAAAAAAAAAACGACACATTTTTATGTGCAACATTGATCATTAGTAAATTGGCACTTTTTAACCATCCGTGCAGGTGAAAAATAAAAAAAAAAAAAAAAAATAGCGACAAACTGGATAAACGCACTAACGAACGAATACCCCCCGCTAGACACACATAACCCCTATCTAACTCCCCAAATGTAAATAATTTTTGCGAAACGAATTTTCCATTCTTACCTTTAAGAAAAAAATGCAAGAGAACGTAAAGACAAAGATAAATGATGCCAAATCGTGTCTGATGAACTTTTTGACAGATGCCAAAAAAAAAGCGCTTTTTTTGGAAAAGTCAGATTCAAACATTTTGGACAAATCAAGTGAAAAATCAGAAAATAGGTATGTGAGCAGCTCAAGTGGTGAAAAAACGAGCGGAAAATGTAGAGATGATTTAGTGGCTCCTGATGATGATTCGGAAGCTTTAAAAAAAAGAAAAACCGGAACTGTGCTGAGCAAACGAAGTGAAAAATGTGTGCCCTCGAAAAGTGAAAAGTAAAAAAAAAAAAAAAAAAATGAAAAAATAAAAATAAACAGATAAATGAATGAAGCAGTAAGCGAATGGGAGAACGAACAGAAGAGCCCATGGACGAGTGAACCATAAAAACCGTGAAGAAACAAACGGATGCATAATTCTAGAGTGCCATATTTCTTCCAACGTTTTCTTCTCATGTGATCTAATTAAGCCATGTCGGGTGTTTCTGTTCCTTTTCAGGGACACAAAAGACAGTATTTCGAAGTCTGGGGAGATACATGATGACTCATGCGAAGTGGTAAAGAAAAGATGCAAACCGACAAGCGTATGTACTTGGATTTACAAATGTGTAAAAGATTACATGTATATGTACAGGGTTGCATATTTTTTTCGTGAACCCTAACCCTAACAAATTCCCCGTGAAATATGAGAAAAAAAAAAAAAAAAAAAATGAAATAAAAAATGAACAAATAAATGAATGCATAGATGAATAAATAATAAATTCGTGTGTTTTTCCCCAGGTATGCCAAAATGACACACCCGAAAACGATGAATTCGAAAAGAACACCTCCCCATGGGATAAACAAATAAGTATAATTTCAAAGCATGGTATAGGAAAGAAATTTTTTATATGCATCTTCCTGTATCACGAGACTTTTCCTCATGAGGTTGCATCATTAGATTCTAACAAACGCTATGTCCATATGCTAAGACATTGTTGTGATAATCCTCCCAATGTTGCATGCATAAAAGAAAAAAAAAGAGGGCAAAATGTGAAGTTAGCAAAAGTTCCTTCACATGTCTTTATTTTCCTAACCCAATGACCTTTCTTCTCTCCATGACACAGAAAGAAGTAATCTCTCAGATGCAGAGTATATAGAAAGTCTCAAGTGTGAAATTGACGAAAAAAAGGGAGAAGAATCTTTACAAAAATATGAGTAAAATATATATATATATACGACCCCACAATCTTATGCATGTGGGGAATAGTTCTTTTCTAAGTAGTGCATCTTTCGTCCCACACATATATCTCTACGTGGTGTACTTATTTATTTTATTTTTCATTATTTTTCTTTATCTTGCTTTATTCTGCTTATCTTGCTTATCTTGCTTTTTTTTCTAAATGAATGGCCACTTCTCTTTTTTTGTAAAAAAATAGGAGTAATCTAAACCCAGTTGCCCCTGAGTTCAAACCTCAAAACTCAATATACATATATAAAAAAATACAGGAGTAAGAATGAGTTATTACATATTTGCACTTCTACATGAACAGTTGTAACACAAATCTGCCATGTCAAGAGTGCCTGTGCACCAGAGAGAGAAATATGATGAAGAAAGAAGACAATAATAATCCAAGATTTATAACACATCATCCATATCTGCAGGAACACGAAAAAAAACCTTATAATGTTAGTAAAGTCCTTCGGATATAAGGGTATCAAAATTGAAAAAATTTCTGGAGAATATTGTAAAAAATATAATGCATTGTTGAATCTGAGTCATGCAGGATTTTCTAACATTTACGATTTGATAAAAAGTCTGGATCACTGTTTGATATGTGAAGAAATAAAAGAAGCGGAAATAAAAGAAGAGGAAATAAAAGAAGCGGAAATAAAAGAAGAGAAAATAAAAGAAGAGGAAATAAAAGAAGAGGAAATAAAAGAAGAGGAAATAAAAGTAGAAGATAAAACAGACGAAGTAGTGGAACATGTGAACAATGAGAATGACAAGAATAAGGGAATAATCCCTATGACCTACGAACAAGAAAAATCACAACAAGCAGATGAAACTAATGATACAATCGAAAATGAAGAGAAGCAAATAAATGACAAGGAAGAAAAAAAAACAAAAGTAGTAGTAAATGAGAAACATAACCAAATTGTGGAAAATAATTTAATCATAAAATATAAAACTCCCAAAATGAATGAAGACAAAATTTTTTTCCTTAAAATTATTCTAGGAACTGTTGCAGAATGTACAAACTATAATCCAGAGTTAACAGATAATGAAACACCAATAAATAATAGTTTATCATTAACTAAATTACAACAAGAGGTAAGGAAATTATTCGGATCATTTTTTAATTTAAAAATTTTACAAACAAGATGTGGAATTGATAAATTACAAACCTTCTTAGAAGATATACAAGAAATACAAACTATATCATGTCCTAATGATATAAAACTTAGGATCACTCCAGAAACATTTAGTTATAAAATACCAGAATTGAAATCCATAAAATTGATAAGAAGCAATGAATTCAAATTTAAATCCCCATCAAAAATCAGTAGTAAAAAGTTCCCTATTTCCACACACTTAAGTGATAAAGATTTTCGATTGAATTCTTTAAATGCAGCAGAAAGTATCCTCGGTGCACTTAATAACAAAAACAGATACTCCTCCATTGGTACTACACACTTGGAGAATGGAACCACTACAACTACTGGAACCTCTGACAGGAACGGTTTTAAAAAGAAAAAATCACATTCTAATGCTAGTCTAGCATTATTGAATTCTTCGAAATTGCATGAACGAATCTGCAAAAGCGTTAGTGGAGGTAAGACTCCACTTTACACAGCAGGAGAAAAGGGTCGTCCTCATGTTGGAATCGACAGCTTCGTTTTCAGCAATATGGCTAGCAATGTGGTTAGCGATTGTGACAACGGTATTGCATTCGAAATCAACAGAAGCTTCTCAAATGACCCGTATGCCAATTTGTTAAACAAGTTAAATGGCAAAGATAGCAGCATCAATTCAGGTGTTCATGTGGGTATGAGTTCGAACGAATGGATAGGGAGACAACACACGAACGAGTTAGATAACCATAAGGAGAACTTAATCCAGATGCAAAACCCAATCCAGAACACGCGCCACAGCCAAAATTCCTACATCAAAATATTAACAAAGACACAGTTGCACATTCTTCTATACCAGCTAATAGTTCTCCTAACCGAGAGACAAAAAGTGGAGTGGGACGAGATAAGCAGAATTAAAGACTCACTTCTAAATCAGAGTAAGTATACCCTTACAGTTCGACAATTCGTTAGTGCATAATTAATGCACACTTTGATGTTTTCATTTGGAATATATAGCTGTCTTTTCATCTCGCTATGCATTAGATGTTTTCCATTGCATTCGCGATTATAATGGCAGTTTCTCCTATCCATCTTGCGTTATAATTCTGACAACGTGTGCATGTGAATGTGGATTCGAGTGTGCACTTGAATATGTGGATACACGCGACATCCACCTGATCACACGCAAAATTCACACGTGCTAATGGACGCTGTTCAAAGAAATCGAAAAATATTTTTTATCGAATCACAATTATGTGACAGAAAAATGAGTAATGTAGAAACCGTCTATCGCAGACAATACACGAGGTGTTCATTTCTCTCTCTCTCTCTCTCGTCCACGTCTCCCATTTGATGTATTACCACGCCTTCCCAATTTCTAAACCTGCAGGTCGTAGTAAAGCATACCAAAATAAAAACCTGGAATCCAACCAACAGCAGATGAACAGTAGCATCCAAGTGAACATAAGCAAAATCGAATGTACTAGCGATAGTGCCATTGTGGGAGGTACTGATGCATGCACTATTCAGGAGGAACAATTGGAGAAAAAAATCGAAGTAAAAGAAATCCATTCTACTGAAGTTCATGGACACTCTACTGAAGGGCAAAAAAATTCAGCAACAAATGTATCATCTGATTTCATGAATGAAAACTTTAGCACTCAAGAAACTTCGAATTTGTACAAATCTGAAAACATGGGAGATGAAAAATACACGAAAAATGATCACTTATCCAATAATTTTGAGAAGGAAAATAATACAGCATCTGAAAAATTCATAGGTGTATTTGTTTCTTCAATCAAGAGTGAATGGAATAAGGCCTACATGGAACAGTACCCTTTAAGTTTTTATTTAAATTATTACAAAGAAAAAAAACTTAGAAGACTAATTGAAGAAATTCCTAATCTTGTTATTGTAGGATATAGTAGAAATATGCAAATCTTTACTTTAGATACCGCTCAAGATTATTTTGACAATTTCTTTTCTGAAAAATCTACTAATTTGAAAACATTCGCTAGATCTAGGTTCACTACATTGAGCACCTCAAACTATTTTAAGGATACCACTTATAAGGTTTGTCAGATCGAAACATATCGGAGTTGCACACTACTAGATATAAGCATCCTAACACATTGGTAGTATATATACCTCCTTCTCATCGAATTCGCACATTCTCTCCATCTTTCAAGAACTTAGAAATTATAGTGACTACTTTTAACAGTGTGGCCACTTTTATTAAGACAGGAAGGAAAATTTCATCCCAAAAAAAAAAAAAAAAAAACTTCTTTTCTATACATTTCCCACCCATTTTATTCCTCTTTTTTTCCATTCAGGAACTTGCCCAGGAATTCATCAATGGAATATATGAAAATATGATGAAAATCCTTGGATTTTATTACCTCAAGCCACCCCAATTGAGTGTCAGCAAGAGTTATGAAAAAATTATGAACAAGTCCAGAAAAAACAGGAATAGCAATAACTTATCTACATGTATAAATTATAGCAACCAAAATTTCACGAGTCTGAATGTGGGAAGTCCTAACTTATCCTCTCCCCCAAGCGAGAGTAAGCCATTTTTTCACAGCAATAGCAAGCCACTTTTTCACAGCAATAGCAAGCCACTTTTTCACAGCAATAGCAAGCCACTTTTTCACAGCAATAGCAAGCCACTTTTTCACAGCAATAGTAACCCCTTTTTTGAAAACGAAAGTATTCGTGTTCTAGAAAATGACAACTTAGAAGTGCTGAGATATCACTTGCACAAACTCCTATACAATCTAGTGATCCATGTTTGCAAGAATCAAAATTTGCTATATCTAGCATATAAGAAAAATGGTATAATATTGAGCGAATACGAAATGAATAAACAGATGTGTGGCCCAATTTACTACTCCTCTGATTTGACGTATGAAGATTTCATAACAACTAAACAAACTTTTTTTGAAAAAGAACAAGTAATGAAAAGCGTTTTTCTTTTATCTCAACATGGAATCTATGGAATCAAATTCATACATCTAACTAATGAGTGGTATAAATTGTACAAGTGTGAATTACGACCTCTTATGCGAGTATGTAAATATGAACAAATTGGGAAAATGATTTCGAGCTTACCAAATGTCTTAGTAGTAGGAGAAGGATTCGACACGAAATATATTCCTAATATGCAACTTCATGCAGAGGTAACGTAGAAAGATTTATATATATATTTTTTTTTTTCCCTTTATCCATAAATTTGGATGTAGTTATGGCGAAAATCTTATTACATCTCGTTCTTTCATTCCTTATGTGCAAATGTCTGCACCTGTGTGTTGTGCACATCACTACATTTGCATATCTGTTTCTATCTCCTTTTTGTAGAGTAACCGCTTGGATATATTTTCAAATCCCCTCATTCCGAAAATGGCCTCTGACAGTAAGGCTCAAATGTATTTTAACTTTTTTTTTTTTTTTTTTTTTTATAAGAAAACTCTAGACAAATCTGATAAACATACAATATTATGCCCTTTTGCAGATCCCCTGCAACACATCCCAACTTTTCAAAAGAGATCCCTTGGGGAACCAAATATCAAGACGCATAAAAAAAGCGGACCGTATGAGAGTATCATGGGATTGCTCTTTCCAGATATAATATCCCAAAGGAGTAGTGGGCACATACAGAAATATCACAGAGGAAGTACTTCTTTTTTCAAGGATAATAATCAATATAAAAAGAACAAATCTGCATTCCCAGGCATGTGTAATGGGTACACATTTAAGAATGACATAAATATAAATCATCTCTTCAAAAATTTGTGACTTTACCCCAGCCATTTCATTCCAACTATTCCACTTTTTTGCTGCCTATATATATATACTACCTCTATGATGAGACATCTTCCAGAATTAGTTCTATCACGCTTGTAAAGGACAATTCTTTTTTTTCTTTTTTTTTTTTTTTTTTTTTTTTTTTTTTTTTTTTTTTTTTTTTTTTACTTTACGAATCTTCATTAGCCATTTGGACATACCATCCCCGTTTTAACCACTTTATTTTTATGTAATATATTTGATAATAATTCATATCACACGGCACTTACACACGAACATAGTCCTCGGGATGGTTGTGTGCACTCCAGAATTTGCAGGAAGCCAACTTGCAAATGTGCACCTTTCCCTATTTTTTTTTACGTTTTTTTTTTTTTACGTTTTTTTTTTTTTACGTTTTTTTTTTTTTTTTACGTAATTTTTTTTCGTTCTTTTTACGTTCTTTTTTTTACACAATTTTTTCCACATTTTTTGTTCGAAATTTTTCGAGGGCACGTGAGACATAAATAAGGGATGCCCGCTTTGCAACTTGCACACTTTAACATTTGCAAAAAAAAAAAAAAAAAAAAAAAAGCAGGAAAAAAATCTTATAAAACAAATGAATGTGAGAGATATTTAGGCAAAATCACGCAATGTAAATGATAACATAGCTTGATAGAGATGACGATTTCTTCGCATATCTTATCCCCCTAACATGAACCATTTCCTAGTTTTGTTAACTGCCTGGAATTGATATGGTGTAATCAATATCTTATATTCAACCATCATCCCCTCCCCCACCCCAGCTTTACTGAATAGACACATGGGGTGAAAAGAATTCTTTCTTTTGATAAGATACCCTATTTTTTTTTTCTTTTTTTTTTTTTTGAAAATGTATATTCTTCATACCTATCTTTTCTCTAGGACTATGAATTAGTAGAATAGTTTGTTCACCTACAAAGATCTAATCCTATATACATAAGAAAAAATGAACGAATGGATTTGTGTGCAGATTTCGGAACTCTTCTTTTTAAAGAATTATAAATTAAAAAAAAAAAAAAAAAAAAAAAACAAGAGGGACTTGATTGAAATTATGGTAAAATTATTTTATTTTATTTATTTTTTTTTTTTTCTTTTAAGAGACAATCCCTTACAGATACAAGAACAAATACCCACAAGTGTACATATGTACACGGATATGTGTTGTTTTTACTTTTTTTTTTTTTTTTTTTTTTTTTTTAAATCGAAAAATTTAAAAAAAAAAAATGGAAAATTGGTTCACTGGTGAAAAAAAAAAAAAAAAAAAAAAAAAAAAAAAAAGCAATAAAGAAGGAAGGGGAGAGGATATGAGAAGAGAAATGTAAGTTCGGGTAAGTGCATACTTAATGGGTTACACAAACATATGATCAAAATGGGGTATACATATATATACACACATATACGTATACATATACACATGCTTATACATATATATATGCTCATACATATACACATGCTTATGCATGTACATGTACATAACTGGCGAAAGAAACGTTCTGGGTTGGAAACCCAATGGTGGCATAGCGGATAGAATCATCTGTAATATAATGCAAACATCAATGTAGCGGATCAGGGGAATACATTTTCGGAAGAAAAATGGGCCTAACCTATGTCTAATTCTAAGTCTACGTCTAAGCCTGTGAGTCCACTATTTCCTGCTTTTTGGAGGAGTAATTTCGGGACAGTTTGGATTTGGAGTGGAAACTAGTACTGCGTGCATTAGCCTTGGGATCATTGCTTCTACTACCTCTTCTGCTTTCGTCCCCAGACATTCCAGCGTGGCTAGTTTGATTAGATGAGCTGTCCATTCTGCTGGTACCTTTATGAACACTATAATGCTGTGAGCTACTATTGACACTGTCTTTATCATCATAATCCTGAGAACCTTGATAACTTTTACTGTCATTAGAACTAAAGGAACTTTCTTCATCTTCTTCGTTATCTCCAGAATAAAGAAATGGTTTGGATGCTTGAGTACCTTGTCTACTTTTTGCATAACTGGATCTGCAGATTTTCCTTTTCCTCTCTTCTTCTGCCATCATGTAATCAGATGAATTTAACATAACATCAAAAGCACCCAAAGATCTACCAATTATTACACATATAATTGCTAAATACCCTTTAAATGATGGTGCATTATATGACATTCCAATAAAAAAAACAAGTATAATGGATATAATTTCTAAAAATCTCCATGGTCCTTGGCCAGTTCTTCTAACTAATCTATTTGATATAACATTTTTTATAAAGGGTAAGGCACCTACAGTCACTAGACATCCCCACATTTGCCAAGTGTATAAAGAGGTAATATTATATGGCATATGTCCAAAAACAGCCCATTCTCCTGATAATATAATTAATATGGGTAGAAGTAATACACCTAACAGGTGTTGATTATTGTGTAATGTATTTCCTTTTCCATCTACTAAATGCATAATTTTCTGCATAAATCCGGCTCGAAAAATAGCTGAAAATAATGCATATAATAAAGCCCAGATGATTACTCCCTTTCCTGTTGTTTTCGAATCAAAACAACCAATTACAAAAGCAGCTAATAGAAATACAATTGATTTCCATCTTAGTGGCATATATTCCTCTCCACATCCAACAAAACGAGTAAGATGATGAAAAACCACAGTGAAACTAACAAGTACAGGGTACGATGCTATACAAGGTGTTTTATATAATAAATAATTTGATAACACAAGCATTAAACAATAAAAAATAGAAGGTACAAATAAAACTTTAAGCATATTTTCATTTATTTCCACTTTTGGAAAATATGCAAATTTTGGAAATTCTTTTCCTAACTCTCCACATACATAAGCAACTAGCAACCCTTGTGCCAACTGCCACCAAGTAACAAATATGGGGAAAGGAATCACATCTAGGAAGAGGCGGTACATGACAAATACATTGCATAGAGTTAATGCTACAAATAAGATTTCTGCTGTTATTAATTCGGGGTCTTTAAAATATCTTTCGATATCGTTCCATTCTGGAAGCTGGAGCTTTTCCATTTTGTGTTTCTCGGGGTGGGAACTTAAAGAAGTATATGTCTATATAGGTCTGTCTATATAGGTCTGTCTATATAGGTCTTTCTCTATATGCCTGTCTATATAGGTCTTTCTCTATATGCCTGTCTATATAGGTCTTTCTCTATATGCCTGTCTATATATACCTGTCTATGTATATGCGCGTACGTGGGGAGGTAGGCTCATATTTTGTATTGACACTTCGCCTTTTTTCTCTTTTTATCTTTCACTTTTCTATTTTATTTTTTCCGTTTCCCACTTTGTACTCCTTCTTTTGCCCTTTTTTTTTTTTTTTTAATTAAAAATAATTGTTTGCCAAATGTCTATAAAAAAAAAAAAAAAAAAAAAAAATTCAGTTTAACATTCGTGACATACACTTTAATACGTTATCTGTTAAAAACGTTATCCTTTTCATTTTCGCTTTTTTTTTTTTTTTTTTTTTTTTTTTCACTTTTTCTTGATCTTTCCACCCCTTTATTTTATTTTATTTTTTTGTGTGATGTCACAAAGGTGTATATATATATATAAATTTACAACAAAACAAAAATTGCGTATATTCTTCACTTCTGAACATAGACTATAAAGTGTGTCAAAAAGTGGCAGTACATTAATTATTTAATTTCACGAGTGTGTGTAAACAGGTGTGTGTGTGTGTGTGTGGAGGTGTTGACACAAGGGTGTATACGTATATGTATATGTACACATTTGCATAAACATATACGTATACATAAACATTTATGTTTTCATTTACACATTTACAAATACACATGTGTCAATGAATGTGTATGCAAACACTTAATATAGTATGCGTTTACATATCTTTCATGCGTATACGTGTATATGTACGTGTACGAGTATGCATATGTATGTGCGCGGAACTCTCGGAAACATTGCAAATGTGCTAATATTTAAAAACGAAAAAAATAAAATATATAAGGAAAATAAAAAAAAAAAAAAAAAAAGATAAAAACGGAATAAAAAAAATAAAATAAAATAAAATTAAAATAAACTAAAAAAAAAAAAAAAAAAAAAAAAAAAAGTAAAATAAAATAAATTTTGCTTTAGGTAAAAAACACGAAAGTAAGATATAAATATGGGTGGACATAGGTTAACAAACTGATATGTGCGTTGAATTTTTTTTTTTTTTTTTTTTTTTTTTTTTCATTTTCGCGTTCGCTTAAAGTTTGCGTTTTATTCTTTTATGTTTGTTTTGTTTGTTTACTTTTCTACGCTTCTGCCTGTTTTACCTTTCTATTTTTTACCCTTCTATTTTTTACCCTTCTATTTTTTACCTTTCTATGTTTCCACGTTACTATTTGTTTCCTTTTCTGCTTTTCCGCTTTTCTACTTTTTTACTATTTTACTTTTCTATTTTTCTGATAGAATTTAATTATACACATTTTTTGTTACAAAAACGTACACAAATATTTAGACATCATTTGTTTTCTTTCTATTTTCGCAGTGGGGTAGAAATATTTGTTGTTTATTTCCGAATTTACACATATACTGCATGTTCATATATTTATTCATTTTTTTTCATTTATTTACTTTGTTTTTTTTTTTTTTTTTTTTTTTTTTTCCTATTTTTTTTCATTTATTTACTTTGTTTTTTTTGTTTTTTTTTTTTTTTTTTTTTTTTTATACGCTATATATTACCCAAACTGAGAGATTTTACCTGTCTGTCTGCTTTTTTTTTTTTTTTTTTTTTTTTTTTTTATTTCATGTTCATAATTTTTTAATCTACAATTGGAAATTTATGTATGTTTTATTTTTTTTCTATTTTTTAAATCACTTGTGTAACTTTAGTGCTTCACAATTTTTTTTTTTTTTTTTTTTTTTTTAACTTTTCATAGTTGGAACATTTATTTTTCCTTGACTATTTCTTTTTTTGTTACGTTTTTTATACCACCATTTTTAACATTAATGTATAAAGTTGAACAAATGAGTTAATGCAAAATAGAGCATATTGTTCTACACAAAAATGTGCTCTGTTATGTAGACACATGAGTAGCTATAAAATGCCCTTGGCACGTTACATGAGAACTCCTACAAGTTAGGTGTTAGTATTCGTATGTAGAAATTGTATTTAAATATACACGTATAATCAAATACTATAAAGATTTATACACGTTCATGAGGATTTTTGATAAACAAGCACCAGTTTGTTTTATTTATTTATGTATTTTATTTTTCCCCCACCACAAATGATGAATGATGGAAAAAAAACGACATGTGCAACAGTATAAGAAATAACAATGAAATAAAATATAAATTTCTAAATTAGATAGGTCGCAAATTACCACGAAAAATTGTGTATACAATTTTACATAAAATAATAAGGAGCACAATAAACACAGTTTTTGTGATCTTTCCACTGAGATGAGTAAATTAACTGATCCTCTTTTCACGTAGATATTCTAAAAGTAAAAAAAAAAAAAAAAAACAATAAAAAAATGAAAAAATTACAATTTCATTGATTGTTAAAGCAGATCAATAATTCTCATAGCAGATCTATATTTTAGAGGGAAATTCACAGTTGTACACATATGTTTAGACATGTATGAACAAAATAACGCGCATGATCAAATAGTGTTCTGTAACAAGCAAAAATAATAATAACTCAACAAAAGGGGAGTATAAAAATTTGAATGTAAAAAAAAAAATAGTAAATCATTGAGAAAATGTTATAGAAATAAGCATGTTAGAAATTCCTTCCTATCATATAAGCCACTTATAATAATTTTGTAAAACGGCAGAAAGAAACCAATGGGTTGTAATTTGTTTTCATAGAAATTATAACTTATATTTTACCACAATCTGGGAATATATTTCTGCATGTGGGATATACTAAAAAAAGTTATGAGAACTATAAATAAACCTGTAAATTTGGAGCTCCAACATGAACACGAATGTATACGTGTCTACACGTGTATGTATGTATATATATATATATATATGCATGCTTACATATTCTTACATGCTCCTATTGTAGAGGCCTGTTTCCCTGTAATGTACACTGTGCATCCTGGTGCTACATAGGTCCTCCAAAATGGATGCATAAACAATATGTATTTAAACGAAAAATAAAAATAAATGATCAAACCGTTCAATATAACGTGTGTTTCTTATTAGACATATGTAAGGTGGTGAAAAAAAAAAAAAAAAAAAAAAAATTTACACATGAACGTTAATATGTATTAGTATCTGTATCCCACCCTAACCCCTCCTGTAAGAAAGCATGTTCTAATTGCTACACTTTTGAGTGTAACAGGACAAAGATTACCTCTTGGTAAAAATTAGTTAGGTATGAAAAAAGCAAAAATTCGCATGCAAAAAAGAAAGAAGAAAGTTATAACAAGTTTTGACATAACAAAATTTTTTAATACTATGCATTTGAATGAATCCAAGCTCCAAATGAAAACATACAAAAAGAATTGTACCAGATGAGTTGACAAGGTTTATTACTTTTTATGATAGACTTTACTAACAGAGTGAATACTAACCAAATATTCTCTACACCTTTAAGAAAGTATACACAAAACTGTGAGACTACCACGGGGAGTCTATTTTTTTTTTTTTTTTTTTTTTTTAACAAAATTTACTATTCTTTCATTCTCAGTAAGCATGATATTTCATTTTAAACATTCAAGTTTAGTGTCATGTTCGAGTTGTAAGGTTAAATATGTAAAATTAAGGGATACATTTTCTTTGCTATTTGCTGGTGTTAAGCGGACAAGTACCATGATGGCGAAGGATTCTAACGTGAGAAGTAATTATACGTTATTAAAAAAGGAAATTTGTATGCATACGTACATTTATGTAAAGATATGTATAGATATGTATGTAAAGATATGTATAGATATGTATGTAAAGATATGTATAGATATGTATGTAAAGATATGTATGTAAAGATATGTATGTAAAGATATGTATGTAAAGATAGATATATATGTAGTACACGTAATATATGCAAACGTGTGTATAGTGGACAAGAGGACGGTACAAAAAAAAATGCCCCTTTGGAAAAACTCTAAAAAAGTTCATACCCACTTCAAACTGAGCAAACACTGTTTTCTCCTTTTTCTCTTGCAAAAACAATTTTCGTTAAATTGGGAAAAGGAGAGGGGGGGGGGAGCAATTTGGATACCCATTCTGACGTGCTATATTAAATTTTAATCACGATTATTTAAAGTTAAAATTAAAACTTTTTTTTTTTTTTTTTTTTTTAAAAAAATAAAAGGTGCGTAATACAAATAATAATCCACTACCGTCTCAAGTTTATATATAAGCCAAATAACGTAACTTTCATTTGGATTTCAAATTGTCATATTCAACAGGTGTATGACATTTCATAGAAAATGCATGTATATTGGGTAATTCTTCCTTTATAATGTCATTAACAAGTCTATGTCTGTCTAGTAATCTTTTGTTATCAAAATTGTTTGAGACTATGACTGCATCGAATGATGTCCCACATCCGCAAGATTTATCAACTAATTCAAGGAATGTCGGTTTTAAGGCTACGCTTAATTTTTCTTCAAGAATCTTCTGTACGCTCATTTTGAAACGGCTCAAAAACATTAAGCTGAATAGATCAGATAAATTGGCTAGTAATAAAAGCTGGTGCTGAGGTGGTGGCGTATATTTGAAAAATAATTATTCACCAAAAAAATGAATAAGAAAAAAATGAAAAAAAAAAAAAAAAAAAAAATTCAGTGTGATTTGGTTTTGGGAAATAGTTCTTTTTCGAAATTGCTAATTAAAAATATGATTTGACTTGGCTATTATTTTTTCTCAAAATGTAGTGTATTTCTTGAATGGTTCAAAAAGGGATGTGCTGTTGCCATACGTGAAACAGAGAGAAAAAATGAAATAAAATAAAAAATGAAAAAAAATAAAAAATAAAATAAAGTAAAATAAAATAAAGTAAAATAAAATAAAGTAAAATAAAATAAAGTAAAATAAAATAAAGTAAAATAAAATAAAATAAAATAAAATAAAATGAAATAAAAAAAAAAAAAAAAGAAAGAAAATCAAGTAAAAAAAAAAAAAAAAAAAAAAAATAAAAAAAAAAAAAAAAAAAAAAAAAAAAAAAAAAAAAAAAAAAAAAAAAAAAAAAAAAAAAAAAAAAAAAAAAAAAAAAAAAAAAAAAAAAAAAAAAAAAAAGAAAGAAAATCAAGTAAAAAAAAAAAAAAAAAAAAAAATTGAAAACAAAAAGTAACACATGAGTAAATAAATACCACACGTACGTACATATATGCATATTCCCACGCAACTACATATATATAGACGTTGGAATGATATGAAAACGTCACATTGTGAAGAAATCTTTTTTTTCCCTACATGAGATGGAAAAATATACATTATATAAATGCATAAATATATGTAAATATGTGTCTAGTGTATCCTTTTCTACCTTTTTTTTTTCTTTTCGAACTCGTGTTTTCGCTATTAGGGAGATCTTTAAAATGAATGCCTCAAAACAAATAGAATAATGGAGACTCACAATATCTTAAGTTCACGTTTTTCCTATCTCCTAAGTTGAATGAGTAGATATGATCAACATAATGGACGAGACTGTTAACGGGTCAACAGAGTGAAGAATGCCAAGGATGAACATTGCATATAAAGTTTCCATCACGATTTCCCCATATTTTTTTTTTTTTTTTTTTTTGATGAAACTATTTTTTTTCAAATTAATTACAACAAATTTATTCAGATTCTTACGTTTGGAAAATTCAGTTTATACCAAATTAACGAAATAATGATCTGTCTCATCGAGAAGGGTAACAAAACATCGTCATTCAATTGTTATGCGCTTAGTACAGGAATTTTTTTTTTTTTTTTTTTTTTTTTTGTGAAAAATTTAAATCATGGATGGTTCCTATTCATATTGTAGGTTTACTCAAACCTGTGATAAGCTGATCTAGATAGCGCGTATCAACATTCCCAATTTTGTTCTATTCACTATATATATATGCATACACATATATACATATGTTTATGTACGATTTGTATTTTTTTTTTTACTTGAATGAATTAACCCCCTCACCTCCTCTCCCCCTTTGGTAAAGAACTAAAAAAGGGAGTAACCTTTTTGAAAAAATTTTCATGTTAACGGGTGATATCTTATAATTAACTTTCAACTGTTAACTTTCAACTGTTAACTTTCAACTGTTAACTTTCAACTGTTAACTTTCAACTGTTAACTTTCAACTGTCAACTGCCAACTGTCAACTGCCAACTGTCAACTGCCAATTGTCAACTGCCAACTGTCAACTGCCAACTGTCAACTGCCAACTGTCAACTGCCAACTGCCAACTGTCAACTGCCAATTGTCAACTTTCAATTTTTTTTTTTTTTTTTTCTTTTTGCACATGTGCAACTACGCAACATGCGTGTGTTGTTTTGTTAACATATATGTGGTACACAATCTACATAATATATAATATATACATATATGTAAGCATACATTTTCGTGAATAAAAATTCAGTTTTGTTTGGACTCATAAATGTACAAAGGTGAGGGGGGAAGAATTAAAAAGGTTATTCATTGGAGCTGTTGAGGAACTGATTTTTTTTTTTTTTTTTTTTTTAAATTCATCATTTTTTCTCGGATAAAAATTGGCTTATATGTGTGCACGTGCGTATACGTACCCCTGCACATGTTTCATCCGGTCGGGGGAGGAATTAGACAAACAGACACAGACACATAGTTATACGCATAGGTGATGCTCACAGTTATACGCATTGGTGATGCTCACAGTTATACGCATTGGTGATGCTCACAGTTATACGCATAGGTGATACTCACAGTTATTCAGGTACTTACTTAAATACTAAAAAACAAAAACCATGTATATGCACCTTTACAAAGACGATCCAAATACAAGCACATAAAAAAAAAAAAAAAAAATTCCAATCCCGCTGCTCTTACTGCTGCACCTTTCTGTTGAGAATCTTGCGATGCTTCTTGCGATGTTCATCATCACTCGATCCTTTAAGCTTGGATAATGAAAATGGATAAGATTTCAATTTGCTGTTAATTTTTTTTCCTAATTCATTCCATTGTTTTTTGGAACTTGCATACCTAAATTTGTTCATAAAAATTTTAAGATAATTAATAGCTTGGAAAGCAAGTGAAGGAGTGTAGAAGAACTTTGAATTTTCATCGGTAAAATATTTGATCTGTTTGGATGGGGCTGAAGTTAATAATTTGGAAATGTCTTTTTGTGATTTGAGTCTAAATGAACAAAGAGATCTAACATCTCTTACTTTTTTCAAATTTAAAAAAAAAGGAATAATATCTAATAATTCTGTATCATTTAAATCCCCTTGCCATTTTTTAATTGGGAAAAAATTTTCTGGATATTTTAAACCAGAAACATTTGAATCATCAATTAAAACAATTTTTGAAATTTCTTTTTTTATACTTTGTAAATTTTTTATATATAATTTTTGATTTACTTCAAAACAATCTTCTCGGTAAAATTTCTTGTCAATATAATGATCTACATCTATTATATTTAGAACTGTGTCTGCATAGGATTTTATAGATGTTGTAAATATTATTATTTCAAAAAATGGATACAAAATCGAAAAAAATAAATCAATATATGGTCTTTTACATACATATAGCGAAAAATATTTTCCATTTATTAACACATCTACCTCCTTTTGATGACTAAACTTTTTCTTTTTTGTACAATATATTAACGTTTCATCTAGGTCTAGTACCAATGTCATACTCGGACATATTCTTCTTTTTCTATACGTTTTAAAGTGTAACTTCTCCCTTAATATAAGGGGGCCAAAAAAGTACTTTATAACATTTTTTACTTTTAACCATATATTTACATAAACTTTTAGTTTGTTTAATATTTGACAGATGCATCTTTCTATCCTTCTCCTTTTCATACTTATACTGATCTCCTTAAATTGATCGTAGCCTTCACTTCATTTTACAAAATTATGCGCGATGGGCTAGGGGCGCAATGAGGTATTCGAATAAAAAACTAAAAAAAAAAATTAAAAAAAACAATTAAAAAGAACAATTAAAAAAAAAAATGCTTTCTTGTACACTGGGAAAATATGACCAAGTTGTGCTTATTAGGGAGTGCTTACACCTACGTGATGTTTCCAGCGCTTCACAATTTTTTATCTAATACCTTCTAAGCATATAGCTCGATATATATATATATATATATATGCATTTACTTAAGAATCTGTACTGTTCAAAAGGTGCAATATAGTCCTCCCTCATGAATTTGAATTCTCAAACATGCAAACACAATCATCAATTTAGTATTATATTTTTTTTTATTATTTTTTTTAAAGAAAAAAATTCCACTTTATCATTCGGGGTACCTTTTCACTTATTCATGCAACAAAATATACTGTTCCTATAAAGGCAAATCGTGATGTCTGTATTTGTGCACCTCTATCTTTGAGCACTTATTTTTGCATGTGTAATCTGCACTCATATGTTCGTTCATATTCCTAAGCCAAGTCTATTTTTTCTCGTAACTGTTTTTCACATGCTGGTACAACTACATCTCCTGTTATCTATAAGCTTTCCTATAAAACTTTCAGTCTGCTTTTTTTTTTTTTTTTTATAAGATCGTTTGTTAAAATCTTTTGGTTATGTCCGTAAAAAAAAAAAAGAAAAAAATAATAAATAAATAAATAAATAATAATGGAAATTCATTTGAAACTATGGGAGAGCGGGAAACCAATTTTCTTCCTCTTTCTCATTTTATGTTTGTAGGTGTGTATCTGGCTCATTCAAAAATAAAAAAGTTACTTTTCCTGTGCGCATAAAGGCAAAGCAAGATGGAGAAATAAAATATATCTAGAACAAAAACAATTTCCTTTTATTATGATATCTTCTTTTTTTTTTTTTTTTTTCTTTACTTTTCGTTAAATAATATAGGAGAGATAGATGAGGGACGCTTGGCATTCCACATTTGTATTTATTACCCCTTTGGGGAATTGCCTTTTCCTTTTCCTTTTTTTTTTTTTTTTTTTTTTTTTTGCTTAAACTTGTTAGATGAATATCCTTATTCATATATTTTATAATTTATTCAAATATCAGGAAAAGAAAAGGGACTTGTACAAATTATATATATATATATATATATATATACACCTGCACATGTATATATACATATATGTACGCTTGGAAAAAAAAAGGGTAATATCTTTTATTCATTATATATGCACATAAAATAAACATAACCTCATGAGTACCATATGCAATTTATATTGTGTGACTTTTTATCCATTTTTTTTTTTCTTTTTTTTTTTCTTTTTTTTTTTTTTTTTTATATTATGTGGGGGCGGCGATGGTTTGAGGAAGAGTGTATATATTTTTGGGGGACTTAGAAAAGTTTAACTGATTTTTTTTTCTTTTTTTTTTTTTTTTATAGTTTTATCGTGAATTGGGAATTCAGGGTTAAGTGTATCTTATGTGCATGTATTGTTTGTTCAAGTATATTTTATGTAAGCTAATAGGTGTACATAAACATTTTTGCAATACAAGCTGCTATACCCCAAGAGTCTGTTTCTAGCAAAGGTAAAAAAAAAAAGTATATATCATTTCAATTTTGTAAAGCTTGGCCGTGAAAAACGTGCATATATGTATATGTACACATATGTATTCATCATGTGAATATATATACATGTACATATGTATTCATCATGTGAATATATATACATGTACACATATGCATGCAGAAAATGAATTAAAATATCGTGTGCTTATTTTTCTTTTCCCATTAAAGTGGAAACACCACAGTAGGATTTTTTTTTTTTTTTTTTTTTTTTTTTTTTCTTTGAATAAAAAACTCCTTGTACACAAAGTTGCCATGCAGCTGAACATACAATTTCACATCACTTTTTTTAAAAATTAGTTTTAGAACATTATGGTGAATGACAGATCATAACCCTGGTAGAGGAAAAGTTAACTTTACATTATTCTGCTTCTTACACACACTTGTTAGATTCTATTTTGTATACACTAAGATACTTACAAGTTTGAGAAACAAAAAAATTCCCACTTTTTTTTCCGCATCTTTCTCCGTCTATATTCAGAGCTGGCTCAGCAGTATATATTTTCCATCCCTTTCCATCCTTTTCCCATTGCACTGAACACGTCACTTTTATTGATTATTTTACCTTTTTTTTTTTTTTTTTTATTTTTTATTTATTTGTTTCATTCTCCCATTCTGTTTGTTTTCTAAGGACAATAATATGTTAAGTAATAACCCATCATAGTTTCGATAAAGTAGTGGAAGATCATTAGCATGTATCACTTTTACAAAATCTTACCAAATGGTTATCAACTTAAAATCTACCTCATTAATTCAAACATGCATAATGACGTATACCCATGCACAGGTCCATTTTAATTTTTACATTCCCAAATGGCTAGCTGTGTTCAGGTGACACCTCATACATACATAAACATAGCTCAACGAATAGATAATTCATCGACTAGACACTTCAAATATGTCAGAATTTCTTGTCACACTAGTTACATATATTGTTAGAGTATATAAAACTGAACTGTATTTTCATGAGGCACCACCCAAAACTGTAATCAAGCGGTGGGTATATGAAAATAGAAATGTACACATAAAAATTTATGTACGCGTACAGACACACATACATAGGTGCATGAATACATAGGTACATTCATACATATATATGAACATACCAATGTGTAAACGAAAGGGATACGTTTTTCCTAATATGGGCCCACCCCACCCAAATCAAACCAAACCAAACGACGTCATGTAAAGAGAAAAAACGTAGAAAATGTCTGGTTTGAAGAAATATGATTAATCAACTCTTCGGATGATATGCTAAGAATATAGATTCTTTTTCTTTTCTTTTCTCATGCCTGATTTTTCTACCCCTACATATTTTTTTTCTCTTTTGGTGGTATGGAGAATGGCTCAAATAAGCAAGCATCGAAAAAAAAATGTGTCGATAGAAAAATTCGACCTGAAAAAAAAAAAAAAAAAAAAAAAAAAAAAAACAATAAGGTACAACGACAGGACACCTGAATCTGATATCTTTCTTATCCAAGAAATGTTTTATCCTAAAGTGTAAATATATTGAACTATAAATGTGTCGAAAAAAGTTCCTGTGTTTTAAATGCCTTCCAATGAGGAATGTGAAAATTATTAGTTTCTCTAAGCGCAAAAATGTCATATCAGAAGATGTTTTTTTTAAGATGAACGCAATAGAGGCATCAGCAAAAAAAAAAAAAAAAGATGGAAGTTTTATTTATTTTTTTTTTTTTTTCTCTTGTTTACATGAAATAACCTCTTCCATGAATTAGCAAAATGTATGTGCATATGTAGGCGTTATGATTTATTAACACGCTTGAGGTCGATGCAGAAAATTCCCCTTATTATTATAAGCGGTAATGTGCTTGTGTTTATTTAATCACTAGTTTCTTTACATACATACAAATATATATATGTAGATATATATGTAGATATATTTATGTTTTTATTTTACCGACCCACTTATCCCAACTCTGTCATTCCGCCCAACCCCCTCCACATATGTAACGCAAAAAAAAAAAAGAACTCATCAAACAGTGCTGAGGAGACAATGTAATGATCGAATTTATATTACTTGTAGTTGTAAGGTAAGGATTTGTAGGAGTCTACAAGTCCATCACACTTTTATTTTTTTGAGCTTGTGGCTTCCCCCTCCACCTCATCCAACATTGGGAAGAACAGAACATGAAAAGACTTCCAATAAGAAACATCCGATTGAAGATTATTCAAAATCCTTGTAGGAACATCCATTTAACAAAATATAGCTTTTGTAGTACTAGAAAATATGAACATTTCGTGAATAGAAAAAATGAAGATAAAATATTTACTGAACAACTTGATAATGTAGAATTTGAAGATGATATTTCACCTAGTCTCACCTTCGACATTACCATAGAGGAAGAAAAATGGAAGAATAAGGAAGAAATGGAATACAAAAAATTTATGAACAAAATGAAAAGTGGTATGTCTGTTGCTAGCTCTACTGGGATGTTTAATTGTAACTCCTTAGGAGATGCAAATTCTGAAGATGTCAATTTAAACAGTGGAAAAAAGATTGATGGTGATGTGCAGAGCTATCTGTGTGCAGAAGAAGTAATAGATGAATCGTGTATCAGTGGACGAGGGGATGAGAGTCAGCACGCATCGAATCAGAAAACAGATCAGGAACTTTTAAAGGAGCTAATTTATGAAAGTCAACAAAGTACCAAATCAGTTATAGATTCAGTAAATATTGTAAATAGGAAAAAAAATATCCTTTTTGAGATGGAAGAAACAGATATAAACAAGTTCTTCAACCGGGTACATGAAAATGTGGAAAATGTTGGTTGGAATAACTTGATTGGGTTAATAAATCTGCTTAGCGAAAAAAATATGAAAAATAGAATTAGAGATCTTTCTTATGAAGTTGCTAAATTTTTGAAATTTGAAAAGGTAAAGAAGGAATGTGAAGATAACAAATTGAAAATAAAATTTTGTCTTCATTATATAACAATGTTGAATAAATATTCTTTATATTTTTCTGAATTTTATGATTATTTAATTATAAAAATTAGTTATATGGACACAGATGCATTGGTTTTATTTGCAAATGAATGTTTTAAGCATAGCTTAAGGACTAAGCATTATATGGATAAGCTAGTTCCTGTATGTATAACCAAAATCAGAGAGTTCAATCTTAACCATTTGATGAGCTTGTGGCATTCCTTTCATCGATTCTGTAAGGAATATTCTAATTTTTACGATATGTCCTTAGATGTAATGGTAAGTAATGTTTCTAAATTTGATTTACAATTTTGTCAACTCTTGTTGAATATCTCTGCAAATTTTAAGCATTCTCAAAGGTATCTTAATTTTATTTCCCTTATAAGCACCCACATCAGTTCCCAAATAATAAAATTAACTTCTGAAGAAGTGGGTTCGAAACGGGATCAGCAGGAGCAGGAGCAGCCCAAGCAGCATTTACAGACAAGCAAAACGGATTTGTTAATAAGGCACAACCAATTTTGTCATCCTGACCAAAGCAAAATGTTCACACTTAACCAAAACAGCGTTAAGCACCACCCCAGATGTACCGAATTCATGAAAGAAGAGCGAGAGAAGAGCAACGACCACAACAGCCATAGCCCCAAAAACAGTCAGTGCAACCAGAACAATCACAACAATCACAACAAGCAGAACAAGCAGAACAAGCAGAACAATCACGACAATCACAACAATCACGACAATCACAACAATCACAACAATCACAACAATCACGACAATCACAACAATCACGACAATCACAACGTCAGGATGGATACACAAGTGGGGAAGAAGCCCACCAGTAGTGATGTATTCCAAAGCCAGAAGGATGCATACAATATGATGGAAAATTCCTACTTGACCTTGCATGCACCAAAAGAACCGAATGAACTAAATTTGGGAGGGAATGCCATAGGAAAAGGAGACCAAACGATGGGCTACCCAATGATGGGTTACGCATCCCATTATGGAGAAGAAAAAATAAAAAGAGTTATAGATGTCACAAAATGCTTGAAATACTTGGAATATAACAAAAGAAACGGAGCAGAAGTAAAAAAGGTAGTTAATGACATTTACGAGTTACTGAGCGAAAATGTAGAATACATACGATTGTTAGATGTAGAAGATGTAGTATATACGATCAGCTGTTTCTGCACGTACAACAAAAGAATCGTCTTATATAACAACCTGCTAGATGTGCTATGTGAAAAGTCAAATGAACTTTTACATGCTAAGAATATTTCCTTGTGGATATACCCATTAATAAGTTTATCGAAAATTTCCTGGTATCATACAAATTATTTACGTAATTTATTTGAAAATGTAAAAGACAGTTATGTGTTGAATAGACTAAGTGTTTTTCAAATGTTAAAATTGTTGTCGTCTGTTGTGAAAATGAATATATATGATGAACAAGTGTACAAAATATTAATAGAACAGATTTTTAAAGAATGGGATATAATTAAAAAAAAACTCATAGATATAGCCACCTTTTTATGGTCTTGTGCATATGTAAACATAATTTTTAAACCATTATTTGATAATTCTTATGTATTACTTCAAGATTTGTTAAAAAATAAATCATTCAGCACAGAAAATAATGTTATATATAAAAACTGTTTTGTGAATATTACTTGGTCTTATATAGTAGCAAATTATCATAAAACTCAGGAAAATTTTCATGAAATTTTAAATGTCACTTTTATGAACAGAGATCCAAATGATTCTCAAGCTTTTAAACGTTTACACCAAATTGCCGATGCATGCTTTAAGGAAATTCCACAATGTTTAGTACACTTTGATTCTGTTGATGTTATGTACAAATATTGCATGCATGAAAAATGTAAAATTCTTAGAAGTGATTTTAGTATATATAAAAAAGAAAAAGATGCTATCAAAATACGAAATAAAATATTGAATGAATTAGTTCAAATTCTGAAAATTTTTAATATTTCTTATGATCTCCATTTTGAGCCGTACCATAATTCTCCATATATAATAGATATTCTACTAAACGAAAAAATGAAAATTGGCATTTGTCTCTTTGGAAAGGAACATCTAATGAGGACAATTGATACGTCTCACTGGGATTACATGAATAGCGGATTTGTTTCCTTACAGTTACGTGTTCTTAATGCACACGGTTGGCAGGTTAGATGGAGAACAGCTAAGGAGAATAAATCTTGCAGCGTGAAAACATTATGCATATATATGTATACGTACGTCATTGTAAATCACGTTTCAAACGTTAATACTCTCACACTGGTTTTTCATTTTTTTTTTTTTTTTTTTTTTTTATATATATATATATATATGTAGATCATCCCCATCAACGCAGGGCATTGGCTTCAGCTGAACTTTGAGCAGAAGAAAACGTTTCTGCACGAAAATTTCCAGAACCACTCTGTGCTCATATGACATTTCTGCTTGGGCGAGGTATTACCAAGAGAAATTCACAATAATGTCGTGGTTATGTTGCCATCACGTAGGATCCACAAATGAATTCACAGCATTATTTAATGATTACCTTGATGCATCCCAACTTTTGAATTTCCCTTCCTTATGCTTCTTGTAATTGGCACTTTTCTCTTAACTTTTTTTTTTTTTTCATCTTTGCACTCTCCAGTTTAGTCATCTTAAGACTATTTTCGAATGTGTTCCTTGACCCATTAGGACAACGTCTACACATGTGCAAGCTTTGAAGATGTATCCAATATAAATACCAACTACTGTAAGAAAAACATCCGAGATGTTGGACGTGCTGCAAACGTCAGGAATACTGCAAACGTTGGGAATACTGCAAACGTTGGGAATACTGCAAACGTTGGGAATACTGCAAACGTTAGGAATACTGCAAACGTTAGGAATACTGCAAACGTTAGGAATACTGCAAACGTTAGGAATACTGCAAACGTTAGGAATACTGCAAACGTTAGGAATACTGCAAACGTTAGGAATACTGCAAACGTTAGGAATACTGCAAACGTTAGGAATACTGCAAACGTTGGAATCATTTTCTTTTTAATAATTTCATTCTACGCGTGGAACAACTCGTCATGCCCTCTCTAACTGTGTAATGAATGTTTTTATGCATACATTCCTCAAAACAAGGGGATGCACAATTCTATTATTACGTTGTGCAGAATTTTTTTTTCTCGTTTTCATAATTGCCGCTTTGCAACTATAGAAGCATTTACACCAAAGTACCTCTTCATCCATTTATAACATATTCGTGTGACACTTGACGAAAAGGAATGCATTATTTTTGTGAGACCATATAGACTGTGCGTAGTTCCTACGTGATGAGAGAGGGGAGGGGTGATGAACATATATCGTCTTTTTTTTTTTTTTTTTTCTATCAACACCATGTATATCATTGTTGAAAATGTATACGAATAATGGTATAGGTTTGGGCTCAATTTTTGATGGTTCATTTTGGTTACAAATTATTCATCAAAAATTTTATTGAGAAATTTCTCCTTTTCACACCTTGAGGGAGTACACTTCAATGTTATTAGAGTTATCTTACATATTTTATGTTTTAATTATTATCCCTTACTTTGGCTCTCAATATATATATATATGAATGCTTTGTTTATTCTCAAACTGTCTAGATGTTAAAGGTGTTTTTGAGCGGCATGTAAGTGCTGCCAAATATCCAATAAGGCCACATATCTGTATTAGCACTTTTGTTCCGTTGCTCCGGAGTTGGATACAGTACAAGGTGTCTTAAAATTCCAGCGAGTATGTACTAAGGAGAACCACATACATATACATATAAATAGGAGTGCATGTGTGGCCTAGACACTCTTGATGACATAAAACTGCACATCTTTCCATCCCATTAGAAATGTTTTTATAAAAAGATAATCAATGTGTGATGAATGAACTATCCAAGATTAGAGAGTTGTCTTTTTACATACCATTCTTTACAAAAAAGTATAAAGTCAGCTTATTTACCTACAATCTGTTCATACCATTCGTTCCGTGACATCCCAGAAAAAAGAAAAAAAAAAAAAAAACTACTTGTCTTTATGTATATGTCACACACCAATTATTGTATTTACGAGTTGTATATAATCTCACAAGTTTTCATATTTTTTTTTTGGAACACTTTTAGTAGATAAATCCTTTTATAATTTTACCCTTAAACTGAGCTAATTTTTTTTTTAAAGAACCTTTTTCTCATGATTCCCAATGAAAGGCATTTTTGGTAAACCTTTTTTTTTCTACTTACGAGTGACACATAAAATAGGAACGCAATTGATGTGTGCCCATATATATATACATATATACATACATATATACGTACATGTATGTATATGCATGTATGTATTTTTCTTCTTTTATATTGAGCTGGTCAATTGATATATTTGTAATGTTTTTTAAAATAGCAGAGAGGAAAGGGGTAAGTAATATATATACTGTTTTATATATACATGTGTGAAAATAAGGAAAAAATAAAAAAAAATTGAATTAAAATGTGAGATAAAAAAAAAAAAAAAAAAAAAAAGTGAAGAATTTAAATCTATGATAGACTCAGATAAAAGCTTAGATTATTGGCCCATATTAGTCTTGCACAAATGTAATTATTCACAAAAATTTAAATTTCTGTTCTTCATCATAAAGTTAAATTTTATTTGTGTCTATGTATACACATGGGAAAGGGGGGAGAATGGGGGAAAAAAACGTGGGACTATTTTTTTCATTTCTAATTTTTCCTTCAATTTGTGGTTTTCTTATAAAAGCAGAAATAATAAATTAAGTTCATTCCAGTATGGGAAAAAAAAAAAAAAAAAACGAGCCTCTGATATGGATTTACAAGATATTTCTATTTATACACATTTACATATATATATATATATATATAATATTATTCTCTATTTATATAATAACCACAATAACTTCCTTCTATTATATGAATATTCACCTGTAAATACATTTACAAACGTCTTCCTCTTCTTCCAGATTTTTTCCTGGTAGAATCTGTTGGAATTGGAGTCACATCTTCTATTCTTCCTATTTTTAATCCAGAACGGGCTAATGCTCTGTCAATGTGTAAAGGGGGGTGAAAGTGATGGCATGTATATAAGCGATGGAAGAGTATAAGATGAAAAAAAAAAAAAATTTACATGTGTGCATAACGTGAAGGACATATGGTGGCAGTCACTTATTTTACGATTTTATGTAAATATGTTTTCTGTGTGTCTTTTTTTTTTTTTTTTTTCCTATTTTTTTTTTCTCTTTTTTTTTTCTCTTTTTTTTTTCTCTTTTTTTCTGCTCCTTTTCCTTCTATTTTTTTACCTTAGGGCTGATTGTGCACCTGGCCCCGGAGTCTTCGACTTGGTTCCCCCAGAGGCTCTTAATTTGATATGAATAGCTGTAACTCCTAGTTCTTTCAGACGAACAGCAACATCCTGTGCTGCCATCATAGCGGCGTAGGGACTTGATTCATCTCTATCAGCCTTAACTTTCATACCACCTGTGTTAACATAAGAACAGAAATAGGAGAAAGGGATATAAAAAAAAAAAAAAAAAAAAATTACGTGAAACAAAAATTAGTAACAGTGCATGGTGTTTAAAACTAAATGGGTGAACAATATATAATTTTCTCATAAACCCTTTCTATTACTGGTGAAGAAACGTAAAAAAAAAAAAAAAAAAAAAGTACCCATGCACAACATATGCCTTAAATTTGCAGGTACAGTACTGTCTCTACAGATTATTAGCAAATTGCATATTTAACAACCGTGAACAAGGTTTCAATTGTGCATGAAAAAAACTTAGGCCTTTGCAGTCCTATCTCTACTCCTATCCACACATGATGAAATATATGTACACGAATACACAAGTATATATATATATATATATATATATATATATATACATACATACATATACATATATACGTGTGTGTTTTTTTTTTTTCTCCATCAATCTGACCTGTAATTCTTACTAGAGTTTCTCTTCCACTTAAATCAGTTACATGTATAAATGTATCGTTAAATGAGGCAAATATGTGAGCAACTCCAAAAACTAATTCTCCTTCCTTTGGCTGAGGTCCTGAAACAATGGCTGTTTCGGGTTGAGGGGCTTTGGTTTTCTTTGATGCCATTTTGTGGATAATTGTGATAAGTAACGCCGTACAAGGTGTAGTATAAATAAAATATTATATATGTATAAATGTATACATATATATATGTATCTTTGTCAACACTGTTTTTGTGTATATATATATATATATATATATTATGTAGGTAATATATCGAACAGTATAATTGATTAGATGGATTTTTTTTTTCTTTCACTTTTTTTTTTTTTTTTTTAGTGCTAAAACAATAATGTGAAAGCCGTAAGAGGTATTGAACACTATGCCTTAACAACACTATTCGTGCCTTGTTTTTTTTTTTTTTTTTTTTTTTTAAATTTATGAAATTATAATTAAAAATGTATTACAAAAAGGCAATGCAAAACTCAACTCAATCGAAATAATAATTTTCTGCATACGCTTTGTAAAAAAAAAAAAAAAAAAAATTAACATTTCTGCTTCAGCAGAGCAATTATAGGCTCATTAAAATATGTACTGTGGGGGCTCTTTAAATGTACATATGAGGAGAAATACTTAACAGGTGCATATATATGCAATGGGTATTAATTCAGTGGGTGTTTATGCAATATACATGTTTAATATAACACATATTTACACAATGCATATTTAATACATGTATATGTGTTTGCATTTTCTTTCGTCGGTTAATTCGTTATGCATGTTACATTAAGTGGAATACAAAAAAAATACCATACAAACATTGCAACACTTTTTCTTTTTTTTTTTTTTTTTTTTTTTTTTTTGGCCATTAGTACCGCCCTCATTAGGAAAGGGGCGGAGGCGAATATATTTTTTTTCAAAAAGGAAAAAATTCGTAAATTTTTTTTTAAGGATCTCTTATTTTAACAAATAATACAATATTTGTTATCATGCTATATTATATATATATATATATATATATATATATATATATATAATACATATTCTTGCGTGATGCAGAAACATATGTTATTCTCATTCACCTCTTAGTTGGTAGGGGAAAAAAAAAAAAACCTCTTTAATCACCCTATACAGGGGGATAGGGCGCACGTATTCCCAAAGCTGGTCAACCTTCACGATTATTTTTGTTAGCAATAGCAATGTTTATAAACGTTATAAATGCATATATATATGTATATGTACCTATATGTTTATGTATACATCTGTACGTTTGTGTACCAAAACGCATTAATAAAAAAATGATAATATTTTTAACCAAACTGTAAGTATTTTTATTTTTTTAATGTTTTCGATTTTGAAGGTTAAAAAATAGGGTTAATGGTTAATTGTTAAGGGTTAATTTTTAAGGGTTAATTTCTGAGGCTTAACTACTAAGTGCTAAACAAAGAGAAGAAAGGGATTGGTACACTTTTTATTTTTCGCGCCCCTTCTTCATCGCTTGTTGCTACTATTAAATTTCCATTATCCAAGTTATGTATATATATATATATATATATACAGCTCATGTATTTTACAACAGAGGAAAAGTGACGCTGAGGTAACAAAAAAGAAAAAAGTTTATTTCTACATGTAACTTTTTTTTTTTTTTTTTCCCGATACGCACGTGTACAAAGAATACATAATCTTTTTAAATATGTTGATTTCTGTATAATTAAAAAATTGTCATAAGGATTTTTCATAGTGTTCCTCGTTTCGTCCTAAAATTTTTGGTGCTCATGTACCTTTTCATAAATTTTTGGAAATTGTAAAAAGTACCTCTTAATTATTAAATTAGTATGAAAATCTCAATTTCTTCCGATTCTAAGATACTTTGATTAGGTCATCTCTACGAAATGTTTGTTACACAATTTTTGGGAATATCATGTCTCCACATTTTGATGAATTTAAAAACCTTTCAATCATAGACGAACTATGCAACACACATTACACGTATGGTGGACATGAAAGGACAACACGCCTGAGCGATTACACAGATTAATGCAAGAAAGTTAGAGTGGTGAGATAACGAAGATCACTTAAATGTATTACATATATATACATATATACATATATACATGTATGTGTGTACATATTGGAATTATGCATATCTACGTACACGCTTCTATAACTCTGCATCCATGAAGTGCCAGTTACTTTTTTTGAGGGTGTGTGAAGGTATTTATTCATATTTCCAAATTCAAGCTCTTACTATAGAAAAGTTTCCTTGCAAAATTATTTAGTCTAAACTTACAGTTCATGCGGAAAAACAAACGGAAAAAGTTATAATAGACAATTGTGGAATGGAGAAACTTACTAAGGGTTTATATGTACTCCTCCACACATACACACACCAAAAAAAAAAAAAAAAAAAAAAAGTTTTATCTGTTCATGTTTTGAAGAACTCTGAAACGCTCGTCAAGCCACAAAAAAAAATTTTTTTCTTTTCTTCTTTTCAATCAGAATTGTATGTATTGTACAAATTAGCTCATTTCACTGTTACATCATTGTTACATGACCATATAGAAGTAAATCATGGCTTGCTTTTGTTAGTAACCGACATGAAATACCGATTTGAACATGAATCCAGTCTTTTTACTTCTATACCTTAGCGTGCTTTTAAAATTAAAAATCAAAAGTAAAAGAACAATCAAGAAGACACTTAAAGTGAAATGCATACGTTTGCGCAACCATTTAGAGAAAAAATATTTCGTAGGAATCAAGTTGCATAAGATAAAAAATGAAAAAAAATGTAAAATGACGCTACATAGTGTCGAAGAAATAGCACATGAGGCCGACCAGATAAGCACCACTAATCCACCTGACCAGATAAGCATCGCAAATTCACCTGACCAGATAAGCATCGCAAATTCACCTGACCAGATAAGCAGCGCAAATTCACCTGACCAGATAAGCAGCGCAAATTCACCTGACCAGATAAGCAGCGCAAATTCACCTGACCAGCCAAGCCAAAGAGGAATTCAAAACCGCGCGAAATTGACAAACTTAATTTTAATCATTGACTATGATGGGACAAATTACAGCGGATGGACAGGTCTGGAAAACGAAAGCGAAATTTATTTAAATGCAACGAAAAATTATAAGCATATAACGAGTGAGAAGAAAAAAAATGAGAAATCAAAATATAAGAATACAGTGCAAAACACTATACTAAATTGCATACTAAGAATACATGGCTATGGAAATGATTTGAACAAATTTAATGAAGATATTTCCACTCATTTAAAACCGTTCGATTTTATAGGTGTAAGTAGAACGGATAAGGGAGTTCATGCAAAAGAGTATGTGTGTCAATACATATCATATGAGAAAACTCCTCCATGTGAAGGAAATATGAGTAAAATAAAGAAAGCATTAAATAGCTTACTAAATAAAGATATAAAAATAATAGGTGTCTTAAATGCACCATTTCACGATTTCAATGTAAGATATAATAATTGTGGAAAAATATATACATACAATTTTGATGTTCGAATTCCTAGCCAACCCTTAGAAAGGAATTATGCATGGCAACTGTATGACGATCCCAGATTTTCCTTTCTTCTAAGGGGGAAGAAAGCAAAAAAGAGAAAAATAAAGAAAGAAGAAGTGGAAGAAGCAGACGTGGAAGAAGCAGGAGTGGAAGAAGCAGGAGTGGAAGAAGCAGGAGTGGAAGAAGCAGACGTGCATGAATCAGACGTGCAAGAAGCAGACGTGCATGAAGCAGACGTGCAAGAAGCAGACGTGCATGAAGCAGACGTGCATGAAGCAGACGTGCAAGAAGCAGACGTGCATGAAGCAGAAGTGGAAGAGCAAAAAAAGAGTCATAATAAGGAGGGGAACTCTTTCAATTCTGGCACAACTGAACAGACATGTAAACATAATAATAAAAACACAAACGGATCTTCTATTATATCTCCTTGTGAAAAACAAAATGTAATTTTCCATTCTGATAACAATATCATTGTTCAAGATGATTCATTTAACCATGTTTGTGGTGAAAAAATATCTTCAACCATTAGCGATACTTCAAATGACAAAACTGTGAACAAGACATCGAATACTCATGCACAGAAGGATGATGTGTTGTCTCCAAATTTACAAAACCATCGGAAGGCAACCAGCACGAACTATGAAAAAAATTCTTACCATTCAGGCAAAAAAACTCTTACGCTTGAGGAATATATTTATGAAAAGATGACTTGTTGCAATTCGAATGAGAAGAGAGAAGAGCTCCCTTGTAGTGATAGTGAGGATGATGCAGGAGAAAAAACGAGAAAGAAAAACAAAGGGGATGTGACTCATTGTTTGAACATCATAAAAGGCAAAGGGGGAAAAAAATTGACAATATCATGTGATATAGATAAAATAAAAAAGTGCTCCAAATTATTCATAGGTTATCACAACTTCGAATGCTTTCGAGGAACACTAAAAGGGACTGAAAAATTGAAAAAAATTAATACTTTCTGTAATATTTATTTTCTGGATTTATACGAATTAAAAAGTAATATTTATCAGTTTGTCATTCAGGGAGACAGATTTCTCTATCACATGATTAGAATAATTGTTGGTACTCTCCTTCAGGTCGGGGTTGGTCTTTTACAATTTCAGGACGTGTGGGAAGCGTTATATCTTAGCAAGCCCCTCAAGGTGAAATTATGTGCACCACCCCATGGCCTCTGCCTCTCCAAAATTTTGTTCTGCACGGATGTTCAGGAGAGAATTTCCACAGCTCTGCTGTCTCATTAGTGCTATCGCTATCGCCATCGACACTGACATCAACATATCTGAATATCCAGAAGTATGTGCCTACATATATAATACCTACACGCATAAAGCCATACCATGTGTCGATACATACACACTCGTGACAATGTTACCAGACTGAGATCCCTGTTTTAAGTGAGTACACCTTCCACCAAATATTGTCGCGTTTTTACACAAAGTTCGTTTTGGAAATCTTCTTTTTCAGGGAAGCTGCTACATATATATATATATATATATATAAATTTAAGTTTTTTTTTTTTTTTTTTTTTTTTTTTTTTCTGTTGTTGATTGGGTGGAGCAGAAACAGACTAGTCTTAAAATCGAGGCAGGCACAACCATGGCAGATGCCGCACTTGGCATGTGTCCCCCCCCATTTTGAATATGTCATAGGAAATTTTTAACAAAAAAAAAATAAAATAAAATAAATAAATAAGGAAAGAACCGATATGAAAATAAAAAAAGGAATGACAACCTTGTTTTGCAGACGAAGGAATGACAACCCTATTTTGCAAAGGACGGAATGACAACCCTATTTTGCAAAGGACGGAATGACAACCCTATTTTGCAAAAGACGGAATGACAACCCTATTTTGCAAAGGACGGAATGACAACCCTATTTTGCAAAAGACGGAATGACAACCCTATTTTGCAAAAGACGGAATGACAACCCTATTTTGCAAAAGACGGAATGACAACCCTATTTTGCAAAAGACGGAATGACAACCCTATTTTGCAAAAGACGGAATGACAACCCTATTTTGCAAAAGACGGAATGACAACCCTATTTTGCAAAAGACGGAATGACAACCCTATTTTGCAAAAGACGGAATGACAACCCTATTTTGCAAAGGACGGAATGACAACCTTGTTTTGCAAAGGACGGAATGGTAGTCTACCCCACCCCATCCCCAAACACACATGCTTCTTCTCCCTATGCACATTTTTACAACTGATTTTGCTTGACCTTGCGATCTAGAGCAGAAGATGCATATCCTTTGGATTTTTCCACCCCCTCGTCAGAGGAGTAGTCGTCGTTTTTATGGTTTCTACTGAAGATGTTAAAACTAGTGTAATGTTTATGGGTTCTAACAGGTATTCCTTTTTCAGAATACCGATCAGCTCGATTTCTATAATTTTCATCTCGATCAGCATATTGATCTGGGTTACTACTATCAAGATCGCTATGATCCGTGTAATCACTAAACGTGTGTTCATTCTCCAAATAATTAGGGTGTTTTAAAATATTAAAATTTCTTAAAAATCCTTCAAAGGATTTTAAATTTAAATTATTTAACCCACCTTTTATACTATTCAATAAATTACAAATTTGATGTATACAAATGCCATTGTAGTAGATAAGAATAGTGGGTAATTTTGATTCTGGATAATTTTCTACGATTCGATTGTATATTCCTTTTGTGAATTTTATGTATTTGTGTCTTTTTGCCATTTCATTTAGAATTTTATTCATCACTTTGCATGCGATTACATTCTCTGAATATAAGTGAATAACAACATATGTGCCTTTTGTGTTTCTTTTGCCAACCCCATGATAAGCATTCCTCGATGCTAAATAATATTTTTTACTATCATTTAAATGTTCAGTGTGCATATGTTCTTCTGTATATGGGTACACTTCTTCTTCATCTTCTCCCGCTTCTACCTCATCATCATCATCACCCCTTGTGCTTTCTTCTAATGATTTGCGTGTAAACTCATTTAGTGGGTTTCTTTTACTGGCTTCATTAATTTCAGTTAAAAAATTATTCTTAGAAATTTCATAAACATCCCCATATATATCCAATGCCTTACTTCGATTTATTTCATTGATTCGATCTGTTTTATACTTTTCAATTATTTTTAAGTATTCCTCATCGACACAATTTTCTTCTAGTAAATTTAATTCCTCCAGATTCTTTTTCTCCAAAATATTAGTCTTTTCAAGTTTATCTAAATTTTTTAAATAAATTTCTTCTTCTTTTATCTCTTTTTCTAGTGCTGGTAAATTTCCGAATTTCCTTTGCAGATCATCCCATTCGGTTGTTTCTCTAGTGGGGTTGGTTGTCGACATGGTTTTTCACCTCCCCCGTCCTCTTAATCTATGCAACTGTGTGTATATATATATATATATATATATATATATATATATATATATATATATATTGCTGATCTGTTTGTGGATTCTTTACGCGAAACAAAATACAGAACAGAAATCGGGTTGGGCATAAGCACATGCATACACAAATGCATATATATATGTATAGGCTTGTGCATGTAATAATGTCATTTACTGTGGCATCTCGCCTTCTCAGAATGTTAAACCTCAATTTGGAAACAATGTGCCAAATAAGCAGCGTCTAATGTTAACCAAGTTTAACATTTTAGTTATCTCACATTGATGCTATCAGGCAAAAATATTGCAAATCGTTGGAAATTTAGCAAAGCAAGCTGCTTCTTCAGCACACTGTGGGGGTATCGACAGGATAGGGGAGAAAAGATAAAAAAAAGTGAAAAAATAAAAATTCGAAAAAATAAGAAAAGGTACCAAAAATAAGAAAAAGTACAAAAAATAAGCAAAAGTACCAAAATATATGAAAAAGTACCAAAATATATGAAAAAGTACCAAAATATATGAAAAAGTTAAAAAATAGATAAATAAAATAATGCAGCATAATGCAATATGGTGAGAAAAAAGGAAATTAGTTAAATAACTCCAAACATGGTGATGACATATCCCAGAGAGATGAATAAATAAAAACTTCTGCTGCTATACCTTTATATATATAATATCAATTTGTGAATGAACACGCTCTTAAGTCCATCTGTGCTGTGTGAAAATTGCTAAAATTTGTGTTTAAATACTTCCCACCACTCTAAAAACTTCAGATATCAAATACCATACAAAAAGTACAGTTTATTGTTTTTTTTTTTTTTTCCACGTTTCAAACTTTTCCATGCGCTGCCACTTTATTTATTTATTTTTTTATTTATTTTTTTTTTACTTTTGTTTTGGGACACACATGATGAAATTCGTCGTCCACCTCAAATTCTATGACAATAAAAAAAAAAAAAAAAAAAAATTTGTAAAGTAAAATCCGATCGGCGAGAAATATAATAATTTCCTCTCGCGTGTTTTCATCAGATTAAACAACTTATCCTACTTAACCAGATAGAAGAGTTCCCTCATTCTTTATATACCCTTCAAAATAAAGTGGCAAAACATGAAAAAAGAAAGTGTGAAAAGGGAAAGTTTGAAAAATGAAAATTTGAAAAAGAAAAAAATTTTATTTGCATGCACTTGTTCCCCACAACACAATGAAATTCTATATATTGCGTCTAGAAAAAAAAAAAAAAAAAAAAAAAAAAAAAAACATCATGACATTTAAATAACAGGAAAATAGGGCTTCCTTTCCATCGTCAATTACCTTCCCCTTTTAACTGGCATCTCTGTGGATTTTAACTTTTTCATTTTTTTTGCTCAGTTATACAAGTTGTCTAAAGAAGATGAATTATACCACCTCTTCGCCACATTGTCAACATATACTCCTTTATCCAAAAAGAACAGAACGATGAGAAATAGAGAGGGAGAAAGAAAAAACAACAACAACAACATACACCATACATACATGCGTGCGAACGTGCGATGATTTATACCAACTCAGGGACATTTCTTTTTAGAACAGCCATGCCAAAAACTCTCAGAAAATGAAGTAAAAATGAGATGAGGTCTAAAATTTAGTCACCCAGTTCCCAATGCTTGGAGTGTATTTACACCTTTTTTTTCTTTAAGAAATGAAATATGGTTAATAAAAATCATAGCAAGTTAAATTTTTATCCACCTTGCCTTTTTTTTTTTTTTTTAATCTTCCGTTAAAGTTGCATATTCAATGACAAGTTCTTATAACAAAGAAAATGTGTTTAAAAAAAAATAAAATAATTTCATTTTTTTCAATTTTACCCTCTCTCCCTATAACTGATGAAATTTGGATTGTATTTTTGTTCTTTTCTCTCTGTTGTTGTATTTGATCATTTTGATATCAGCTTGTTCTTTCAACCAGAAATTTTTTTTTTTTTTTTTTTCCCCCTTGGAGGCTCTGCTTCACTTTCTAGTCAAAAAATAAAATAAATAAAACTCCAAAAAAATGGAAGTAACCTCCACTTTGTTAGAGAAAAATAAGAGCGTCTCAGATGACTCATCTGAAGTTGTTCCAAAGGAAAAGAAGTTTTTCGTTTCATCAATTGGTAATGGCATCAAGTTGTTCCCAAAGGGTTGAATGTGGGTGTGTGTACCATTATATGTGTAGCTTCGTGTGTGCAACTTCATGTGTGTAGCTTCCATGGGCGTGGAGGTAGGAATACCAAATGTTCTGATGCACAAAGTTAGGTCTAATGAGGCACTACATGAAACAGTGCAACTTGGCACCTTCACCCATGAACCCTCAAAAGAAGCTATTGCACCACACAGAGTTGAGTGGTAATGATATTCCCACATATGCAGAAATAGTCATAATATTTGCAACTTTTTTTTTTTTTTTTTTTTTTTTTTTTGTTCATTTATGTAGGTAAAGCTCATTTGATAAATTCTCTCTATGGAATTGGTTACACGATACAAATTGCGATGTTGCCATACATGGTAAGTGCGTTCGTTTGTCCGTTCGTTTGTCCGTTCGTTTGTCCGTTCGTTTGTCCGTTCGTTTGCCCGTTCGTTTGCCCGTTCGTTTGTCCGTTCGTTTGTCCGTTCGTTTGTCCACTCGTTCGTAGCATATTTTTTTCTCCCCCCTTGACTTATTTTTTTTTTAAAAATTCCAAAATTTGCATATTTATAAATACATGGTTTAAGTGAATGATCCATATGCTAACTCAAAAACTTGAACGCGTGAAGGCTTAAACTGTGAACACATAAAAATAAAGGACATTTCTATTCTAATCTCCTTCCCCCGTCCACTCACAGTTGATAAACTCCAATGCAGGAATTGAGCACAATGGATACCTGCTGACAATATTTTCTCTACTGCAATTCGTAGGATCCCTATTTTTTGGCAGATTAGCAGACATGTTAAAAATGAGACATAATCTTTTAATAGCTACATTAGCATCAATCATGAAGCATGTAATGTATACACGAACTAAACACATGTGCACATTTGCGTGCATCGAGTATATATGATATCATTTCAACATAGGAATATAACAATTTATTTTTTTTTTTTTTTTTTCCATTTATACAGATGGGGAGTAAAGAAGTCCTTTTATTTATCCCTTTGTTGTTCGAGCTTGATGTATCTTATGGTGATAAGAATTGTCAAATTTGTTCACTAGTATAATTTAGCATTAACCCACAAGCCTGTGTGATAATGTATACTCATCAATGGATGTAACAATTTAGATACCACACAAAAAAAAAAATTTTCCCCCTGTTTTTTTTTTTTTTTTTAGCTGACTTTGTGCAGATCCTCTTGGACATACTACATCAGCTTTCTTCCCTCATTCTTCATGCAAACATTTCAAGCCTCATCTCTACTGGTATGTCTCAAAACAGACAGTGAAAAAAGAACATCTGCAATTGGGTACTTGAACTTAAGTTATGGTTTAGGGATAATTTTAGGTAGTCTCTTGGCAGGAATGATGGTGAATTTTTTAGGTCCTAGAGGAAATTTATTTATCGCATTTGTTTCTCAAATAATTGCATTATATATAGCTAGAACTTTGCATGAAGATCCGAAACTATTAAAAAATACAAATATAGGAGATATAAAAATAAATGAAATTTTGAATGGCATACAAAATGAATACATAAGAGTTTTAAATTTATTTAAAAAAACATATGGTATTTGTTTACTAATCTTGTTTGGATTATTACCTATATTAATGACTAAGTATGCATTCGCCCCAGTTGTAGTAGATATGTTTAAATTAACTCCATCACATACATCTTACTTAATGACATATGCAGGAATTCTAACAATTATTGCTGAGGGTATTTTTGCTCCTTATTTAAGTTCTCTATTAGGAGATATGATATGTTGTAAATTCTCAATACCTTTAACATTATCTGGATTTTTATTATTATCATTATGTGGTGCAAATGAATCTCTTGTTCTTATATTCATGTCTATTCCCTTATGTGGAGGTGCCTTGCTATACATTTGTGGAACTAGTCAAATGACAAAGAGAGTTGATGAATCCGAGTTAGGAACCGTTATTGGTTTGAATACATCCATTTTTTATGCTGTTACTATAGTGGCACCCTACTTAGCCTTTAAGTCTTACATTGCCTTTGGACTTGGATTATACTGGTAATGAGAGACGTGTACATAAATTTCACAAGAGAAAAGTGTATGAACTTTATATGCATGTATGTTTTCGTTTTGTCTTGTTTTGTTTTGTCTTGTTTTGTTTTGTCTTGTTTTGTTTTGTCTTGTTTTGTTTTGTCTTGTTTTGTTTTGTCTTGTTTTGTCTTGTTTTGTCTTGTTTTGTTTTGTTTTCTTTTCTTTTCTTGTCTTTTTTTTTTTTTTTTTTTTCGCTCAAGTGTGCCAATTCCAATAGGCATATTCCACTTCACCCATAATTACAATTTTCAATTTTTCTTAGGCTCTTTTGTGCTTTTATCTGTTTAGTAATCACCACATACATTTTCCTCCTAGACAAATCCACATTAAAAATATTTAAGGAAGACCACGACAGTCTCGAGACCATGTTCTCCAGCATGAAATTCGCATGGTAAATGTAGCAGACAAGACCAAGCTGGATACCTGCATGTATGTATATACCTATAACTTTGCCCAATTTTTCAAGTCTTAAGCGAATTCGTCAAGCTAAATATTTTCTGTGACAATTAGTTTTTTTCCCCCTCCCTACCCCACAATAAAGGGGGGCGGGACGGGGGACTGACAATTGTTGTTACTCAGATTTGCCGATTTGTTGAATGGCCTATTTTCTCATCCCTTCACTCCATTCAAGTGTATAATTTTTTTTTTTTTTTTTTTTTTTTTCTTGTCATCTATGGTTTTTTTTTCTCAAAAGAGCTGTGGCGATGCCCACTGGGGTGACAGGAATGGTGGTGAAAAAAAAAAAAAAAAAGAAGAAAAAAAATGTTTGTTACTTAACTGTTTTTGTGTGATATATATATGTAATCAATTTTTTTTTAATTTTGAGAAAAAGAACTATTTTTTTAAATAATATGTTTAAAAATGCGTACTATTGTATGCAAAAGAGGATGATTCTATTTTAGCAAAGGGTGCGCAAAAATGTGGGATATGCAGGAAGATTTAAAAAAAAAAAAAAAAAAAAAAAAAAAAGTATATAATTAAGTATGTAAGTAAGTAAGAAAGAAAGGGGGGGGTGGGTAAATAAAGTTAATGATGCACATGACAAATGACAAAGTAGAGCTGGTACAAGCTGCAACGGAAAAAAAAAAAAAAAAAAAAAAAAAATATACAACACGTGGTCGGTTGGATTTGATAACTTAGACGTGATAGTTTGCATGTGGAACGGACGAAAGGGGATAGATTAAACAAGACAGAAGAGATACTGGAGGCGAAAGTAAGGCCAACATGGCTCTCATTCTTTACATTATTTCCATTTTTTCCATGATACCCCCACACTACATACAGAGACAGGACACCACCTGTGCTTTAACCCTACTCCCCTTCGAAATGTTTATAATCTTGCTCTTACTCCTGATACGACTCAATTATGTCATCTGGGATAAAATCCATATAATTTTCAAAACCTATTCCACACTCATCCCCTTGCTTTACCTGCGATTTTTCCTCCCTGAGAATTTTAAGTGACACAATTTTCCCCATGTATGCAACTTTATCATTTCTCAAAATTCTTACATTGCTGTTAATGTTAATAGTGCCACTTTTGACAACACACCCAGCTACTTTTCCTAATTTAGCTACATTAAAAATTTTTAAAATAATTGCTTGTCCGGTGTATTTGCCACTTGGCTTTATGCTTAGTTTTTTTTTCATTTCTTCTTCAACCTGTTCGATCACTTGGTATAAAACATTGGCAAAAATAAAGTTGCAATTGGGTTTTCCAGCATTTTTCTGATTTTTAGAACTTTTCGGTGCACTTTTGGAAATTTTCACATTAAATCCAATAATGATAGCATTAAAACTTAAGGCATATGTAATGTCACTAGCAGTAATATCTCCAATATTTGCATAAATAATTTTATTTTTCACTCTGTATATTGTATCACTTACTTCTAACTTCAGAAGAGAACTCTTCAAAACATCTATTGTTCCTTGTTTGTCGCATTTAATAAAATAGTTCACGTACACAGTTTTCGGATCCACTTTTTTTTCAAAATGTTCAATCTTCTTTTCTTCCCTACTTTCCTTTTGTAATGATTTATCACGTGGTTCCCCATCAAGCGGTTCCTTAGCACTGATTCCTTTTTCTTTATTTATCAAGTCCTCTTGGAACTCCATTAATGCTGATTCAGTGCACCCCACCGTCTTGCCTTGCTGTTTCAGGTTTATTTTCCTCTTTCCTATATTCATTTCATTTTCGACATCAGTGCACACATTACTACTCATGTCACTGTGAGAACTGGGAGGCATGTCACTGTCAAAGCTGGGAGACTTATCACTGTCAAAGCTGGGAGACTTATCACTGTCAAAGCTGGGAACCTTATCACTATCCACACCGGTGGGCATACTACCAAATGGAATGATGTATTCGCGATATTTTTCCATACCAGTCTCCTCTCCATAGCTAGAAGACATCAGTTGTGATGCCAAATGTTCGTTTTTGTTATGTTCAGAAATTTCTCTCGCAATTTGTTCGTTCTGCACAATATAAAATTTGTCTCCAGCGATTGGAGTAGAATTCTTATTATATCCTATCACAATAACAGGGTCCGATGGATATGCAAATTTGATATTTTTATTTAAATGATCCTTCATTATTTTTACTTTTCCATAAGATGAACCTGTGTAAAAATAATCATTCAATCGAAGAATTCCACTTTGTAATAAATTAATGGATACAATTCCATTTTTATCAATATATGAATCTAAAATGACACCCTGTGTTTTTTCATTTCCCTCAATTTTTAAGTCCAAAAATTCAGATTCTAAATATATTGCATCTATCAATTTATTTATAGAATCTTCTTTAAATATAGAACACATAATCACTTGTATATCTCCACCATTCATTTCTGTGTATATTTCATAATGTAGTAAATCATTTAAAATTCGATCCACACTAACATTTGGTAAATCTACTTTTGTAATTGCAATTACTATTTTTATGTTGAACTCTTTAATCAGTTTGATGCACTCCACTGTCTGTTCTTGTATCCCCTCTTCTCCTGATATCACCAAAATGCTCAAGTCGGAAATTTTCACTCCTCTAGATCGAATCTGCATAAAAGCTTCATGCCCTGGTGTGTCAATAAGAGTAAATGTGAAATCATTCTCTTTCACCTTAACTTTAAAGGCTCTTATATTTTGTGTTATTAGTCCTTTTTCTTTATCTCTCTCCTTTGTTTTACATATGTAATCGAATAGAGAAGTCTTTCCATGGTTTATATGCCCAATGAAGGTAACTACAATGTTTCTTTTTTTCTTTTCCTCTTTTATTTTCTCAGTATTGGTAGTCATTAATGGGGGCTTTTTTCTTGGAACAAGACTCGTTTTTGATGAAAAATTATCCAAAGATTTTATTTCTTTTCTTCTGCCATCCTGCATTCCAATTTTATTTTCCATTTCTTTATTTTTTTCCCCATCTGGAATTACCTCTACCTGTGCAAACACTTTTGGGACATCCCCACAGAGATGTGCTTCCTCCTTGTAAGCTTTATCTTTCGTTCTGCAAATTTTTTCCACCATTGGAACTTCACGAGAAGAGCTTATCCCTTCTTTCTGCAGATTCGGATCTAGATCGTGACATTCATGTTGACATTGATTCATATCCACGTTAGTGCCTTTCCCTAGGACTTGTTGGCCAAATTCCACTACACACTTAATATTAAAATATTCGCAGGCTTGTTTTATTTGATCCACATTTAGTATATAACTGGAGGGATACTCCTTCTTATCGTTAATTATAAAGAATTTTTTCAATGAGGCTATGGAAATTTTTATCATTTTGGAAAAAACAGCGAGGCTGATATTCTCAGATATTCTGCATGACTTTGTCACTTTTTTGGTTTTGTAAAAATTTTCCTTTTTTTTTTTAACAAATTCATTGTTTTGGATTCTCTTTGGCACGTGCAAATAATTGGCATCACTTTGCTGATCTTCCCTCCGATAATTAATCATATTTTTCTTTTTCTTGCCCATTTCAGAGCTATCATTAGGTTTGTGCGAAAGGCCGGCTTTACCATCATCCATCTGTTCATCATCCATCTGTTCATCATCCATCTGTTCATCATCCATCTGTTTATCATCCATCTGTTCATCATCCATCTGTTTATCATCCATCTGTTTATCATCCATCTGTTCATCATCCATCTGTTTATCATCCATCTGTTCATCATCCATCAGTTTATCATCCCTTTCTTCTTCTTCTTCTTCTTCTTCTTCTTCTTCTTCTTCTTTCTCTTCCTCTTCCTCTCCTTGCTCCTTCTCCACCTCCTTTTGATAATCTTTTTTACGCACTTCTTCACTCGAACCTGTCTGCGAAATGGAATCTAAATAAATGCGTATCTTGTTAAACGTCTTGGAATTTGGGGGGACGGTCAAAATATAGTTAGATTTAAATTTTTCATTTTGTTTGTCATAAATTTGTATGTCTATAATATCCCATATGTTGAATATTTTATTAAACTGTACAAATTTTATCAAATTATTCCATTTCTCATTATTATTTTCTAACTGTTGAGTATTATTCACGTTAAATGTTTCCTGAATATGATTATCAGATTTTTTTTTTTTCTCAATGCTACTACATGGAAATAATTTAGACTTGTGTAAATAACCAGTACTTCCATTCTTTAACACTTTAATAAATATATATGAATCACATAATTTTGTTATTAGTCCTTTTGAAATATCACCCTTTTCTAATTTCACACATTCATTATATTTAATTACATTTGCCAAGTAGTATAAATTTTTTTTTATATTTATTCCTAAAATTTTAACAAAAATTTTTTGATTCAATTTAAAATAGTCATTTAAATCTTCAACATCATCACCTAAGTTACATCTATTTTTAAAAAGAATTCCATATTCATTACAATTTTTAATCTTCACTAGTACTCCGTTTGAGCTCACAGAATAAACTTCTCCTTCTAGGGTCTTTCCTACATTCTTTTCCTTGGGCATGTCTCCTTTACCCACTTTCGATTTTGAAAGAGTCTCACCTTGGTGTTTATACTTATTCGTGCCTCTGTCACTATCACGGGTTCTCACTCTGCCTCTGTCACTATCACGGGCTCTCACTCTGTCTCTGTCACTATCACGGGCTCTCGCTCTGTCTCTACCTCTGTCACTATCACTGGATCTGCCTCTACCTCCATCTCTTATCCCTTTTATTTTTTCTCTTTTATCGCAATTCTCGGTATGAACATTCATATCCTTGTCATATATGTAATTACTGGTCTCATAACTCTGCCCTTCTTCAACTAAGTCGCTATCTCTATATACATAATCAACATTAGCACCATCCTTCTCGGGTCGGGACTCATATTTACTATCATTTCTTCCTTTCATAGGATTGTTATTTCCTTTTTGACAAATTTCTGTATTTTTTACAGTTGGGCTGGATACTTCCTCATGTTCCAACTTTCTCGAATATCGTGATTTGTTTTCCATTACCATCTCTATATCCTCCTTCTCATGCTTCTTCAAATGGGTAGCTGATGCAGAAGAGGGGCCTCCATCACATTTTGATAAATGCACATATATATTATTTCCTATTTTTACATTTTTTCTTTTTTCATAATTTTCTCTCTTTTCTTTTATTTTGACATTTATATTGTATTCATCTTGTTCTTTATTTAGATACACTTTCTTCGACTCTTTGTTCTTTTTTTCCTCCTCTTTCTCTGAACATTTGGGTGAACTCGTAGCTTCAACATTCTGTTTGGATTTTTCCTGAATTTGAGAATTTCTGGCACCGTCCTTGGGATTGTGGTTGCCCTTCGTGGATGATGATCCATTCATATCACACTTAAACAGAAACAGAGAACATTTCTTTATCTTCTTTATATTGCTCCATTTGGTGTACTTGTTCTTCTGCACCCATGTCCCTAATGGGTTACCATTTTTTAGAGAGACCAAATATATGCCCTTTGTTATTCCCTTCGATTGTCTCCTCAACAGATTGGTTCTTCCAACTTGACCTTGATAAAAAATGGTATTTACATTTTTAATAAAACAAAACTTATTACCACGCTGATACTTACATCTAACGGGTGAAAATTCCTTTTGTTTTATTTTCTCATAATAATTAAAAAAAGAAAAATTTTTATCAATCTTAGATAATTTATATCCATAGAGGATATTACTACGTTTGTATAATATCGCGTATAATATAATTACTGATATGGCCCAACCAAGGAACCAATTCCTACCAAACATAACTGATTAGTTAAACTTAATCATTGATGGATGAACAGAGAATGTTGAAAATGGAAATTATTACACTACTTATCTGCTCACATAATGATATTTATAAAGGAGAGGAGAAAAAAAAAAAAAAAAAAAAAAAAAAAAAACCATCGTCCCTTTCTACATCTTTCCACACGTCCTTACATTTTTTTTTTTTTTTTTTTAAACTTGTTATCGAACCATGGGGTATATTAAAAGAGGAAATTGTAAGGTTGGGTACGTATGCTTTGGAACTGTGTTGTCAGGTTCGTGCTTTAAAAAAAAAAAAAAAAAAAAAAAAAAAAGTGAACAAGTGTGGGACGTAAAAGAAGATAGAAATGAAAAAGAAACACAAAGGAAAAATAGATAAAAAAAGGTGGGAAAATAATATATACATATAAAATATGTATAACCTTGTCAATGCTGCAACATTAGTAAGTACTTTTATTTTTCATGATTAAAACAGCACCTTTCTTCACAGCTGGAGTGATTAGTACTTTAGAAACATGTGAACTGTGTGAAAACAATGTGGGAACAATGTGAGAACAGTGTGAGAATAATGTAGGAACAATGTAGGAACAATGTGTGATTTATGTTCGAACTATATGTGATTTATGTTCTAATTTTAACGTTTGAATCTCACATCCTGTGTAGGTGTATATATATAAATAATAAATCAAGTAAATGGGGTCCAAGCATTTTAAAAAAAAAAAAAAAAAAAAAAAATGTTCAAGGGAGGAAAAGAAATGATTGCCAAAATGGAAAAGTATGAACAATGAAAAAAGGTAGATTTTATTTTTATTTTATTTTTTTTTTAAATGGGAGGAATTGTTCTTTACAACGTCACTTGTAACATTTTCTTACACGCAGTTATTGTATAAACTAGCGAGGGAGAGGAAAGGTAAACATATATATATATATATATATATATATATATATATATATATATATATATATGTGTGTGTGAAATAATAAATTTTATTTGAATTGCACCATCACAGACATAGCTATAAAACCTTAGAAAACATATATATAATATTCTTGGGGCTTGGTTTGTATTCGCGAATAAATACTCTTGGTGGAGAAGAAAAACATGTTTATGTAAAGTAGAAAGGAAGCAAGGGGAGAAAAATTTTATAAAAATGTTTGAAAAACAATTTTTTTTAAAAGAAAAAGGAAAAAAGGGGAAAAAAATTTAAAAAAATGTTAAAAAAAAAATGTAAAAAAAAAAAAAAAAAAAAAAAAAAAAAAAAAAAAAAAAAAAAAATGTGAAACTCAACTACGATGTAGTATATACACTAAGCATTTTTTTATTTGCATAACCAAAGTATGTAGGGGAAATGGTAAAACATGCTTTATAGCATAAAAACAGGTTAACAAATTAGAAAAAAAAAAAAAAATACACAAATCGTCTTAACGATTGATACTTATGCGTGTACGTATATACGCCTGTATATATATGTGTACAATTGTGCATCTGCACTCATACATTCGAACTTCCAAATGTTTATATAATAAAATGTCCCCCACGTATCCCACAATATTGTAACCCATTTTTAAATAGCACCATAGAGAGAAAAAAAAAAAAAAAAATTCAAGACTGAATGAGGAAAACGGAAGGAATTATAATAGTGTAGTATTTGTCAGGATCTAATAAGTTAAGCAAATAATACATGGGAGGTAAAAAAAAACGAAAACATGACAAAACAAAAAAGTAACAAAACGAAAAAGTGACAAAATGAAAATGAATATTTTTGAAGAATGTGACATATGCGTTTATATAAAAATGAACCAGCTGAATCTAAACATGCGAAAAGTGAAGAATGACAGTGTATTCACACACCTCGTGGTACATGAGCAAATGTACATGCATATATACATTCATACGGTAATGCATTAGTAGGGTAATACATTCATATGGTAATGCATTAACACGTTAATATGTTAATACGGTAATGCATTAACACGTTAATATGTTAATACGGTAATGCATTAACACGTTAATATGTTAATACGGTAATGCATTAGTATGGTAATACATTCATACGGTAATGCATTAACACGTTAATATGTTAATACATCAATACATCAATACATTTATACATGAATACATTTATTCCCGTTTGTGCACCGCAAGTGTACAAATGTGCTGACTTAGTGTTATATATATATACTGTATAGTGATAAGCCCATGAGTATATGTTAGCAGGAGCAGCAAAAGCACGCCTATAAATATTCACCCTTATCTTTCCACCCTCTGAGGGTTCAAACGAATGGTATACATAATGTATATATATATATATATATGTTACATAGAGGGCAAAATTAAAATAACGTAGTATATTGTAAAGTGAGAAATGCAAGAGAATTGCAGAAAGATTTTCTATTTTCCTATTTCTGTTTAATTCTTTTTGTTTTTCTTTTCTCGTTGAGATCATTTGTTGGATTAACCTTGACTTCATGTTGATTTTATATTCAACATAACGTTCGCTTTTTCAAGGCTATGTTGTCGTTAACTTTTTTTTTTTTTTTTTTTTTTTTTTTTTTTTTTTTTTTTTTTTTTTTTTTTTTTTTTTTTTTTTTTTTTTTTTTTTTTTTTTTTTTTTTTTTTTTTCCTTTTTTTTTTTTTTTTTTTTTTTTTTTTTTTTTTAATATATCCCCTCCATTCCTCCCTACATGAACAAAGTATTTTTACATTTTCTCTTCCTTCCTGCATTTACAGGATTTTTATGGTGTGGAAATTTTATATTATGTTACCTGCCTCTCTTTTTCTTGTAAATTTACCCTATCAAATTTCATTATGATGAAAAGAGAGGAAGTAAAAACGATTTTTCTTCTTGTCATACTACTACCGTATTTCTCCTATTGTTATGCTTTTGTTTGAATATTCACAATTACGTGAGTACACGAGTGCAATACATACTTGACAAATGTATAAATTGTGAAACTTCGCATAAGATTAAATTTGTAAGTAGGGATATATTACACGTTGTGACATTACAAGACCTCTTGTAGGCACAAATCTGTAATGTCTGTAATTAAAAAAAGGAAGAAAAGAAGGAAGAAAAAAGGGAAGAAAAAAGGGTAGAAAAGAAGGAAAAAAAAAGGGAAGAAAAAAAGGAAGAAAAAAAGGGAAGAAAAAAAGGAAGAAAAAAAGGGAAAAAAAAAGGGAGAAAAAAAGGGAGAAAAAAAATTACATGTACTTTTTAATTTGTGTGCAGAAAAGGAGAATAAAAGAAAACCAAAATAATCGCAGACCGATTAACATTCGAACTACGAACAACCACAAAGATTTTTAATTTGACATATTTTCTCCTCAAATGTACAAGTTAATATGTTAGCAGAAGAAACATACTTAGAAATGATAAAATAGCAATTATCATAACAGTTTATATTATTTGGGAATTTTTCTGTTTTTCGCGAATGTTTATTCCCGTTCCTATATTCCCTTACTTTCCCTTTTTTGTTTTTTTGCTGTATATAATTTTATAAAAATAATAATAATAATAAAAAAAAAAAAAAAAAAAAAAAAAATGGATTCACCAATCACTTCACATTCCCCAAGCAAGAATTTAACACTTGATAAAATCCAAATTCTTAATTTATTTAAAATTTTTGACAACTTACCATTCGATCCTAAAAGTGAAAGTGAAACATGGTAATAAATATATACGTCTACTCACCGCTGTGGTCTGTATTGTATATTATATTGCACATCGGATTGGTGTAGATATAATGGTCTTCCCCACAGTATTATCTTCATTGTGAATTTGATGCATGTGAATGATGGCGAAATTTATGGCAATAAAAGCGTCAGTTGTGTCAGCTCTTTTAATTACATTCTGATTTATTTGTTTTTACCACGTAGTTCTGGTTTTACCACGTAGTCCTGGTTTTACCATTTAGTCCTATTTTTACATCTCCGGAATTCCACTCACCCCTTCGCTACTCTCACTTAGGTACATTGTGAATAAAGAATTCATTGACAGTTTGAGGAACTATGAAGAAGGAAAAGTGGATCGTTACCTCAGTTTAATTGATAACAAACTATTTGTGGAAGACGGAAATAATGTTACGACAAGAACGAGATTACTAAAGACGTATGAAAATGGAAACGGAGTCCATTTTTTATTGTACCCTGAGAAAGCTATAGAGGTGCTAGAAAAGCATTTTGAATTTAATTTAAAAATTCCTAGAGCTGTATATCCTCATAAAATTCCCAAGAGAGATAAAACAATTTACAAAGTTGATATACAGCCATTAAAAATTTTTGTGTATTCAAAGAACCCAAATGGGTTCTCCAATCCGTCCAAAATGAAAATCGTCATTTTGAGGAATGACTCCATTGAAGATGTGCTCAAGGAGGTTAGTTTTTTTTTTTTTTACCCTTTTTCTCCCATTTTTTTCTTTTATTTTTCCCATTTTTTTCTTTTATTTTTCCCATTTTTTTCTTTTATTTCTCCCATTTTTTTCTCCCTTTTCGCCCATTTTTTCCCCACTTTTCCATATTTCGCTCCTTTCATCAACTTGGCAGGTTATTAACGATTTCGACCCAGTGAGGTTCAAGAAGAATCTGTTTTTTGCAGAAGAAATGGACAACAAAAGGGAATACAACTGGGAACTCCTATACTTGCACGATTCGACAGAATACAATTTAAAAAAAAAGGTGTGTGATTACAGCATTGATGAAAGATGTTGTTTTTTAATAACAAACGAAAGGGCTGATATAAAATGCCTGATGAATGAAAGTGAATATTGCTACACGAGGAGAGAATCTAGCTTTAGGAGATCTGAAAAGGAAGAAGACTGCATGAGGGGTTATAACAATACGCATGGAAATCTGCAACCAGATATGCAATCGAATATGCAATCGAATATGCAATCGGATATGCAAACGAATGCAAACCCATTGATGCAGGCACATGATAGCACGGTAAAAAAAATTAGCTACATCTTCCAACATGGTGGAGACAGAGGATTGGTAAATCTTGGAAACACATGCTTCTTAAACTCGTCGTTGCAATGTTTAGCAAAGATATTGAAATTTTCAAACTACTTTTTAAGTGGGAAATTTTGGAATCATATAAATTATTCGAATCCTGTGGGTCAACATGGGAGACTAGCGAAAGCATATTATGAAACATTGTTAGAATTATGGAAAATAAATAAAAGAAGTGAACCATATGCACCAAAGGCCTTAAAACAAGCCATAAGCGAAAAAAGAGATGAATTTTATGGATATCAGCAACATGATTCTCAGGAATTGTTAGCTTTTCTACTAGATGGGTTACATGAAGATTTAAATTTAATTCAAAAGAAACCATACTATGAAGAAAAATTACAAGGTGGATTGGATAAACTAGATACAGATGTTGCAGAAGCATCGTGGAATAGACACAAAGAAATTAATAATTCTATAATTGTTGATTTATTCCAAGGACAATATAGATCACGTTTACAATGTCCAAAATGTAAAAAAGTTAGTATAGCCTTCGATCCGTTTATGTATTTATCCATTCCATTACCACCAAAGAAAAATCATCGTATATGGTTCCATGTAATTCTTAATAGAGATTTCCCAATAGGTATGAGATTTTCCTGCTCTTTTAATGGTTCACAAGAGGTTCTAAAGTTGAAGATATTTTTTTTAAGTATTATAAAAAATTTAAAAAGTAAAAGAAAAAATATTTTAGTACATAATAAATGCATAATTAAAAATAATAAAAACTCGTACGATGGTAGTAATATTTGTGCGAACCCTACCACGACACCTAGCAGTAGTAACAGTAGTTGTGGTGGTAGTGGTGCAAACAGTATGAGTAATAATGCTTTTAATTTCCATGCCAAATATTTGGATGAGAAGAATGACTATTATGAAGAAAATGATGACAATTGTAGTAATGCAGATATAGCTAATTATATGAAGGCAATGAAAAATGAATCTAAAATAAACAATACATTGAAAGAGCAAGAAATTACAAGTCTTCATGAAAGTATATGTGCCATGTGTAACATACAAAACATTGAGGAGTTAGAGATTAACAATTTATGCTTCCTTTTCACAAAATTTAAAAATTTAGCTTGTAATCAATTCTTTCAAGTACTTCATAATACGGATTTTGTTGTAGAACCACATTCAAGAAATGGAAAAGGAATAAGTCATATTTTTGTTTTTATATTACCAAAATTCTGTTCGCATCTAATTGATAAAAATGTAGATGTAAAAGCAATGGATGAAAGTCTTGAAGTTTTAACGAGTTCCACCGTAACAACCAATAATACAAGTTTGAAGGATGAAGAAATTAATTTGAAGAATGAAACTAACAATAGTGCAGGAAAAAAAATGCCCAAAAGTGACAGTAACACGAATTCTACCACCCCCACGCCAGTAGCGGGTCCTGTAACAGATGCAGCATCTACATCTATCGTTACCCAGGATGGTATGCCTATGGTTGCTACTACTGCAGACTCTACTTCTATCACCACTTCTGTGGCTACCTCCACCCATGCCAATATTGATAATAGCAATAATAACAACTCCAGTAAGATAATTAAAAAGAGGAAGGGGGTTCTGGGATCATCAAACATGAATGATAGTCCCTTGAGGAAGGGAGAAAAAACATACGCAGGAGTAGATGAAGATGAAGATGAAGAAAGTGTTATACCTATCATCACATCATCAGCTACAGCTGATAAGGGAGGAGTGAATAATGATAATATTAACGGAAATGCAAAGGGGACACCAGAACCACATGATGAAATGATAGAAAATGAGGGAAACTTTGTTAACATGCAAGAAACGTGTACATCGACAACTTCCATTTGTAATGAGTCTAATGAAGTGCATAAGAACAAGTCTACCTGTGAGAAACATATTTCATACAATGAATTGTTTAGAGACAAAATTTTCTTTAATCAAGACTTTAATAATCTTCATGATAAATATTTTTCGCTTCTTATTGTACCATTATGTAAAGATGAACAACTTTTTTATAAAATGAAAAATAACGATTTGCCTCTCTTGTTTAATATCCCTTTTAATTTTACTTTGAATGATCTATACGACAAAATAAAGCATGCTTATCCAACAAAAAGAAAAAAAAAAAAAATTACTCTTGTGGATAATGCAAAGGGGGAGGAGAAGAAGAGTAGTACTACTAGTGGTGGTAGTACTGGTACAGTTCCACAGGGGAATAATAATAATAATAATAATAATAATAATAATAATAATCAGAAGGATTCTTATATTCAATTATTTAGTAACAATGCAAACTTGAAAAATGGACATAATGAAAGTAACAAGAAGAATACTGTACCATGTAATAATAAGCACATGACAATTAAACACAATCTGAGCGAATATGAAGAAGAAGAAAAGGATGAAAGAGAACAATTGGGACATGTTTCAGAAATGAATAAAAAGTATGATGTTAATGATGATGATGATGATGAAGAAGATTACATGAGTAGAATTACTCTTTATCTTCCATGTTACAATTTAAAGGAAGAATGGACACCCCAAGATAATCTAGGTTTAGAATTGAAAAGAGATGGGACATATCTTACTGATTATATAAAGAATTCAGATGAAAAGAGACTCATAATTATACATTTAAATAGTGCAGGTATAGATGAGGAATTATCACTTGACATAAAAACTATTACATTTCTTGATTTAGAAGACAGGTATGGAATTGACACATGCTTGAAATTGTTTTCTGAAGAAGAACATTTAGATGAAAACAACACGTGGTATTGTGGAAATTGTAAATTACATGTACAAGCATATAAAAAAATCGATCTTTTTCGTATGCCAATAATACTAATCTTACATCTAAAACGCTTTAATAACACAAATAGATGGTTAAGAACAAAAATAGATTCATATGTGTACTATCCCCATAAAGAAAATGATTATTTAAATATGGCCCCATACATATTAGAAGACGGGTTAAACCATATGAAAAAAATGGATCCCCATTATTCTCCTTTGTATGAATTAATTGCTGTCAATTGTCATACAGGAGGATTATGTGGTGGCCATTACTTTGCCTATGCCAAGTTGAATGGTCGATGGTATAATTTCAATGACACTTATGTCACAACTATTGATGAATCACGGATAAACACGAAAAATGCATATCTCTTATTTTATCAACTGCATACTCATAAAAATGAGACATTTGCTGATATACTGGAGCAAAAGAATTTAGCAGAAGAGGAGGCCATTCGCATGGCCAATGCCAGTTATTACAACTAGATTATCAGAGAAGAAGAGAAGTAGAGAAGAAGAGAAGTAGAGAAGTGGAGAAGTAGAGAAGTGGAGAAGTAGAGAAGTGGAGAAGTAGAGAAGTGGAGAAGTAGAGAAGTGGAGAAGTAGAGAAGTGGAGAAGTAGAGAAGTGGAGAAGTAGAGAAGTGGAGAAGTAGAGAAGTGGAGAAGTAGAGAAGTGGAGAAGTAGAGAAGTGGAGAAGCAGAGAATTACTCATAAAAGAAACGAAATGCAGGCAATTACGTCAAAGTGAAAAAGAAGAGTATATAAACACATTACATATTATACATCGCATAACTCAGCGCAGCTTCTTCTTCCACAAATGTAAAGAATATTTTTAGAAAAATTTTATCCTCCTCCTTTATGAACAGCATCCCAAGCAGTCAACTGCAAAAGTGTAAGAGGAATGCTGAATAGCCAAGATATGCCCAAAGAAAAAAAAAAAAAAAAAAAAAAAAAAAAAAAAAAAAGTTTTATGCTAGCCCAAAGCGAGGATATTACATTTTCTTTTTATTCACATTTTCACTTGGGGATTTTTCTTATCTTCCGTATATATCCCTCCCTCCTTTCCTCAAGTTATATATATATATATATATGTATATGTATATGTATATGTATATGTATATATTTTTCGCACCCCCCGTTTGCATGTGTCTGTTGGTATCCTCTTTAATTAAACGTTGCATGCAAATATTACAGCTATGGTTCTTAACTGAGTTCAGCACACAACCTCTCATACTTTAGTGTATTATTATTCCATTTCGATTTACCTCTGTACATTTAGTATCGTTACAGTTTATCAATTTTCAATTTATCTCATTTCAACTTTTCACTTTTCAATTTGTCCCATTTCGACCCTTCACTTTTCAATTTATCCCATTTCGACCCTTCACTTTTCAATTTATCCCATTTCGACCCTTCACTTTTCAATTTATTCTGTTTTTTTTTTTTTTTTTTTAAGCGCACTCTTTTCATTATTTTATAAATTTTGCTGAATCAGGTTCTCTTTCGCGGCTACCTGTTTTCGTTACCTTAAACCATATACTCTACACGTAAAAAAAAAAAAAAAAAAAAAAAAAAAAGAGAACATACCCAAAGAAAGACAAAGAGGAATGACCCACCTGTATTACTTCATTTTGTTTTGACACATTATCTTGTATAAATGAGTACATGTATATAGTCGGATATTCATGCTACTTTATCAGATTTCTTTGTTTTATTTTTCACTCCATACCCCTATTCCATGCTCATTTTTAAAGAACGGCCAAAACCCAACGCGCCTTGCATGCTTACAATGTATAGTTTGTGTCGTCATGTTTTGTCTCGTTTTGTCATGTCTCGTTTAAGCTATTTATTTTATTTTATTTTATTTTTTTTTTTTACCACTTTTTACACACAGGTAAGCTGTATGCACAAGTGATTTTGTCCAATATATATCCTCTTGACATTATAATCCTTACCAAAAAAGAGAAAAAAAAAAAAAAAAAAAAAAAAGGCAACCCTGTCGAGTTAAGAAATTTCTTTAAATGTGTCTGACGTTCCCCTTCAGACAGTTGTCAAAAAGTGTTCCTACTTCTGCTTGTATTTTGAATGAACATCTCCCTTAACTTCACGTTTATTTCGGAAGCTATGCATGTTTTCTCAAGTCTACACCTTTTTACAGTTGATCACCACACTCTTCAGGTGTTATATAATTCCACTCCAATTCAGTTTAATCTTTTTTTTTTTTTTTCGTTAAAGGTAAATGTATGGGTAGGCGATAAAAAATGGTTGACACAGAATGGCAGATAAGAAGCGACAGATAAGGAACGACAGATAAGGAACGACAGATAAGGAACGACAGATAAGAAACGACAGATAAGGAACGACAGATAAGGAGTGGTCGATTCCAAATGGCAAATGCACTTCCATATATGACATTTCCAACTTACCCATTTGTCTGTCCTTGTACATGTGTGTGTATATATGAAAGATAGGAGAAATATGGTCTCACGTTTGGAAGTTCAAGTGGAGGAAAGTTACCGTTCATCACCTGCTTTTATAAGCATGCACACAAACACACACCACACACACATGGAAACACATTGATATACATTCGTGCTAGTTAAGCAATGAATAACTAATTACGAAAACGCCCAAAAATAAAATAAAAAAAAAAAGGAAATAATCGATCGAGATAGAGTAGGGGAGGAGAAAATTGTGTGCACATGTAAAATACAAAAAAATGAGTTGAAACGTTTGAATTTTTTTTTTTTTTTTTTTTTTTTTCGAAATGATAAAATTTAAAAAAAAGAAGAAAAAATGTTTGAATTGAACAGAATGTGGTTAAAACGTTTGTGAGATGGGAAATCGTGACTAAGCTTTGTCCATCCTCACTCCCCCTTCGCCCCCTCCAAACATACACACATGTATCTATACATGTACATATGTGTTACTAGATATGTGCTTCTACATCTATGTACATTAAAAATATACATAAATATACAAGAACATGTAAAAAAGTATGAAAAAACACGTATGCAACATACATATTGGACAACCTTGTAGTGTTACATTTAGTGATAATATTTTGCACAAAAAAAAAAAAAAAAAAAAAAAAAGGGCACCAAAATTTTGCATGAAATTGAAAAAAAAAAAAAAAAAAAAAAAAAAAAACCAAAAAAATGCGCTACAAAAAACACATAAAAAAAAAAAAAAAAAAAAAGTAAATAAATAATAATAAATAATATAATAAAATAAACATTATCGATGGCTCAGCTCAACGTAGGAAATAAAGAAGAGCTTCGTCTACTGGAATATGACAGATGAAAATAGATCAGCTCCTTGTGTAGATGCCGCTGCTGCTACTGCTGCCTCCCCTTCACTGGGGTTCTTCACAGCACCTGGAGAAAAATAGGAGTAACCATTTTTCATCTGCTTCGTAATTATAGTCAAAGAGTTCAATAACTCTTTCTGCTCTTCTTCATTATACAAGCTAGGTATTTTTCTTATTTCCAAATTCTTGGCTAAAATTTTAAGCAAAAAAAATATATCATCATAGCAGTTGGAATCCTCTACATACCTATTTAAATAATGAATAGCCATGTAATATTCCTGGAAAGTTATATTTTTAAGATTGTATGCCAAATTGGATAAGCAATTGTCTCGTAAATCTTGCAATATGCATTTAATTGTTCCTTTTTGGAACTTGAGAATATTTTCTGATAGGTAATATAACGAAAGAAGGGATGAAACATTTTGTGATGCACAAGTATCGTTTGTTATGTTGTATTCTTCACCACCTATCACTGTATTGCAACACACGTTTTGACAAGTTTCCTCTTGGTCATATACATCTGGCATTGAGCTCCATTCCATTTTCTGTTTATTATATACGCTTGATCCAATATTTGCAACACTCTTTATATTGATGGTTCCAACAGTGTCTACCATTGATCCAGTAATAGCTGATGGTATAGTGTGATCAAAAGCATCAATAGTTGGAGTACCTTCTGCAGGAGTAGTGGTACCGGTTGACAGGAAATTTCCTGCCATTCCTGCTGTTGATTGTGCACCAGAATATTCTTGCGTTGGTGCTGTAAACATGTTTGCACAATTCTGACGATGTTGCTTCTCCTGCTCCCGCTGCTTCTCCTGCTCCCTCTGCTTCTCCTGCTCCCGCTGCTTCTCCTGCTCCCTCTGCTTCTCCTGCTGATGTGTCTCCCCACCCTCTCTGAACTCCTCATCCTCCTCTTGTTCCTCCTCAGGATCTTCCATCAAATTGATAGACGGATTTGCGAATGCAGCGTTTTCATTTTTTCCACGTAAAAGCATATATTCATTTAAATTAGTGAATTCTTTATATTTAATATTGGTAATTTTTTTCAAAGCTTCATTATAATGTCTTCTCTGTTTTTCATTATTATCTAACGATGGTATTTTTTTATTACTTTTCTTACTTTTTTTATGATTCCAGAAATAGCTATCTTTCTTTTCGTCATTTTCAAAAAGGGTTATATAGTACTCCTTCGGGAATATTGTACTCTCAAAATTTACATCATTACTATCAAATGTAGTTTCTGGATTCTTTTTTAATTTCTTGTAGGAATTATATGCTCTTCTACATTCTATGGCCATTTTTTTCGCTTCTAAATATCCATACTGTTTTATGGGATAATATTTTGCACATCTCCTTCCATGTGATGTATACCACGTCGCTTTCCATCTGTACTGTTTTCTGTCATAATGCACTCCTACTATCCTTTCATCAATATCATCTGCATTATTTTCTTCATTTTGTTTTTTAATGCCCTCTATCTCCATGCTACCTTTTTCTCCATTTACCATCTCGTTGTTCATGTTTTCGTTATTTATAATTCCTGAGTCTGTGCCTTCTTTCTTTGCAATTATCCTACTTCTGTCTCCTCTATGGTTTCCACTAATCTCATCTTTTATTTTCATTTCCCTCATTTTTCTAATCATGTTATAATTTTCTAAGTTGTTCACAATCTCGCTATATTTATTTATGTTTAGCATGTCTTCCAATTTGGTGTAGTCCTTATCGGTACTTTTTCCTTTTTTTCCTAATTCAACACTCTCAAAATTTTCTATCTTTTTTTTGAATATCTTATGTGCGTATATTTTATATTCACCTTTGTCTTCACATTCATTTGGCTCATCATCATCATTAGCATGGTTTGAATCTCCACTTACATCCACGTCCTTCTCCTCTTCCTTAGAAACCTGTTTTTTTATTGTTAATCCCAAAATATTTTTTTTCATTGGGTATTTCATAATGTTGTGGTTGATTATTTTTCCATTTGTGACATTCTCAAACAGGCTTCTTATTTCCTCTTTGTACTCTCTTTCGCCTTTTTGTTTTGTTTCTCCCTCTTCTTCTGCTGCGTCCTCTGCCACGTCATACGCTGTGTCTTCTTCTGCTCCGTGTGCTACCTCCTCGTTTTTCTCTTCCTTCCTTGGATCATTGCACCTATGCAAATAGTACCTGTCGATATTCCCTTCTGATTTATTCATCATTATGTTTATCTTACTGAAGTGATCTTCATGAATCCCTTCCATATGAGACACATCCACGTTCTTAGAGTCATGAATTATTGGGTGATAGCTATTCCCTTCATCATTATATATTGCAAGTGTATTATCATCTGCCCTTCTACATTTTATGGAGTCTCTCATATCACAGTAGGTCCCATTAGATGATAGCAAATTTTCCATATTCTTATAACATGATGAAGTTGACGAAATGTGCGAAGCAGAGGATTTCAAAGAAGACGTTCCTGTTGAGGTGCACACTAAATTATTATTTTTTGATTTCCTTTTTTTTTTCCTCTTTTTTGATTTTTCATCATTTTCTTCAGATAAATCATTCAACAGTGTGTTACATAATTCTTCTTCTCTGTTGCTATTGTTGATGGCACTATTGTTGATGCTGATGCCATTGCTACCGTGGGTCGTACCACTGCTGTTTCCAGATTCTCTAAACTTCTCTCCCTCTCGAGTACCATAGTTAAGGCCATTCAAGCGGTTCGAAGAGAGAAACTCATTACCATTATTTACATCATTTATACTGGGGAAGCTACTCATACTATGCTTCATCTCTCCATACTGCTGCGAGTCGTCAGCACCGAATCGTCCCATTAAATTGCTTGAATTTGTAAACGGAAAACCAAGACCGGTGCTTCCAAACATCATGGAAGTGTTTGAATTTGCTTTTCTTTCCCTTTCATGCTCTAGCATCTGCATCCTCTGTTGCATCAGCTTCATACCATCGAAATTTGTGAATTCTACTCCTCCAAAATCGATGCCTGCATTTTTAATATGCTCTTCCTTCGAGGTAACAGTGCTATTGTTATTTTTCTCTTGAATTAAGGTATTAATGGCATTTCCAAAAGGAGTATTATTTAAAATTTCATTATTACCATCCTTGAGATCACACAATAAGGAATCCCCTTCAAAAAGATATCCTTGCACATACTGTTTGTTTAACGATTTTGCATTTGATGCATCAATTGCATTCATGTTTTCTAAATTTCCCCATAGCTTTTTTAATTTATTAGCATATTTCTCGCTTACATTTTTCTCGCTTACATTTTTTTCGCACACATTTTTTTCGCATACATTTTTTTCGCACACATTTTTTTCGCATACACTTTCAGAAATCTGTAGATGGTTAAATGGGAAGGGGTGCAGGAGTGCTTGTCGTCCATTTGGATAACCATTCTTCTCATTTTCCTTGTAACTTATCTGATCGATAGAATTATCAATAGTTTTATGCATACTGTTATTGCTACAATTTTTGTCTTTCTTTTCGTCACAACTATAAGTGCAAGAATAATTATTATTCACAAAATGGTTACTATATGGTAATCCATGTTCTGAGATAAGATGCGTGCTTTCATTATTATTCCTCTGATCTTCATTCTTCATGTTGTTCATATCAGAATTTTGAATATTGTTCATATTTTTTCTTCCTTTTTCATAAATGGTACTAGTATATTTGTTGTCACTTGAATCCTCTTGTTTTCGATTATTCTTCCTTATGTAAGTTTTCTTGGATCCTTTTTTTAACTTTCCATTGATACTTGTGCCGGCACTTTCACTACCATTTTCCATATTTCCATTTCTATGTTTGCTGTTCTGCTGATTGGCTCTGTACGCTTGTTCAAATAATAATGCTTCCTCAGGAATTTTCTGATAATTTTTGCAATAAATGGCCAATCTTCGTGCATAATCAAAACCAAAAAGTTTAATTGGAAAATATTTTGCAACTCTTTTTCCATCTTCATTCCAATTAACACTCCATCTTTGTTGATATCTATCAAAATATACCCCTTGAACTAATGGGAATTTCTTGGCTCTTCTAACCATTTCTTCTGTTAATATAGCTTTGTGTAATTTATATTGTGCTCCTCCTTTTTTACTTGGCAAATGCCTTAACAAATCAAGATACTTAAACATTTCTCTCTCATCCATTGAATCATTAAATAAAATTGGAATATTATTAATTTCCTTTTCTAAAAAAAGAAAATCGTTTTTCTTTCTTCCTCCTTTAGTTCTTTCCTCATGTGCATCATTATATTGCTGGTTCAATTCGGGTTCACCACCTTTGCACATTTCGCTTCTTTCGATCCTTTCTCGGCTCTTGGAATCGTTACTGCTAATTTTATGTTGAACTGGTCGTCCCCTTGCTCTTTTGTGAGGTTCTCCTTTCGCCTCTTTCGCTTCCTTCGCCTCTTTCGCTTCCTTCGCCTCTTTCGCTTCCTTCACCTCTTTCGCTTCCTTCGCCTCTTTCGCTCCTTCCGCTTCCTTTGCTTCTTTCACATCTTTCACATCGTCCACTTCTCCCATTTCTTCTACTCTGTCTTCTTCCCTCTCCTCCTCGAGAACCCTCAAATCACCTTTCAATTCATTCTTATCGCACACTTTACGATCCCCCAATGCCATGGCCCATCCATGACGGATGCTCGCTTTAGACACATTTTTTATTACTTTCTCCTTTTCTTTTTTTTTCAAGATTTTCTCTTCCTTTCTTTGATCATTCAAATTCTTCGTCCTCTCAGTTGCAACACTGTGTTTTTCACTTTTCTTTTTTAATTCTTCTGACCATAATGTAATACATTTTTTAGCAGCATTTCTTAAGGGTCTCCTTGCATAGGTTACATTAATATTTTCCTTGGATATTCTATTATTATTTGTTAACTCTTGATTGTTCATATTTACATTTTCTCCATTATCCATATATTTCTTTTTCTCAAGATTGGATTCATCATCAATTTCATTTTCGTATGTACCACTATCAATATCAAATTCATGAATGGAATTCAAATAGCTTCCTTCTCTTCTTCCTTTCATATACCTGTCCGATTCTCCATATTTGTTTGAATCACTTTTGCTTTTCCTTCCTACTCGCTTTTTCACCTTTTTATTCGGTGTTATGAGAGTAGTATTATACACGTCATCATCTTTTTCATGCTGCTCGTTCAGATTTGTAACACACTGTTTTTTTTCTTCCTTCATTTCACAAACTTCGCTATTATTCGCCGCACAGGATGGTGGCGATGATAATAATTCTCCATTTGGATAAACGGTTTTGCTACTGCTGCTTCTGCTACTGCTACTACCGGTGTTGCTACTACTGGTGTTGCTACTACCGGTGTTGCTACTACTGATGTTGCTACTACTGGTGTAGCTATCGGTGCTTCTATTGGTGTTGCTAGCATTACAATCCTTCTTATTCTGGTCGCAGCTGTCTACACACTCATTCGTGACGTCATTGTGCTTCTCTCCATATGGATGGTAATAATCATTATTTATGTCGTAACATAGATTTTCTTTTTTCTCATAAATAAATTTTTTATTTTTTGAATCACTTAACACCTTTTCCTCTATTTCTCTTTTCCTCTTTCTCATAGTTTTTTCCTTTACCTGATTTGTTATGTCACAAACTTCTCTAAATGTTTCTTCTCCTTCGGTTTTATCAACATATGAATTTTCACTCACACATGCATTACCATCTCTTGGTAATTTTACACCTGATATATTATTTTTGTATTTTCCTTTTTCTTCATACAGATGCGTATTAGATAACAAACCAACGTCAGAATTCTCATCTGATTTGAATTCGCTTTCAGTTTCACCATTTTGTCCGTGTGATATTCCATTTGGAGAAGAGAATGTGTCACCTCCACCTGTTATTAATTCTTCTCTATTCGTAATTTTATTACAAAAGGTGCTTAATTTATTGGTTAGTTGTGTGTTATCTAAAAGACTATATGTATTATTAACCCGTTCTGGATTATTCCAGTATATCAACTTTTCAAAATCAGGATTTACACTTTCCACTAATTTATTTGTTTCGTAGTCAGTTATGTTTTGATTAAACGGTACTGTGGCATTTGGGATGACAGAGCTCATAGCGCTGATACTTCCACTAGGATTATTCATTTCGATAGTTTTTTCATATTCTGTATCGTTTGTTCGATTACTACTGCTTCCAATGTAGTTATTATTTTTAGTTGGATTCACAATTTCACAACAGTTTAATGTAGAAGATAGTTCATAAGCGTCACTGAGGTGGTAAGTATTATCTTCTCCATTTTTCTGAAATATAGCATGATGATCTAAATTTTCAACATAGATGGTTTTATCTGATGGGTTTATAATATCATCAAACTCAAAATTTGGATTGAAATTTCTATGGCTACTTAGTTCCACTTCTTCGTTTACTGAACATGTCTTATCTTCTTCGTTCAGTGAACATTTCTTATCTTCTTCGTTCAGTGAACATTTCTTATCCAGCTTGTTCACTAAACATTTCTTATCTTCTTCGTTCACGTACACCATGTTATTATCATTACTTCTGGCAAGCATACCTTCAGTGCTCGTTAGATTGCTATCCATTCTACTAGTAATCGTTTTAAGTGCTTTATTATTATTGAAGTCTGCATCATCGTAATATTCCATTTCAATACTATTTGCATCTACATTGTTCATTTCACAATAATCCTCATCACATTTTATATTTTTAATAGTACTATTTTCTCTTTTCATATGTTTATATTTATTTTTACTTAATACATTTGCGTTCTTATCATTCAGTTGACTAATATAAAAATCATAATCCTTTTTGTTAATTCCAATTTTTATTCCACATGTATTTGACGCGTTATTTATCGATAAATTTTCATTCGTAAAAGAAATTTTATTTGAACTAGCTAAAATGTTCATATCGCTATTTTCCTCATTTGATCCAGTCTCATAATTTACATCCCCTTCTGCAATCTCTGCTATATCGTCCTTCTCATCACTTTCACAATTATCCGCATTTACATCATTTACATTTATTTGTAAGTTACATTCCAAATCTGTAATTGTTTCTGCTTCTTTATTTTTTCCCATTTCTTTCACTCGTTTAACGAAAAAAAAAAAAAAAATAAAATAATAAAATAACGGGTTAAACCAAAAAAATAGGAATAAAAAATTGGCATAAAAAGGGAACTAAAAATTGAAGCACAAAATTGGAAAAATGAGGAATAAAATGTGTAGGTGCAAAAAAAAAAAAAAAAAAAAAAAAAAAAATAAATATTAAATAAACAAAAAAAAAAAAAAAAAAAAAAAAAAAAAAAAATAAAAAAAAAAAAAAAAAAAAAAAAAAAAAAAAAAAAAAAAAAAAAAAAAAAAAAAAAAAAAAAAAAAAAAAAAAAAAAAAAAAAAAAAAAAAAAAAAAAAAAAAAAAAAAAAAAAAAAAAAAATTGAAAAAAAAAGTAAAAAAAAAATTGAAACAAAAAAAAAAAAAAAAAAAAAAAAAAATGTATGGAAAAAAAAAAAAAAAAAAAAAAAAAAAATTTTTTTATTGCATTACAAAAATGAAAAAATAAAAAATCAAAAAAAAATTGTAAAAAATAAAAAAAAAAAAAAAAAAAGAAAAAATAAAAATAAAAAAAAAAAAAGAAAAAAAAAAAAAGAAATATAAAAAAAAAAAAAAAAAAAAAAAAAAAAAAAAAAAAAAAAAAAATAAAATATTATAAAAAAAAAAAAATAAAAAAAAAAAAATCAATAATAAAAAAAATTTTATTTGAACTAGCTAAAATGTTCATATCGCTATTTTCCTCATTTGATCCAGTCTCATAATTTACATCCCCTTCTGCAATCTCTGCTATATCGTCCTTCTCATCACTTTCACAATTATCCGCATTTACATCATTTACATTTATTTGTAAGTTACATTCCAAATCTGTAATTGTTTCTGCTTCTTTATTTTTTCCCATTTCTTTCACTCGTTTAACGAAAAAAAAAAAAAAAATAAAATAATAAAATAACGGGTTAAACCAAAAAAAAAGGAAAAAAAAATTGGCAAAAAAAGGGAACTAAAAATTGAAGCAAAAAATTGGAAAAATGAGGAAAAAAATGTGTAGGTGCAAAAAAAAAAAAAAAAAAAAAAAAAAATTCTATTATTGCATTACCAACATGGAACAATAATAAATCGAAAAAAAATTGTACAAAATAAAAAAAAAAAAAAAATAGCAACAATAATAATAGTAACAAAAATAGTAATAATAATAAAGTAATAATAACAAAAATAATAATAACCAAAATAATAATGATAAAAATAATACTAATTATTATATAACCATAATAATTCGAAAAAAAAAATTAGGCAAAAAAAAAATATTCATTAAAAAAAAAATTTTGACTCTAGTTGCTGTGCGAGCATCCACAGGTAAAATGAGGCCCCAAGGATTATTCTCCCAGATACGTTATTATGTATACGAATTAAAAAAAAAAAGTATCGAAAAACGAATGGAAAAAGGGAAATACAAAAATGAATATACCGGATGAAAGTATAAAAAAGTAAGCGCAAAAAAAAAAAAAAAAAAATGTATACAACATGTACGCATGTACATACGCATATGCAAATGTAACAAATTTGCAAAAAGAATTGCTATTAGAGGATATTCCTTTTTTTCCTATATCCAATTGGTAAAACACAAAATAATTTTAATTACATTATCTATTTCTATGTATATATGACATATGCACATGACTGTGTACACGAAAAATGTATACTAACATGTGTCTAGCTAGGGCTGTGTCTTAAAGGTGCAGTTGTAAAATGTGTGTGCACATATACAACTGAGAATGTATAAATAAATCGAATATAAGGAGAAGTTAATTAATTCACAGTGCAGGCTTACTTTGGAATGCAAATATAGATAAAAGAGAAAAATATATAAATATACATACATACTCGCACTTAGATGTATATGCATACATATTCACGTACAAACATAATAACGATGAAATTATTTTTTAATAACAGAATATCTTTATGTACAATGCATCGCCTTTGTTCACTTGCTATTTTTTTTCTTTTCTTTTTTTTTTTTTTTTTTTTTTTGTACACATGCTTAAGTTTATCTATACTAAGAGAACTGGTTTAGAAATTATTACACACAAAAACTTATGCAAACAAATAACGAAAATTTAACATCCCAATATGGGCAAAATGGGATATGCTGAAAAGGACGTGAGAACTATTTCTACGAAAAATTCCACATAAGATGCATATATGATGTTACTTAAAAATGGAAAAAAAATATTAATATATGAGAAAAGGAATGGAAAATAAATTGAGAAAAAAGAAGAAGAAAAAGATAAAGAATGAACGAAAATTAAATAATTACTAAAACACATGCACTAAATCGTATTTTACTGAAATGTTGGTAGCATAATTTCAGTTAGCAAATGGAGAAAAAAAACATTTATTAAACACAAGGGAATATACCAATAATGTACGTAAAAGGGGGGAAAAAAAAAAAAAAAAAGTAATCATTTTACAATTTAAATGAGTATACAAAAAAAAAAAAAAAAAAAAAAAAAGATAAAAAAAAAATAAAAAAATAATAAAAAAAAAAAAAAAAAAAAAAATTTAAAAAAAATTTTGAAAAAAAAATTTAATTAAAAAAAATAAAAAAAAAAAAATTTTAAAAAAAAAAGGAAAAAAACAAAAAATGTTACGTAAAAGGGGGAAAAAAAAAAAAAAAAAAGTAATCATTTTAAAATTTAAATGAGTATACAAAAAAAAAAAAAAAAAAAAGTAATGGGGAAAGGAATTATATATTTTCATACAACTTTAAGACAATCTTTAATTAAAGATCATCAACTATTTCGTGAACAAATCAGAAAAAATCTAATTCCTCTTCTTTTTCTTTTTTTAAAACATACACATAATCATACACACACACACACAAAAAAAGGCAAATATGAGTGAGTTGATGTTTGTACACTAGCATATATAAATACTAATTTATACACGCATATGTAAATTCCTTGGGAGCAACCGTTACACTTAGGTGTATAAATATATGCAAATATAACGCAACATTTATATTTGCACACTAAGAGATTATTTACTAGTACATATGTATATATATATATATATATATATATATATATTTTATGTTCGATATCCTATGCAATAGTTTTAATTAACACAAGATATATTCTTACTACCTGACATGAACACTTGGTCAGGTAAAATTCCATCGTTTTTGATGAAAAAATTGACGAGGCTAAGGTACGCATTCTATTTTATAAACAAGTGCTGTGTATTATTTCAATGATACAGCAAATAACGGATGCATGTGTAGGATTTATTTCTGTTTATCTATGTGCTCCAAGTGTACATGCATATACGTATACATACGTATGCAATGCATATACATACCATCACCCCCCCCCTGGTAATCCATAATCAGACGGAATAACACATCTATTGGTCGTGCGTTCAGTATTTCCTTCTAATTGTATGTTATATAAATTAAAAAAAAAAAAAAAAGAATGAAATTTTATAAAAATGAAAAAAAACTTGCACATTTGACACATTTCAATTTATTTATATTGTATGAGATATACATATCACTATGTGATCAAACTCTTGTATTTGTAGGCACATATTACATGGGGGGCGTGAGCTGTGAATTATCATCCGTGTATGTTCATTATATATATATATATATATATTATGAGCTATTCAATGTAATGTTTTTAATATGAATTTGTTCTACTATAATGTAACTGTTTATATGCAACGTCAAATATAATGCACATGCATATATGACTGTCGTGTGCGTGAGTGTAACACGATAAACTAGTTCACAAAATGCGCATATGCACATACACATATGTATATATTAACATATCTTCACATACGTGCCTTTGCAACTAAAATAATTTTGAATATATATATATATATATAAAAAAAAAAAAATTGAATAGTGCAATAAGGGATATGTCCATACGCGTGTGTACATATAATTATACTTACGCCTATATTACACGCAGAATAAGCATATGAAAATACAAAAATTGTGAATGTACATCTTAATTCCTCTACTGGTTTTTAGGTTCACCTAAAAATTGTGTAAATGTTTTTATACAAGCAGATAAAAGAATTTAAAAAATTTTGGAATCATTGATAATTTTGTAAACAAAAAAAAAAATAAAATAAAAAAAAAAAAAATAATATTAATAATAAATAAATAAAATAGTAGAGACGTGTAATAAAAAAGTATGGTAGGATAGTACGATGGTTTAATGTGATAGGATAATATAATAGCAAAAGAATAAAAGAATAAAGTATAAAAAAAAAAAAAAAAAAAAAAAAAACATTAAAAATTCAAATTATTAAAAAAAAATTTTTAAAAAAAAAAAAAAAAAAAAAAAAAAAAAAAAAAAAAAAAAAAAAAACCTTACACATTCACATTATTATGTACATATTTTTGCACACACACACAAAAAAAAAAAAAAAAAAAAAAAAAGCTAGAATTTTTGTATACGTCAAGTATATAATGAGGTGAAAAAGAAAAGGACGATTCAATAAAGGTATTTCTTAATGTGTGTAAAATGCAAAATCATCGATGTAAAAACAAATGAAAAATATAATTCCAAATTTTTTTTTAATATTTTCCACATAACACCACTTATTTGCAAAAGGGAAATAAAAAAAAAAAAAAAAAAAAAAAAAAAAAAAAAAAAAAAAAAAAAAAAAAAAAAAAAAACATTACAAATCAAAATATTATGTAAAATTTTTTGCACACAAACAAAAAAAAAAAAAAAAAAAAAAAAAAAGCTAGAATTTTTGTATACGTCAAGTATATAATGAGGTGAAAAAGAAAAGGACGATTCAATAAAGGTATTTCTTAATGTGTGTAAAATGCAAAATCATCGATGTAAAAACAAATGAAAAATATAATTCCAAATTTTTTTTTAATATTTTCCACATAACACCACTTATTTGCAAAAGGGAAATAAAAAAAAAAAAAAAAAAGAAAAAAAAAATGTATACATAAGTGTATAAATGAATGAACACACACATGTATAAACCTATGATCATATACATACACATATGTACGTTTTCAGCATTATATATTATGCCTACTACAAATATTACATATATGTCCACGGAAAGGATCACATAATCCATAACTGCTTTTGTTTTTTTAGCAAAATTTTTACATCTCTTCTGTATCTCTATGTTTTCATTTCGCATGAAACAAATCACTCTTCTTATGTATATTCATTTCCATATTTTTTCATCACTATTCACATGATTATACAAAATGCATGTGTGAACAAATGAAAAAATATAAACGTTTTTATACACATAAATGTAAGTTTATATTTATGTACATATCGATGTTCACGCTTTTGCATGCTACATGTATGTGCTAAGAAATTTGAAGTATTCAGTTTAGCATCTACCACTGCTGAACAAAAATCTGTTCAAGGTTTTTGAACTAAAAAAAGAAAAAAAAAAAAAAAAGTCCTTAAAAATGCTTTATGCACGTAGGAGAAAAAAACAAAATATGAAATAATAGAAAAGAAGGATAAACAGGAAAAAAACCAAAAAGGTAATAAAAAAAAAAAAAATAAAAATAAATAAATAAACACAGAAATGTGGAAAATAAAAAAAAAAAAATATATAAATATATCTGATGAATTTAATAAATTTCTTCGTAAACCTTAGTGTCTTGAAAATTTTCTTTCATTTTCTTTTATTTTCTTTCATATGTTTTTATTTTATTTCACATTCTTTTATTTCATTTTTTTTTCTTTTTTTTTTTTTTTTTTCTTTTTCTTTTTTTTTATTTTTTACTTTCTTTCTTTGTTTTCTTTGTCTTTCGTTTTTTCTTATGTATATTTTATTAACTCGTGTATTATGCATATATGTACTCGCATGGATATTTACTTTATACCACCAGGTATGTATATACATATGTATGCATATTTATTCTTATTTATATGCACGTACACATGACACATTTGTGCGTTTTGTCGAACAGTGATAGGAAAATGTGTATATATATGTATATATATATATAAATGAATAACTACTATGAATGTTTAACAAACTTGTGTAACTAAAAATGTAATAAAATTGGAAATGCTAGAAGAAAAAAAAAAAAAAAAAAAAAAAAAAAAAAAATAAAAAAAAAAAAAAAAAAAAAAAAAAAAAAAAAAAAAAATACGTGATCAAAATGAAGAAAAGAAAGAAGTTAACACAATCACATTTTAAGTTTTTTTTTTTTTTTTTTTTTTTTCTTGCTCTGTCATGAAACTTAAATGTGAGGATTATATACATGCATACTAGAAAAAATTTTCATGGAAAAGGGAAATTTTTTAAAAAATTTTTTTATGCTTACGTGTATTACACAAATATATATGTGTATATATATGCAAATATACGTGTAAATTAACGCAGACTATATGTATATTTATGCATACACTACTTAAACCGATATGTTTAATTATACTGCCATAACAATATAAAAAAAAAAAAAAAAAATGGAAAAAAGGGGAAAAAAGGAAAGTTCATTTTTAGAAGTTCCATATGGATACCTAACTTTATAAAGGGGAAAAAAAAAAAAAAAAAAAGGAATATAAATATGTGAACATTCGTTCATATATATAATATACACACACAAATAAACGAATAAGGCAATCACACACGAACCATATTAATATTCATGTCCTCGCAATAATTCACTTGGTTAAAACGCGAAGCGTGTAACGCGGAAAATAAGTAGATGCGTATGCGGATAAATAATTCAAACAAGCACGTGCTATGCATCGCTGAATTTTTTTGTTCGTGTGTGCATGCGTTTATTTGCAATTTATACTGTATTGTTATATCATTATATTTGCAATATTCAAGCCTTTTTATTTTACTTATATTTTTCTCGATTATTTTACTTTTATTGAGTACAGATGTACATCAAAAGCCCCACATGAATATGTCATTCCAAAGAAAACGCAAGAGCAGCTCAAACTAAACACCTTACTTGAGGGAGAATATGCTTGTAATTTTTTCATAATTTCACTGCAAATGTTTTTTTTTTTTTTTTTTTTTTTCCCAGTCACCAATTTTTGCTACTAATGCAAAAATACTAAGATTTTTTTCTGAACTGTTCAGGTGAAATTGTATAAAAAAAATTCTCAAAATGTTTATAAAACACTAAATTATCAGAGGAACAATTTTGTAGGGAATGAGAAAACAAAAAAACGAAATTAGAAACAACACCTTGCTAAAATTTTAGCGCATAAAAAGGAAGGAAAAAATACGGTGAGTGGGTTGTAAAGCTGTATAATCCATTTTTTTATAAAAATGATGCAGTTCAGCTGAATAATCATAATCAGTGTAATGAAAAGGGTATTCTCTCATCAAGTAGAATATACTGAACACATACAAATAAAAAAGTGAGCTTTTGTACGTAATCGTAGGGAGTGTAAAATTTTTTATTGCACCATTTGCTTGTAAAGAATACGAATGTGCAAACGTTAACCTAATTTGTTCTTCTAAAGCCGTGAAACGTAGGTTATTTAACACCAAATGAGTGTATATATATGTATACATATCTTCATAAAAAACGTGTGCATATTTAAATGCTGCCTCCGGAAAATTGTAGCTACAAAATGTGTATACCACTTTTCCAGAAAAAATCCAAGCGCAAAGTATCGATATAATCTGCGATTAAGGTGAATATTTGTTTTATAATTGAAACGGAGGATTTTACCAGTTTATAGAGGTTTTCATTTTTTGAAAATAATAAAAAAATACACTTTGCATAGTTATCGAAAATGTTCTCGTTGTTCCTTTTGTCCGTATTTTATTTTATTTTTTTTTTTGTACAATTTTTTAAAAATTGTGAATATGCTATATTTTTTATAAGATTTCCTGTTATGCCTTTTGACTATCTTTTTATATGAATATAAAAGTGGGAAGAAAGAAAAAAAAAAAAAAAAAAAAATCATATACCTGCGTAGTTACATTAGGTGACACATATATGCTGTTGGCTTACACAATATATCTATATGAATAAAATGAAAAAAAAAAGAAAAATAGTCACAGCAGAAGCATAAATTTCTCCTTGCCACTTTCATAAAAAATCTTGCTTTTTTTAATATGTACAATTTGATTTCCTCTATTTCAGTCCAAAGAAAGAAAAAAT